ACAGAACATATTACAAATCTGCTGGTGAATATAAAGTTTTCTACCCGTGTTCAAAATATCTCTCGCTCGTTCGCTTCGCCCACTTGTGATCGAGATATAATCAACATTCGAATATCAAATTCGTATCCACGCGCAGCCTTGAAATATCCTCTCTAAACCGTGTTTATTCCTATCTCTGATAACTATGTTGATACATAAGGAGCATACCGGAAATTTCAAGTCAAAACCGCATGATTTTAAAACGCTCTGTCTACACGCCCGGCAGCTAGGCACGTTTTCTGCACGTTTTTTAAAACTTCCTAAAGTATCGGGGGTTTGTTTAGAAATGTCACGTGATTTCGACAACTGGTCATCTGTTTGAGGAAACATCCTTGGGCAAAATGTACATGGGCGCCATTAAACCGAAAAAACACGTGATGATTTAAGCTCAGCCAAATCGTGTTTGGGTGCCTCACGGTTGAGGCTTAGTACGAAAGAAAGGAGAGGACACATCTTAGTGTGAACTTGTCAATGAGTTGAAAACAAATATTGCCATTTTGGCGTTCTTTTTAAACCGAAAGAGAAATATCTCACCCACAGACACACACCTACGCCAGCCTTCGTCATGAGGTTAAATATGTCAAATTAGTCACAGATGATTTGAGTGCTCGAGTCCCTTCTCCCTGTTAGGCAACCTTTGCGAGATAGTCTTAATTGTTAGCCAGTCTCAGTAAAATTACCCTGGCTTGCTTTTAAGTAGACGAACTTACAGGCTATTTCTACTCTAGGACAAAGTGCTAAAGCCGATCCCTAAGGTGTTTTGAGAGTTGACTGTAATCAATTTACTGAAATTGTACTACATGTAAATCTTTTGTTGGGAAGCTGCTCTTTACGTACAAATTTAGAGCGAATGTGAATTATTAACTCTAAATTACTTTATAACTGACATTTACACATACTTAGACTTTACATAATTGTCAACGGACTGAGTGTAAATGAAGGTTCAAAAACACCAGTATCCTTCACTTTGGTGAGCTACGGCACCAAGTATGATTACAGAAAGAATTGGATGACACGAAGTCCTATTACATTACTAGTTAATCATAACCATTAACATTAACATTGTCCTATTACTCAACTTATGCCAGACTCATTTTGCGACTCAAATACCGAAAATATGCCAAAGTTCTCTACGCTCAGAGGGGAGGTTATTTTGCAAACAATTTCTGAAAAGTATAACGAGAACATCGGGATAACTGAGGTAGAGACCCTACTAAGCAGTTTATGGCTCATTGTGACCCGAAGTTCTTCATATTATTTTAGCTGCTAAGGTAAAAAGTGAGGAACACTGTTCCCACAAGTTTCAGGGACGAAATAGCAAGTCATAGTACTGTTTATGTTAAATGGGTATCAGAACCTGTATTTGTTATGTTAGCCCGCTTGTTCAGTAATGACAATAGAAATGGTAACCACAATTTTTTTTAATGTGTGCTTTAGTTGATTTAGCCAAGTGAGAATTTGGAAATTGCCTCAGTTTAACAGCATTCAGACAACGATCTTCCTGGAGAAACATGAATGGTTCAGTCACCACCAACGAAGGTTCTTCAATTTCTCATTTAATAAATGTACTTTAGGTTTACTAATTATCCTCTTGACAATTCAGTATGGCACCCAGACTTATGATTTCTGCAGCTCTTAGCACACCTTCCGGTACTTTTTGTCAATGTTTTAATCTTTTTATGCGACGGATATTGTTTTCAACAAGATACATATTTTTTTGCAGACACCTTGGGTAGTTTACAAGAACCTGTCACACAAAGACACATATTATTGATATGCGATGAAGTAGGTGCAGCCTGGAGAGACCTGGGTGCTGAGTTAAGGCTTGGATCACCTGTGGTTCGTAATTTTGCTTCTGATTGCAACTCAAACCGCGATAGAGCGTGGGGAGTGATCGATAAGTGGAGACAGAGCAACCCAAATGAAGCAACTGTAGGAAATCTTGCAGATGCTCTAGTGAAGATAGGGATGGGAAAAGCCGCCCAAAAGCTGGTTGGTGCGTAATCTACTGTTTTTATGGGAACTCACTCAGGGTCAGGTCCAACTTTTTCCGAGAAATAAGCGCAGGAGGTTTCATTTCTAACGCAGTTAAGAACAGGGAGATTTTGAGGTGTACTTGGATATAAAAATAAAAAATGATGGTTATAATTTTTGTTGAAAGTAGTGGCTCGTGAGGATTTTTAACGCACAGCTTTTACCAAGGTTATGCGCTCAAGTTTTACGTCAAAAAATTAAACTATTTCACCATTAGCAAATCTTATGCGTGCATGTAAATAGCCCCAAGTCCGAAATCCTTTCCGGAATCGAGCACGATGTTACCAGTGCGAGGATATTTATCTAGTCTTTTGGTAAACAGCTTATAACCATACTATCCTTGGTAATTATCTGAAACTCTTTTGTCTCTTTCAATGCAGGAACGGAAAACGTGAAGGCAGGGAAAATAAATTTAGAAGAAAGGTTGCGATGTCTAGAGACAAAGGTTGAACGGCTGGAGATGGAAAATTCAACTGAAAAAAGCATAAAGCAAAGTCCGGCGCACGAGATCACTTGCGAGGGGAAAATTTCTGACGAGATCGACAAGGATCCATGTGTGATGCAAGAGAAAATCAAGATTTTCTATGAAAACGAGAAAATGCCAGTTGGTAGATCATCTGAGCTGAAAAACAATACATCAGATGAAGGGAGCGAGAGGTATTTGAATGGAAGACTGGAGGAAATCAGTTTGGCAGATGGAATCCAGAAAGACACCATGGAGAGGAAGAGAAAAAGAAGGCCCGATTGTGGGTTAACTTCAATCCTGACAGGTAGTGTTTTTTTCTTTCCAGCAGCTAATTTAGCTGATTCAGAAGCTGTAAATAACCAGAAACGGGATTAAAACTGATTCTCCTGGACGGATGGATGATTCAGAAGCCAGAAATGAAGGTTTTTATGTTCATAAATTCATAGAGTGGTATCAGTTTTACTCATAATTATCCCTTCCAAGTCGTTACTTATTATTATGAAATATGGCATTAGGAGTTATAATTATTGCAGCTCTTTTTAAGTCACGATTTTTTTTCAACTGATGTTTACTTGTTTTGCAGCCACCTCTAGTGATATAGCATTTGAACAGGCTCCTGTCACTGAAATCCACATACGGTCAATATGTGGTAAAGTGGGCGCAGACTGGAGAGATCTGGGTACAGTCTTACGGCTTGAATCAGCGTTGATGAATATTATTGAGGCTGATCTCAGCGAATGCCGTGAAAGGGCCTTCGTGGCCTTGTCAAGGAGGCTTCATTTTAGATGAAGATCGCGCCGCGAACAGTTTTTATTGTGCCTTCCTTCTAGGATGGCCTGAGGCGCTATGTAATGCTGTGTCGTGTAAGTCCATAAACCTTCCCCACGCCCTTCACGGTTTTCAAAATAGCGGAGTTTCATGAGACACTGATAAAGTCTCTTGTGACTCGTCCTGGTTCTGCTCCGACACTAGCCAGCATTGAACTAACCTGATCGGGTTTCTTCGGATTCATTTTTGGTTTTGTCGGGTTTATTTCGATGTTTGCTAAGGGTCTCATCTCTGCATTTTGACATTGTTATCGACTTGAAGGTAAAAGATATGTCTTCAAACGTTCTCACGTGTGCGTTTTACTCTGAACACTTGAAAACATATCCTTTGAAGAAGAATGTAAATTGTAAGGAGAAAAAATTGAAAAGAAACCACAACAAAAGGACAACGATAAGTTGACGCGGCCAGGGCTCAAAGCTTAAGCTCAAACTTTCGGACTCGAAAGGAGTAGATACATCCATCGTGCTAGGGACGAATGGCGTGCGAATGTTAGCGAAGTTTTGTATATCAATACATTTGACGCACATTAAATATATATACCTATTCGATTAATTTACCTGCCCTCGGCCTGTAAATTTACCAGTGTACAAACTCTATTCTAACCAAATCCTCCGTTTGTCAAAATTTTGGCATTGATAAGAGCTTTTCATTAACGCCTTTACATTTTGTACCATGTTGCTCTTTTTACTACAATACTCTACAACTGTACAACGGTAGGCACATGCAGTGCACCAAGAAAGTGGTATCTAATTAAACGTAGCCTTAAGTTAAAGAAAACCAAAGTTAAAGCAAATGGAATCTTTGCTTGCAGAGGGTAATGGGTTGTGAGGTCCATCGACGTGTCTGCGCACAGTCTCTCAGGTTGTAGCATTGTCGTGGAAGCTTAAAGCCCTTAAACTCGAGTTAGATCTCCTCAAATAATTGAAGAAATTGAACTAGTCCACCACTGCAATTGCATATGCCAACATTTGAGTAATTGTTAGGGCAATGTTAACGGCTTGTAAAGCCAGCAACCTTACTACCGTGTACATCTGCAAATCTTTTGCCTCTTTGCATCTTGGAACGGGAAATGTGAAGAAAAGGTTAAGCTGCGCTCGGGCACTAAGTGGGAATTTACAGAGAAAACTGGAAAATTAATATTTCGGGAAGGTTCTATGTGTAAATATCCAAGGATAGAGACAAATTTCTCGCGGCTAGAAATTTTTGCGAAGTTAAAGTACTACAGCAGGGGCTTAGAGCCTGAATGTAGCGAAAACAATATGACAAATTGAACTATTCATACATGTCCAATAAAATGCCAGTGCAAACAGAAATCTTATTTTAACCCAGTATTAAGTTACCTTCCTGAAAACTTTTTACTTTATCATTTAAGAAAGAGCTTACTGTAACCTTGTTACCTTCGGTTAACATTTGCAAATTTCCTTCCACTATCTAACTAGATACAGAAAAAGTGGAGGCCGGATTGAATTCCGTTCGAACTGCAAGTGGAAAGTTACGAAAGGACGTTAAACTTTTAAAGGAAGAAATACAAAACGAGCAACAGATTCATAACGAAACACGGAAAGAACTCAAAGAATTAAAAGAAATCGTGTACAAAATACAAACAGCAACGGGAGATGAAGAGCGACAGCACATGGATACTAGGGTGCAACGCAGAGAGACAACAATTGAACGGCTTGACGAGCAGGATCCAATGCAAAGATTGACTCGATTGGAAGAAATTTGCGGCAGGATTGACGAGGATCTGCGTGTTGTACAGGACAGCATCAAAATAGTCTTTGAAAACCAAAACGCGGTGGTTGGAATGTCATTCGAAGCCGACAGGAATGCATCAGATGAACCAAATGAGAGCCAACAGGGGGAAACCACATCGGCAGATCCAATCCAGAGAGACACAATACGGAGGGATTGGCAGAACCAAAGATACAATGAACCTATTATACGACCTTTGTTTGACGGTAGGCTTATTCTACACAAATTATTATCAACCAAATTTGTAATTTTCTGTCCGAGAGACGTCGATGGAGTGAGATAAACGAAAATGAGTTAATTCGAATTAAAAACTTTCGTTTTAACATTCCCATGCGCATGTTCAGTGTGCACGAAATACCGAAATGCAGCATTCTCTGAACACCCATCTTAAGATTTCAACTGAAATTGGACGATAAATGGATCACTTAGTGATACTGTAGTTCGCTGATCCTTTTTTAAGTTCATTTAAAATTTTTTAGCACGAAGTTCAATAGATTATATGTCAATTATTTATGCAATCGTTGATTAGGTTTAAAACCTCGTCATTTTAGTCTTCATCTTTGGGTATAAAATAAGTTACCTTCATTTTTTCTCTAAAGTGTTCAATAGATATAACTGTGAACATTATTTTCTTACAGATGTTGATCGAATACCGGCCTAATTTTCCTTGTTTCGAAAACATAACTGAATTTATCATAGTTAGAAGTGATGATTTCTATGTCGTCATAGTAACTGAGCCTACTGGCATCGCGGTTTTACTCACGAAAGTTTTACCTTTTCATTTTTCAATTAATACCGAGGTCAAACTAAACTTTTGTTAGGAGAATGTTTTATGTTATGCAATCTCTGCAACACGTTTGCTAAACGATTTCTTTGACTCAAATTTGTAGGATATGAAAAGGAACTCAACGACGTGGAAGGAGAAAGAGATTCACTGAAAACCAAATCTGGTAAATCAGACCAAACGAACCAAAGACAACTGGAGAAGAAAAGAAAGTTAAAAACAAATAATAAACAAGTTAAAGAGGAAAGAAACGAAGCCATTGAACCAAACAAAGCAATGGTGGAGCAGATTCAAAAGCTTGAAGCCAAGAAAAAGGAGCTCGAAATGACGTTAAATGGTCAAACCGATCTGAAGACCGAAAATAAAGAGCTGTCGACTCAAATAGAAAGGCTGACAAAAAAAGCAAACAACTCTGAGTTTGAGTGCAAGCGGCTACAAGAGGAGCTCAAGACGTACATAAATTACCAAAGTCGTAAGTACACGAAATAACTTTTTAAAAGATAGTATTGACTTTCCATCTTTGGCCAATCTGTTTAAGTATAAAGTGGTACAGCCTTGCGCTATCTCTATTTACGTATCTGTCAAATTAGCTTAGTTTTTCTTTAACCCCTTCTTTTTCGTTAAGCACATTTTTCGCTGATGTTGAATGATATACAAATGGGGAGGGGAGGCAAGGTATTTTTTTTTCTTTTAATGTTATCCATCATACTTTCGTTTCCACTTAGGCGTTTTCTTACCAGCTGGAAAGGAATTTGCCGGCATATGCACTGGTGTCATCTGCTTCCTAAAACAAAGATTAAGAGATGCACCTTGCGCTGAATTGATTGCTTCCAGATCTTCCGATGGCCTTGGAGATGAGGCTGACGTATTGAACCATAAGACAGGCACCGTCAGTGGGACAGAAGAAAAGAAAAATTCGTGGTGGTCTATTGACCTGGGCTCAAACCATCGGCTTGTGATCACACACTACGCTTTGAGGCACGGCAAAAGAGAAAAAGAGTCACTGCTAACCCAATGGCAGCTGAAGGGATCCAATGATGGGAAGCAATGGGAAAACATTGAAACTATTCACGACAAGAAAGATCCACAGTTCAAAGACCCTACTCCATTTTGTACAGGCAAATGGTCTGTCAAAGGGGAAATAGGGCCTTTTCGTTTTTTTCGAATTTTCCAGACAGGTGTTAATTCCTCTGGCAAATATGGAATATACCTATCTGGAATTGAGTTGTACGGAGTACTTCTGAACATGTGTGAGCTGGGAGCTATGGAGGCTTTATCCTATAAAGTTTTCATCAAGCAGCCGAAATAAAAAGTAAACTCTCAGAAAGCAAGGTCTTTGTACGACCCCCAATTAAAAGTGTCTTTGAGGGGCCACATTACTTTTTCTCTTTTATCTCTTATATTTTTATTCAGAGTGTGATGTTTTCTTCGTTTTGCTACATTCAGAATATTGCAATTCGCTGTTGGTTTTAAATGAAATGTAAGTTAAAAAAGTAAGACGATTGATTATTTTTTCAAGGGTATGGCAAATCAATATTTTACAAGCAGTTATAAGAAATTGTAGACATTGAAAAGCAAGATAATGATAATGAACATTGAAAAGTAAGATAATCAGTTAGTTGTCAAAGTCGCCAGAGTATCTTTACAAATGATCTTCTAACACAACCTAAGCGACAGAGTGTTGATCTTAGCTTGCCCGAGTTTATATTGAAGAATTCGTTTAGATAGGAAGTTGCTAGTTTATAGAATTCTTCAAAACCCCGTAATAGGGAAGAACTATCAACGTTTTTTAAAAGTAATAAGGACTGTAGCCTTTAGAGTGCTTTGTAGATTGTCAGGTTTTTTTAAAATTATTTTCTACAAGATATTTTTGCCAGCAAGTAACTGGTTTAAACACGTCGCGTGAGTGTTTATACCAGAGTTATTCCCCAATATAAACCTTGCATTAAATACGATAAAAGTCGATAACTCTTAAGATAAAGACATTTGTTTGTTAATGAATTCGAACAAGAGAACACCGAAAAGTGAACATTGCACGCAGTAAACGGTTAGCTGTTCGTAAAAATTTTGTGCCACGCGTTCCAAAAGTGTTTGAAGTGTACTAAAAACACAGGCCTCCATTTGGCGCGAAAATATGTACCGATAAGCATATGATCTGTTCCGAGAAGCAAACCCTTTTCCAAGAGCTATAGCTTATTGCTTTTTCCCAAGAATTATTAACGTTTTATATTGGCTATTAGGGGTGTAGTTTTTAAAAGTGCTGAATAGATTGTGTACTAAATTTTCAGTAGCATTAGTATTAATTAAAAACAATTTCTTTCTTTCGAACATAAGAAACTAAAAAGTGTTGTGCGACTCAGGTTCTGATCAGTAGCCACCGCATATAACTATAACTGGCGTTTTCTTACGATACTGCAGTCTGATTGGCTATTCTGTTTTAGAATAAATCTGCTAGCGCTTTATCAAAACTGCTGCAATCTGATTGGTCACGCTTCAGCTTTTTGACCCTAACCTTTAGGAGAGTAGAGTGGATTACCATTGTGTGATTGAAACAAAATAAAATGAACACATAAACCTGTCTAGTTGAAAAGTTTTGGACGACTGGTAGATTTGTACCAAAACAATTAGTACAAGAGCTTTAGATTTCTTTACGTCGGATAAGAGACTCGACTTCGCCCTCATCAACTACATCATGGGATAGAAATCTCGGGTTCCGTCACAATATAGTTGTTAGATACATGTAGATGGTGAGTTGATTGGGTAGCACGTGGCGTGAACTATTTATGTTATAATTAGACGAGATCATGAGCCTGTCCGCTTTTAAGTCTTAAACGACTAAGGATATGATAAAACGTCATCTATGCGCCTGTCCTCCAAAAATCATACGTACGAACCAATCAAACTGCCCTAATAGAGCCTCGTTTTTGCGGATTCGCGGGGAAAGTATTTCATTACTTGCACTCAGATTCATACTAACTAAAACTAAGTCCTTTATAATGATAAAAAAAAGTGATGGAAAGCGTAAATAATCAAGGTAGGTTTCAAGAGACTGAATCAATTTCTGAAGACGTTTTTAATACAGTACGTTATCTCAAAGCTGTTGGTGGGATCGTATTTGTATCAGTTATCTGTTATGAAGTATCATCACAACATCTGAGTAAGGTTGAGAGAAACTTTTTTCCCACAAAATATCATTGTTACATTCCCACCTATCATAATTGTTTGTAGAGTGGCACAGATTAAACAACATTAAAGTAAGCGTCTATTTTATCAAATGTAAGTCTGAAGTGGTTTTTTTTCTTCACAAGTCGAAAAGACACGAAAAAGACGCGAGTCGCGCTCTTTTCCTCGCTTTACGCGTGTGTCTACTCGAGCTCTTTTCGCCTCGCGCGCGTTGTGATTTTCTTATCAACCAACTGTTTGGCAAACGTGATAATGCCTCTCTTGTCTTGTTTTTGTTTTTCCATCCATTTGTAAGCCAAAGGAGTGTGAGAATAGCTGTATTTTTTAAAATCAGAAGGTTGGAATCCTTTTTAATTTTAGTTTGACATGAGAAACAATGGCCTATAATTAACTCTCTATGCAAAACTGGATTGCCGCGAGCTCAAGCCCTGTTCAGAAGGAATGTTTCAGACCATTAAAAATAATCATGAGCACTGTGGGCTTCCTTTCCCGTGTGCATCGTCAAAGCCTTATCTTCTATAAGTCTCCCTAAATTCTAATGTTTACTTTCAACCGCACACGATCCTTGAAATTCTTTGATAAAAAGTTTGCTCCTGAAGCATGGATCTCAATATATTTTTAAAACCTGGAGATGCACTTTCCGCTCAGCCAATATTCAACACCAATTGAAATGCTCGTGTAAATAATCAAAAGTGTGAATAGTCTAAGGTAGACTGAAGAAATGGCCTGTGAGATGGTTAAAAAGGTTAAATTGAAGGAGCTAAACTAATTCTTATTCTCCTAACAGCTGTTTCATGCGTCAGCTGTGCGTTTATGGGGATATGAATCACGCAGGAAGTTAGAGCACCAAAGGCGCGTAAGAGTTTGTTGAGGCGTCGCCGAGTTTAATTCTAGCTTATTAAGTACCTCCTTTTTTCGATGAGCGCACAGCTGACTAATAAGTCCGTTATTTTATGAATTTTTCCGGGGTGTTAGCATAAAGATGTTCTATAAAGATTAGTTTATCGTCAGCGCACAAACACGTCATCATTTTTCACAACAGGATTTTTATGATAAAGTAAATTATACACGCATTTTGATAGGTTCTTACTTATGATCTTTTGGAGAACAGACGCATAGAAATCGTCACCATTAACAATAATTTGGCTTTTTTTTAATCATACAAAACAAATAGATTCCATATTAACGCTGGTCTGTACAGTAAATATGTATATAGATTAAAACATAGATCCATTTCTGCAACGAATATGTAATCCTAAACTATCAATGGGATCACATTGCAGCCTCACACCTGGCCTGAAATGTAATCGAACATCTGAATAAGCTAATTTTTCAGATAATGCAAAATGGCCGCGGTAAACTTTTTACAGTGGGCGATATACATTTCCAACGCAGTTGGTGAAACCCACATTTTCCAAGTTTCTAGATAATTTGAGCATGGGATCCTGGGGCTATGCGCCGACTCAGCTAAACAATTATTGGATGAGGTTTTTGTGATATCTAGAATAATCAAGGTCGGGGTAGAGGTTACCGAGACCTTGATTATTCTGGATATCACAAAAACCGAATCTAATAATTGTTTCATTACACATTGGACGAAAAAACAATGGTCACTTCAGTAAGTGGAACTGATAACTTATTTCTAGGCGTGTAAAAGTATACAAATCAGCAGGCAACACAAAGCGCGCGAACTTGACACGATTACCCGCAGAAATCATTCACCGCGGTCATACATGACATGATTACTGTGACCTTGAGTGTCTTTGACCTGATTATTGTATAATCTGCAGCTAGATGACGTCCTAGGCGCTGATTTCGAAAACTCACAGTACGCTTTCGGCTAATCAGAAAAGAGATAGTGAGTATCCAATAGCGGGCGGCCAATTTACGTTATCACCTCAGTTGATTATGCCAAATTACCCTGTTATACTCTCCCACCGACGAAGCTCCGCAGTTTCTTTAGAAACTTACCTCCCTTTGACATAATATCATGTCGAGTTCAAAGTCTACGTCATTTCTAAGCCCCCTCGTCCGAGTAGTGCCTCCTTTTGGAGGTTGGTTAAGAAATGCATAACATATCGGCTTTCGCATGATAACATGAATCATCAAACCTTGTGTCTGTGTTATCTGCCGAAGCATCAGACCTCGGCATTGATAATTCATGATATCATGCTCGACCTCATCTAATAATTGCCTATTTTTCTCTTGAAGTTGAATGAGCGTCAGTAAGAACTTGAACACACTTGTCAGTGATTGATGGGATGGTAAAAAGGCTGACTGTGTCAGTGTTATTACACACTTGTAAATTGTACGCGTAAATTTCGAGAACGAAGTCGCTGAATCGCCAAAATGCATATATTAAAATGCAAATTATCTCTTTAAATATACCAAAATCTGCCAGAGTTTAGAATAGGTCCTTGAATTCTCTCTTCTCGACTCCAGACCGGCTACAAGAGCATTCTGCGATAAGGGCATCATGTGAGTTTAATTATCTCTGAGAGTGGTGCCCTAAACGTTCTAGAAAAGTTACTGACTTTGTGGTGTGCAATCAGTCAGGATCAGTTTCAACGGTAAGCCTTGCCTTAAGAATAGTCAGTATATGGTTTGAACCTAGGAGTAACTGTCGATCTTGTAGTCTGATCATCCGAGGGAGAGTAGTCTTGAAAAAGACTGTTGTCGGTTATGTAAAAGTTACTGACGTTTGGACAACTTCAGGCAGGGGAAAAGTTATAGCGAGGTTAGGGGGGGCCTTAGAATTTCTAGGGTAACACTCTGTCATTTACAATCAGCATGAAGAGAACCTTATCATCCGTTTAAAACATCCGTGTCTCAAGACAGGGAAGTAGAGACTTTATCCAAGAAAATTTATAGTTCGAGATCGGAGAGGACCCCAGACACCCTGTACACTTCATGTCGACAAAAGTCAGTTCTCATTACACGATTTTATTTTCCAAACTAGTATTCAGTTATGTGGAAATACGCCAGCAATGGTATTCAACAACAACTTAAATAATACGACAGTCAGCTATTAATTCTCTCCGTCAAGCTTCTTGACCCGGATTAAAGAATGTCAACAAACAGAATATCAGTACACAGCAATTGTACACGTAATAGATACTGCGACTAACAGGCAAAGCTGAGTCTTAAGCTGCTTTTCGTTGCCGAAATTTCTTTGCTATACCTTATCAAATAATACTTTGAGAAGGGTAACCTGATACTAGGAGAAGACAAATGCTGCGATTTAATTGATTGATCATGCAGACGTAATTGGTAAAATAGTGAAAGAAACCATAGCAACCACATTTAATAAACTTCGTCCCCAATTATCATCGCAGTTTTGATTCTTTCGTTTCAAGTAAGATGTAGGAAGGCGGGAATGTTTCATAGAATGAAAATTGCGAGACAGTGAAAAATAAAAAATAATGGGGTTCTGGAATGTGGAAAAAATTGAAGCAATTTATTATTGTCTAAAGATGATGCTTAACATCATACAGTGCTCAGACACCATAAATCATTCGCAACCATCGAAGCAGGCAAATTTGAATGATTCGAAAACTTATGTAATGTTTAGCCATAACTTGTGCATTTGAAGAATTTCAAACTTTGGACTGTATAGGCACGTAAAATTGAAAGAAATCCACGCAAAAACAAAAAACCAATCTGATTTTTTAGATGTTTGAAGTAACCAATCAAATGAAAGGCAAAGAAGATCAAAGAGGCCGTCGTGGGGGAAATTTTGCAACTCTTTACAAACAACCTCAATACTGGATCAATAAAGTATTTGTGCTGAAAAAAAAACACTTGCATTTGGGCAATTGAACTTTGTGATTTCAAAATGGATGCACTAAGAGTGGTAATTGAACTTCGTATCTTTAAATTTAAATCTGAAATTATACTTGTGATTTCAAATCGAACTCACTCTGCGTGTTTGTTCGACTTTGAAGTCATGCGTATGATCTAAGACTTGATAATATAATTGAAAAACGTTCAGCATGCTTATTGACCGAGAACACGTCAATTAATCCCAAACAGTGCTGATAGTCGAAATTGAGTGCAGAAAGTTTCGGTGGTCCCAAAGAGGACACGCTACCTACTTTTAAATAAGATTTATCGCGCGATGAAATCAAAGTATTTCACGTTAAATGGAAATTATTTGCTTCAACCAGATAAACAATGCGTAAATCTCTGTTCTTTACAGCAACACATCTTCATTCAGCCTCTATACCAAAACGCTTCTTCGGGTTTCAAGGACACCACCATTGAACTGGGAGCTAATCATATATAGTACTTTCTTCATAACGGGATGGATGTTAAAGCTATTGCTATAGCAAGTTAATTCACCTTACCAGCCTGTTAACCATTAGTAATAGAATTGGAATAAAAACCTGGTTGGCCTTACTTAAACAGGATCTGTCCTTCGGTCATGCGCTCTTTCTTCAATAAAGTTTTTTGTTTTCTTCAGTTTATTTAGCCGAGTCGGGAGGTGAAGATAACCGATTCTCTTGGACGGATGGGGGATTCTGACGACAGCAATAAAGGTTCTCAATTAAATTCATAATTTCCTAAAACGGTATTAAGTTTACTCATTATCCCTTCCAAGTCGTTACCTGTTACTGATAAACAGGATATCCGGAGTTATAATTTTTGCGACTCCCAGTGCACATTTTTTTGCTGTCTGTTCATAATTTTCGAGTCAAAATTTTTGATCAAATAGGATGTTTACTTATTTTGCAGCCACCTCTAGTGGTCTACAGTTTGAGCAGGTTCTTATCAATGCAAACCAGAAGGAGTTAATATGTGAGGAAGTAGGTAAACACTGGAAAAAACTGGGTTCAGCCTTAGGGCTCTCATCAGCTTTTCTGAATAACACTGAGACTGATCACAGCGGTGATTGCTGTGAAAGGGTACTAAAAGTGCTTGAAAAGTGGCAACAAGAAAACGGAAGTGTAGCAACAATGGAAGTTCTTAAAAATGCTCTGGTGAAGATAGGGAGGACAGATGTTGCCGAAAAACTGCTTGGTATGTAATCTCCTTTTGTGAAGGAAACTCGGTCAACACCAGGTCTATCTACTTTCATAACGAAAAAACTTAATACCTAAGTAGAAAAAGACCTTGAAGCGAAAGACTTCATGGTTACGTTAAGGAAGTTTCTTTTTAAATAGAGCTCGCGCCGCGAACAGCTTCAATTATATCGTTGTTATACAAAGAGAGAGGTAATCAGTTATACGTAAGCCTCACTAAAGATTTAAATGAATATATAAGTTTTGCTGACGGGAGGCAATAGCTTGTGAGGTCCACAGGCGTGTCAACGCACAGTTTTTGCGAGGTTGAAGCATCACCGCGAAGGCCGCTTAGCGCCACTTTAAACTCGAGTCAGATCTCCTCAAAATAATTGAAAACATTGAACTATTTCGCTACTGCAATTGCATGAGCCAGCATTTGAATACGTAGTTGTGGGGGAGTCTTACTGGAATCTAGCGCAATGTTATCACCTTAAGAGCATTTCATGAAGAGCCAGCAACCTTACTACCGTGTACATCCGCAAATGATTTACCTCTTTCTACATAGAAATAAGAAAAGTGGAGACAAGCTCACGTTACGATAAAGCGCGATTTCAGAGGTTACAAAGTACAGTGGAACGGTTGGGGAAGGATCTAAAGGAAAGAATCCAATGCATGGAGGAAAAATTTTCAGAGCTGCAAAAGTACCTCTCAATTAGAAATATTAATCTGAAAAATCAGGAGCAGAAAATGATTCCAGTTGGAGAAGATGATGATTCTCGTCAGCCAGCCGGGCTGGCTGACCGCACTCAGAAAGGCAATGGACAGAGATATAGGGATAGGCAAACATGCGAGGGTTCAACTACGGATGGTAAGTTGATATTGCATGAAATTGTGTGAGCCACCATCCGCCATAGCAGAGACCGAGGTGGGGAAGAGGCCTGAGGGCCCTCAGCCCTATAACAAAGTAAGAAAAATTTAAATTGGCAAAACATTAATCATTTTTCAGAAATACTAGTGCGCGTAACGGAGAAAAGCTGAAATTGAAATTGACAAGGTACACATGCGTTAAACTGACAGTCAAAAACTTCACAAATGTCCTTCCTTTAACTAGCTTTTACGGTGAACGAACCACCTAGAAAAACAAGCAACTTTTTTCTAAAGGTGCAATAAATTTTTGCCCGGAGTTATCAACATAGTCTAAACTGGCGCTGTACCCGTGTCCCTGTGACCGTGGGCTAAAATGATCTGGCTAGTATTTTTCTTCTTTTCGCTACATCCTTGATCAAAATACACTGGTGTATACCAATTGAACGAAAAGTAATTGTGCGGAAGAATACCCAATTAGAATAGCTTCCAAGTCTTAAAATCGACGAAGACAACAGTCGTACTTTAAAATCATCAAGGTACACATTTGTAGACCTCGAAAACGAAGAGCAAACGTGTAGAAGAAACTCGAATTGAAATAAACTGGCTTCAAAAGCCTAAAAATCGACGATGAAAACAGTCACAGCGATATACATGGACAGAAATATTTTATGGCGCCGCGTGAGCGATGAAACATTTCCATATCTATCTTCGGGACAGACGCCAGTTTGAACTATGTTGATAACTCCGGGCAAATATTTCGGCTTTTGTATCGCCACCCAGATGTTTGAGCATGTGACAATAGTATGATTTGGGATAGGGGCAAACCTAGAGTGGGAAGCTCACGATTTTCATCCCCAGTTTCCTGTGTTTTGGAACTTAGAACATCTGGGAAGACGATGCATACGAACGGCTTGCAGGAGCTCGAGTAAGTTGATTTTCGCGTATCGATTTGGCTACCACATGGCTATACGTTACACCTATTTGGCAGCTGGTTTACCATGTCTTAGGGTTTTAAAGATTTGATATAATTTGACCTTTGAAAGCGATTTTATTCTTTTTGCAAGTTGATTGTGTGTATCTGTTGTAGCTACACATATTCGGCATCTTATCTACCATGTTTTGAGGTTTTTACAGATTTAATTTGATTTGACCTTTCTTTCTGTCACCCAGTCAACTTGTGAGCCATATCGCTTCTAGGGCGTGAATCTTAAGTCGGAGTTGGACATTTTATATAGCGGACACTTAAGCACTTCGTCCACAATCTCGACTCACACAACATAAAGCGAAATATGATAAATTTCCTGCTGGCCACTGGATCTTCTTCCGGTTCCTTAGGCCACGTTAGAAACTTAATGTTTTCGTAGTTACATATTATTTCATATGTTTAGAGACAAAACAATGTTTTCTCCTTGCCCGCTTTTATTATACGGACTCTCGCTATAATGGACACTAAATCTTTCCCTGAGGGCGTCGACTATATTCTAGTTTTAGTTTGTTTTGATACGTTCCGAGGTCAATATGGCCGTCAGCCTACTTACCCAGAATTTTAACCAATGAAATTACAAACAATCACGTTAACAAGATAATAAACAGCAATTATAAAACAAACCTCGCACACAGAGAGTAAATCTGTGGATAATTATCCAATAGCTTGTATTGAGCTTCTCTTTGTTAGCTATTAATGGCGTCCCTTGTTAACACAAGCCATGCGAAGCGCTTCGATATAGCTGCGTGACGCCATACTGGCATAGATTATTCGACACCAGCTTACGATAGAAAACAGTGGAAAAATAAATTTTGATATCTTTAAATATATTGATAGACAGTTAATACCAGCCATTTCCTCGGTCGCTTTTATTAGTACCATACTTTTAGTTGTTGTCTTCGCTGTCATCTAGGGCTGTTAGGCTGCCTATTTTTCTTTTCACATTTGGATGAAAGTTGGGCTGAAAATTAGAAAATTAGATTATTTTTCAAAACATCGCCTCATAACATCCCCTTGATTCGGCAAATATTTTTGGTAGGGTTGTCGGAGAAATACGAATAATGAAGTTTTTGTGGCCAGATCCTTATTGGTATCATAATGATTTAAATTGAGTAATTTTAAAGAAGCTAATCTGAGGATTGTTTATACAGAATGCCAGATATGTTCGTGTTTGAGAAAGGAACTAAATGACATGAGAACAGAGCACAAAAAAGATAAGAAGAAGTGGGAAGAAGAAGAAAAAAGTTTGAAAAAGGAAATCATGCAACTCAAGAGTAAAAATGATGCCTTGCAGGAAGCCTACAATGGACAACTGGCGACGATAAAAGAATTCGAAAAAACAAGCGATCCGATTACGAAAACGAAGGCAAAAGTTGTGGAAAACTTGGAAGAACAGATTGAAAATCTAAAAGCCGCGACAGAAAAATTAATGAAACTTATAAAAGATCAAACGGATCTAGAAGAGCTCAGGCAGTTAAAGGCTAAAATTTATGAGCTGTGGACTCAAAAAGAAAAGCTACGTAAAAGAGTAGAAAACAGTGAGATGGAGCGCAACAGGCTACAAGAGGAGCTTGGGAAGTACATCAACTCAAGAAGGCGTAAGTATAAAGGCACAAAGTTAATAGTGCCTTGATATCTGTTTTTTATAAGGATGTTTATTCACGTGTTATTCAAGTTTGGAAAACGGTCGGGTGGAGGGGGTAGGGATAACGTTCCCTTTTCGACTGTTTTCTGAGGTACTTGTCTTTCTCCGTTTAGGCGTTTTCTCGCCAACCGGAGAGCAATTTGGTGGAAACTGCCGTGGTGTCATATGCTTCTTGAAGAGAGAAGCCTCGGTTAAGCTGGTAGCTAACAGATCCACCGATTACATTGGAAATGTGAATGACATACTTAACCATGAGACGGCCACCATCAGTGGGACAGAGGATAAGGAAAATTCATGGTGGTCCATCGATCTGGGCTTACGCTATCGGCTTATAATCACAAACTGCTCTTTGAGGGACGGTAATATGTATGGAAAGTTAGCACCTATAAATTGGAAACTAGAGGGATCTAATGATGGAGAGAAATGGGATAGTCTTGAAACTATTCACATGAAGGATTCACAGTGTATGTGCAGAGACACATCTTTGTATCATACGAGAATTTGGTCTGTTGTGGGGGAAATAGCGCCTTTTCGTTTTTTTCGAATTTTCCAGACAGGTACAAATTCCTCTGACAGCAATGGATTATATCTATCTGGAATTGAGCTTTATGGAATACTTCTAAACATTTGAGAGCTGACAACTAGGGAGGCTTTTAACCTTTAATGTTTTCATCAAGCGGCTGAGATAAAAAAGTAACCCCTCAAATCAAGGTCTGTGTGTGAGTTACCTTTAAAAGTGCCTGTGAGGGGTCACATAACTTTTTCTTTGTAATCTCTTATATCTTCACTTAGAGTGTGATTTTTCGTTCGTTTTGCAACAATTAGAACATTTCAATTTGCTGTTTGGTTTTAAGTGAAATGCAAGTCAAAAAAAAAAAATTAAGATGCCCTATTCTTTGGTCAATTTTTTAAGGGTGTGGCAAATCAATATTTTATAGGCAGTTACATGAAATTGTAGATATTGAAAATAAAGAGAACGGAAAAATTTTTTAGTTGTCTATGCTGCAAGAATATCGTTGTAAATGATCATCTAACACAACCTAAGTAATAGAGTGTTGATCTTAGTTTGCCCGAGTTTGTAACGAAGAATTCGTTTATTTAGGAAATTGCTAGGTTATTGAATCCTTCAGAACCAAGTAGTAGGGGAGAATTATCAGCGTTTTTAAAATAGTGATGACTGTAGCTTTTAGAGTGCTTTATAGATTGTCAGTTTTTTCTTTATCATCCACCAAATATTTGTGCTGGAGAATGGTAACACATGAAAACCGGGTATAAAAGTTGCTCTAAAGGGGAAAAGTTGCTCATAGGGTCGTAAGCAGCCAAACTCGTAACTTTCGAACATAAGAAACTAAAAAGTGCTGTGCGACTCAGGTTCTGGTCAGTAGCCACCACATATAACTATAACTGGCGTTCTCTCGCGGATACTGAAGTCTGATTGGCTATGCCCCTCGCTATTCCGTTTTAGAATAAATCAACTAGCGCTCTATCAAAACTACTGCAATCTGATTGGCTATACTAGTAGCTCTTTATTCCGTGATAGATAGTGAGTAAAGTGAGTGGATTATCGATGTGATTGGAAACAAAATAAAATGAAAACATGAGCGTGTCTTGTTGAAAACTTTTGGACGACTGGAAGATTGGTACCAAAACAGTTAGAATAGGAGCTTTAGATTTCTTCACATAGGATAAGATATTCGCCCTCATCAACTGCATCACGGATTAGGAATCTCGAGCTCCACCACATTCTAATTTTCAGATATATGTAGATAGTGAGTGTGACCTCTGGAAGATTGGTACCAAAACAGTTAGAATAGGAGCTTTAGATTTCTTCACATAGGATAAGATATTCGCCCTCATCAACTGCATCACGGATTAGGAATCTCGAGCTCCACCACATTCTAATTTTCAGATATATGTAGATAGTGGTGTGACCTCTTTTTATCATTATTCGACAAAAACATGGGCCTGTCTGCTTTTAAGTCTTAAACGACTAATGATATGATAAAAAACAATCGAATTGCTCTAATTGAGCCTCGTTTTTCTGGATTCGCGGGGAAAGTATTCCGTTACTTGCAATCAGATTCACACCAACTGTAACTAAGTCCACCATACTGATAAAAAAATGATGGAGAGCGTAAACAATCAAGGTAAGTTTCAAGAGACTTAATCGATTTCTGAGGAAATCTTTATATTTCTGCACAGTACAAGTTATCTCAAGCTTTTATTGGTGGGATCGTATTGGAGTCAGTTATCCAATATGAAGTATCATCAAAATATCTGAATAAGGTTGAGAGCGGTTGTTCCCCTCAAAGTATCATTGTTAAATTCCCAGCTACTGTAATTGAAGGTGGAGCAGCAGAGATTAAAAACATTAAAGTAAGAGTCTATTTATCAAATGCAAGTCTGAGTGGTTTTTTTTTCTTCACAAGTTGAAAAGACACGAAAAAGACGCGAGACGCGCTTTTACGTTACTCGAGCTCTTTTCGTCTCACGCGCGTTGTGATAGTCTCAGCAACCAACTGTTTGGCAAACGTAATAATGCCTCTTGTCTTGTATTTGTTGTTTTTCCGTCCATTTGTAAGCCAAAAGAGTTTGATAATAGCTGTTTTTTCAACAACAGAAGGTTTCAATTCTTTTTAATTTTAGTTTGATATGAAAGAAAAAAGCCAAAGGCTGAGGCTGATAACCCTTACCTTGTTTATTCTGGATATCAGAAAAACCGAATTTAATAATTGTTTTATTATACATTGAAAGAAAAAAAAAAGGTCACTACAGTAAGTGGAACTGATAATTTATTTGTAAACGTGTAAAAGTACTGAAATCAGCAAGCAACATGAAGCGCGCGAAGTTGACATGATTACCCGTAGAGATCATACACTGCAGTCATACATGACATGATTACCGTGACTTTGAGTGACCTTGACTTGATTACTGTATAATCTGCAGATAGATGACGTTCCAGGAGCTGATTTCGGAAATTCGGCCAATCGCTGGTTTCGAAATTTCGGCCAATCACAAACAGATAGTGAGTTAAGCGCGCGGCCAGAACGATCACGCTACATAGCTGAGTTGTAGAAAACTGTGAAGAAACGTCGCAATCTATGGTGGGGAAAGGAGAAATCTAGAGGAAAGGACGAAGGTATTGCGTGGCTGGAGCGCCAAATGATGTTTGCTACAAGAGTAATACACACATGCCGGGTATTTCTATACACTACTTTCCAAAGGATGTAGCTGCATGGCAAAATGGACGCGTTTCGATCGTCGACATCGAGGAGATTTTACTCTTCAATGTCGTCAGCCTTATGCCCCGTACCGGCTTCGAAGACGCCTGTAACGAACACATAGCACTTGTCAAATCAGGGGAAGATAACAAGTGAATTCAGCTAAGAAGAATGCTGATTAAGGAGCCTGTTTTCACGCCGTACACGATTGTTCAACATTCTTTTCGAGAACCCCTTATTGTTGTTTATTTCACGCGCTTGAGATGTACTGATACTCCCTGTCATGACTACATTTTCACTTTTCTTATCGGATGAAAACCCTACCAATTGTAGTTTCCATCGTATTTAACTGACAGAAATACATCATTTGTAATAAAGTTAAAGCCCTTTCCTGATATCAATGATGTAATCTCACTCGTTTTCCGTTCGGTTTGACCGGCTCGACGATCGCGACGATGGCCTCTTCCTTTGCAATCTCTGAGGAAAGAAGCAACTTGCAGTGAAACTATCCGATGACTTCTGATTAAAAAATCATCGTGCCTCGTGACACAGCTGATTCTTTCGCCAAAAGTTTGCTTTTGGTTTAGAAAGGGAATTTCTCTACAGCAGCAAAACTCTAGAGCACTGACCGAGAGGAACCTTCGCCGCACATAGTGCGAAGAAATAAAATGTTATGGCAACAGAAACGAACACAGCTATTCGTTCTCTGGATAGATTTCGCCATAGAAAACAAAACACAAACGCAACAAGCCAAACATTCGGTAACAGGAACTTTTCGTTTTAATCTTGACCTCAGTGAACACCGCAGGGGAGAAATCGTCTTTTTCAGTGTTCGTTGAAATCTTCGTTTGAGGCACGCGGTTCTCCTTCATAGGGCTGAACCGTACACGCAACTTTCATTTCTTATCTACTGCTTGAGTACGATATATTACAACTCTCGGTAGAGCTTACTGAAGGTAGACATACATCGCTATCAGACATTATTTCAGGAGTATTTCAACGCTGACTGATACAAAATTACAAGAGTTGTGAGAGATTTGTAAGTGTCAACTGAGAGTTTTCACAGTTTTCTACGTCATCACCCGATAATTTGTTACCAGTCCACGGGACGCTCAAAAGACAAAATAAGAGCTCTTTAGGGCCCGAAGAAACCGAGTTTTAAGTTTTTTGAATTTTTTTTTCAGTCGGAGTTGGTTTTTTACATATGATAAGCTAGATGTTAACGCAAAAAAAAAAATTTTTTGTCATGCGTATCAAGAAAAGTGGGTCGACATAGATAACAATAGGCTTTGTTATAATGACCCCATATGGCCATTTTTGAACAATGGCACAACAGCTTCAGAACACATGAGGGATTTTTCGAAGTTTCCGATTAGCATACAATCGGGAAATTTAAACGCTCGGAAAGGCTGAAGGAAAGACAGCGAAAAGGAAATTTGAGGGGAGAAAATAGCAGCGAGAAAGTCGGAGGGGGAAACCTTCACTCTCCCGCTATACGGACTATCTAATCACGACTTCGCCGCTCCCAGAGTAATCTTTCATAGTATGAGAGCAGTTCAAATCTCGCGTGGGCTATGCAAGTCAGACTTAATTCCTTGTGTGCACAATAAGTATTATAATAAAGTTCGGATGTAGCGCGCGTTGTCATTGGTTGAAAGAACGTGCTCTATGAGAGTATATAGCATAGAGCATAGAGCTGAGCTAAAGCTGTCACGCCATCTGCCGAATTGTACTGTTAGACCTTTTCCGGGACTTCTTTTTAGTTTTTTTTTCGATGATTGAAAGTGAAATTTTGGAACAAGCGAGCCGGCAAGTAGCAACAGAAGAACCAAACAAAGGTTTGTAAACATACCAGGCGCCGTAATTTACGTTAATAAAATGTGAGCAGAGGCGAAAATCCTCAAGGGGAAAACAAAATAGACAGTCCGAGTTTTGCGGCGCTATCATCCCGAGCGATCTTCATGTTCCGGTGAATTCGGCTGTCGTTCATTCATAAAACACTCGCCTTAATCAGTTTGTTTTCTACCTTTTCATGTGAAAAAACTCGTGTGTTTTTAGGAGCCATAATTCGGTTTAAGTTCACTGAACATTTCACTTTAAGATTCTGTATTACTTCAGGAAAAAGTGTTAAATTCGACCTGCCGAACTATTTTAGCTTGTAAACTATCGCAGAATGTGAACTTTGATGGTTTGACATTTTTGACAGCTTTGGTCTTGTACAGCCAATCAGATTATTTGAACCATTCTAACAGGGATTCTTGGCTTATTGTAGCGTGCTTTATGAGAGTATAGAGCATGCTGACGACACTGTTGTTCGCTTTCGAAATAGAGTTTGTTTTAAACATTGAAAGTAATGCTTAGGGAATTTAACGGATTCTTTGTTATAAAACAAATAGAGAAGCCTTGACTGTGCTCTGTGCTGTTGTAAAGAACTTAGGAGCGGCTAGAGCACTCAAGAAGTGGGGAGAAACATGAGACTACGTCTCGTGTTTCTCCCTACACTTCTTTCGTGCTCTAGCCGCTTCCTGCGTGCTTTATAACAAAACAGAGCACAGTCAAGGCTTCTCTATTTGTTAATTAATCAGTAGTGAAGATAAGGCTTGAAAAAAAAAATCACTGCAAGTGTTTATTACTAAGATCGCTTCCATATTCAAAGGTAGTAGAGATGCAAATTTTTTATGATCATTGTTTTCAAGGGTATTGCTAATCAGTGTCTTACCAACTGAGCTAACAAGCCAACTTGGAGCTGGTCATGATGTTGGCTCCAGATAAACCCGTGAAGTGGTGAATAAATCACTGCAAATATTTGAAAATTATATATATGTAAACTGCGGATCAAGAAATGAATATGGAATCAATTTTTGCAGTAATGAACACTACCTAAGCAGTATTGAAAGTAAGGCCTGAAAAAAAATTCACTGCTGCTTAAGTAGTGATCATTACTAAGATCGCTTTCATATTCAAAGATAGTAAAGATGCAAATTTTTATGATAGTGTTTTTTTAAGGGTATCGTTAATCAGTGTCTTAGAAGCAGTTACATGAAATTGTAGACATTAAAAGGTAAGAGAATGGGAGAATCTTCCAGTTGCCGATGCTGCTTTATACTGAAGTTACCGTATCACAATGGTCTAGAGTATAAGTAAGACATGTAAACAATCATCTTACACATGAGCCTTAGTGATCGATAGAGTGTCAATCTTCGTCTGCTCGAGATTTGTCACGAGGAACTCATTCATCTAGGAAATTAGTGGGTTATTGAATTTTCCAAACCCGGGGAGAAGGGGAGAATTATCAAACTGTTAACAATCGTGATAAGGGGCGTATTTTTCTAAAGTGTTATGTGGATTGTCAGCCTATTTTTCAAAAACATCCGCATTAGTATTTCTGACGAGCTTTCAGTGGATAGACTTAAAGTGGGGAAATAAAAGATCACTTGATTGAGTGAAGCGTTTTGTGTTCATCTGTTAATTGACGCACGCAAAATGACGAGGGAGTAGAACACCGAAGTCGACTCAGAGAGAAAGACTTTTGACAATGTGCTAAACACAATTAGAGACTGAAGCGTTTTTTCTCTAATTCGAGTTCTGAGGAAGGATAACTCATGAGGACCGGGTATAACAGTAACTATAAAGAGGAAAAGTTGATCTTAGAGTCAAATAGCCAAACGTTGTCGAATATTAGAATGTAAATGGGGTTGTGCAGCTCATGTTTTATCAAAACGCAGCAATCTGATTGGCCACGCTACTCGCTCTCTATTCGGCGTTAATTAAGTACTGAGTAACCTACCAGTGTGCGTTTGGAAACAAAATGAAATAAAAGTATTAGCCTGTTTTGTTAAATTTGGACGACTAGTAGATTTAATATAAAAAGATAAGATTATTTGCTCTCGATTTCCAAACGTGACAGGTGATTCACGCTTCGCACTCATCAAACTTTCCCATTAGAGGAATCTCAAGCTCATGATCCAACCATTAACCCTTTCATTCGTCCTTACTTGAGGGGAGGGAGAAGGGAGTTTGAACCTCACCCGGGTGATGGTGAGGAATTTTAACCGGAAGTATCAAGTCTTTCAGAGGGATGCAAATGTTATATCTTTGAATATAAAAGTTTCAAATGTAAGTAGTTTACTTTCGCGAGCGGATGGCTCAGAAGAGAAAGTCTAAAATATCTAAGTTCTAAGGCTTGGTCCTGAGATGTAGAATTTTTCTTTTTACCGAAAAAACTGGGCGGGAATTTGAACAAACCAGTCTTTTTCCCGGAGGTTTGCCTAGGGGAGGATGCTAAAGCTTCGACTCGATCGACGTATTAACTCCAACTTAGACTCCAATGTCTAAAAAATTGAGTCTTGAGTGCCAAAATATTCCAAGGTGTGAATAATCCAAGGTAGACCGGAGAAATGGCCCGTGAGCGGGTTAAAAAGGCCCATTTGAAAAGAAGTTTTATTGATTCTTATACTCCTAACAGTTTTTCCATGTGTCAGCTGTGCCTTCATCGGGATATGAAGCAACCGGGAAGTTTGAAGAGCACCAAAGGTGCGTAAGAGTTTGTTGAGGTGTAACCAATATAATTCTAGCTTCTTGAGTACTTCTTTTTCTGATGAGCGCACAGCTGACTCATGAATCAGTTATATTACCGGGTTGTTAGCATAAAGATGTACTATAAAGAGTAGTTTATCGTCAGCGCACACACACCCGTCAACCGCCCCCTTAGTACAGATTTCTCTATCTCTCCAGCCTTCCGCTGCCATTACAATCAAGGATGGCGGCCGTAATTTTTACTGAGCACTTGCTCGCCAAAATTACTCCTTCTCTGTAGGCAAGCAATAATTTGGCTTTTTTTAATCATATAAAACAAATGGATTCCATGTTGCCATGGGTCTGTACAGTAAATACATAGATTCAGTAAGACATAGATCAATTTCTGCACCGAACATGTCATTCCAAACAACTATCAATAGGATCACGTTACTGTCACACACTTAGCCTGAAATGTAATCCGAACATCTGAATAAGCTAATTGTTCAGATAATGTAAATTGACCACCGAAAACTTTTTACGGTTGGCGATATACATTACCAACGCAGTTGATAAAGCCAAATTTTCTTAGTGTCTAGATAGTTTGTGCATGAGACCTTGGGGCTATGCCTAGTTTCTAAGCCCCTTCGTCCGAGTAGTGTTTCCAAACTTTGGCAACTCAGAGAGTAATATTTCCTTATGCAGATTTTTTAAATGATGTGTAATAAAACAATTATTGAATTCGGGTTTTGCGTGATATCTGCCAAAGCCAAACTCTTACCTCGGCTTTGATAATTCATGATAACATGCTCAACCTCATTCAATAATTGTTTATTATTCTCTGGAAGTTGAATGAACGCCAGTAAGAACTTGAACACACTTGTCTGTATTTGATAGGATGGTAAAAAGGCTGACTGTGTCGGTGTAATTACACAGTTAAGAGAGAATGTTGTTAAGTAGTCCTGAATATTTTGCATAAAAAAGTGAAACAAGTTGTCTGCATTTTTAACTGAGCAGTGAAGTAGGCAAGTCTTCACCAGGAATGTGAACTTATAGACTAGTTTCTTTGTCAAAATTTCTCATTTCGAGAACGATGTTGCTGAATCACAGAAATGCATTGATTCAAATGCAAATTATCTTTTAAATATACCAAAATCTGCCAGAGTTTACAATTGGTCCTTGAGTTCCTTCTTCTCGACTCCAGACCGGCTACAACAGTATTCTGTGGCAAGGGCATCATGTGAGTTTCATTATCTCGAAAAGCAGTGCCGTAAGCGTTCTCGAGAAGTTTCTTTTGTGGAGCGCAATTAGTCAGGTTCAATTTCAGCGGTAAGCCTTACTTTAAGAATAGAAAGTATATGGTTTGAACCTAGGAATAACTGTCGATCGTGTAGTCCGATCGTTTGAGAGAGAGTAGTCCTGAAAAGGACCGTTGTTGATAACTTAAAAGTCATTGACGTTTGGACAACCTCAGGCAGGGGAAAAAGTCATAAGAAACAAGTTACAGCGAGCTTAAGAGGGGCCTCAACATTTTGTCATTTACAATCAGCATGAAGAGAACCTTATCATCCGTTTAAAACATCCATGTCTCAAGACAGGAAAGAAGAGACTTCATCCAAGAAAATTTATATGTTAGAGATCGGAGGGAGCCCCAAACGACCTATCAAATTCATGTTTACAGAAGTCGGTCCTTGTCACAAGATTTTATTTTTCAAACTAGTAATTAATTCTGTGGAAATGCGCCAGCAATGCATTCAACCACAACATCAGTTAAATGATACGACAGTGCGTTTCATTCCCTTCGTCATGCTTCATGGCCCGAATTAACGAGTGTCAACAAATAAAAGATTAGTGCATAGCGACTGCAACCAACGGGCGAAGCTAAGCCAAGAGCTGCTTTTCGTTGCCGAATTTTCTTCCTCATCAAATAATACTTTGAGAAGGGTAACTTGACACTGAAAGAAGATAAATGCTACGATTTAATTGATTGTTCATGTAGACGTAATTAGTAAAATATGCGGAAATCTTTAATAATGAAAAGAAACCATAGCAACCATGTTTAATGAACGTGGTTCTCAATTATCATGGCAGGTTTGATTCCTTTATTTTAAGTAGGATGTAGGGAGGCGAGAATATTTTATGGAATGAGATATTGCGAGAAACTGAGAAATTAAAAATAATGGGGTTCTGGAATGTTGAAGAAATTGAGGCAATTTATGTTATCTAGAGATGATACTTGACATCGCTCAGAGTGCCCAGACATCTTAATCATTCGCAACCATCGAGGCAGGTAAATTTGAATGATTCGTTAACTTATATAATATTTCGCTATAACTTGTGCATTTGAAGAATTCCAAACTTTGGACTGAATAGGCAGGTGAAATTGAAAGAAATCCACACAAAAACAAAATAACCAATCAGATTTTCTAGTTGTTTAAAGAAACCAATAAAATGAAAGGCAAAGTAGGTCAAAGAAGTCATCGTGTGGTAATTGAACTTTGTATTGTGAAATTTTTATCTAAATCATACTTTTGATTTCAAATCGAACTCACTCTGCGTGTTCGTTCGACTTTGAAATCACACTTATATATAATTTCAGACCTAATAATATACTTGCAAAACTTTCAGAATTCTCATTGGCCGAGAACTTGTCAATTCACCCCAAACATTTCAGAAAGTCGAAATTGAGTGAAGAAAGTTAAAGTTGGATGCAGAAAGATGAATTTGAAATGACTGAGGATGAATTGCGACAGCACAACAATTACCATTGTTTCAATTCAGAGTGTGAGGGAGAATTCTAAAAGTAAAAACACCCAATAAAGGAAAACAACTCACCTTAAGTCTGGCTTCCAAAAGCGGACATCAAATTATGAACCGGAGGTCCTGAATAAAATTCCTGAGAAGTTTTACGCAACAGTTCGTACTGAGAAAGACGGGGAAGATTATGAGCGTAATAGTTTTCGTGGGATGTTTACTGTTATCGACCAATACCTATCAGAGAAAGACTAAAAACTCCCAATTATTCTCGGAGAGATTTTAAAAGTTTAAAGCAAATTATCAAGGAAAAAGCCTGACTTCTTGGGCAATAAGGCAAAGGCAAGCGGCCAAACTGGTAAGCCCTGACACAATATATAAACAGTACGGCTTGAGCAAACAAGGTTAGCAAGTAGATTATCATATAGCGCTCGGAGTAAAGGTTTTTTTTTCAAATTTGCCGATTTTCGAGAACAAAAAGACACGGTTTATCACTGTTTCCGTGGAAATGGCTTATACGAAAAAGTTTTAAAGAATCTTTTTTCTAATTAATGTTATTTATTGGTTTTATCATGGAAAATAAATACTGTCTAAAATAAATTAAAAATAAAAAGAATTTGAATGTAAACATTTTAAGCATGGATTTGACTACTGAAGATAGTTAGGAGCCAAGATTTATTTTCTCTTCACTTATTGATGCTGAAACCATAGCAACCATTATACTCCATTTGGGGGCAGGTTTAATTTCTGATACAGTTTGGTCAGTGTAAAAGAATGACTGTTTGATCTTTTGGACGACTAGGTGATTTTTGAAAGAAATCAATTCATTAATCGATATGTAGGCCTTATCACTCTTACCCTGTAAAAAAATATTTTCAGATACATCCATCCTGCCCATGGAAAAGTAGTTACTTCAGAAACAATTACCGAAACGTCAGGGAATGAAATCAGCGTCATTGTAAACCAAACATTTTCATTGTTCTTCTCTAACCAGATAAAAAATGCGTAAAACGGTGCTCCTCACAGCAACAGATATTCATACAGTTTCATTACTGCTTTCTCGGGTTTCAAAGACACGACTATTGAACTGAGAGCTAGTCATGGTACTTTTTTCGTAATGAGATGGACATCAGAGCTATTGCTGTGGCCCATGGCCATTTATTTCGCCTTACTTGCCTATTAGCCTTTAGAGATAGAACGGAATAAAAGCCTGATTGCTCTTTCCTTAAACGGGATCTATCTTGCGATCAGGCGTTCTCAGAAAAAAAAAAAAGAACGCTTGATTGCAGGTAACTGATTTTATATTGGTGACTTTTGTCTTCTTTAGCTACTTCAGCCGAGACAGAATCTGGAAATTGCCTCAGTTTGACATAATTCTCGACCGACTTACTTGAAGAGATGGCAAATTCAACCAGAAATGAAGGTTCTTAAAGTTCTAATTTCATAACTTAAACGCTATCAGTTAAACTGACTATCCCCTCCAAGTCGTTACCTGTAATCGATATAGTATTATGTGGAATCCTGAGAAGTCATTTCCACGGCTCCTAGCGAGCTTTTGTTGCTATCTGTCTTTTAAACCTTTCATGTGACAATTTTTTTTTCAATAAGATAAATGTTTATTTTGCAGATACCTCCAATATCACACAATGGCGACAGGCTCGTGTCACTGAAAACCACATATTGTTAATATGCGATGACGTGGGTAGATTCTGGATAGACCTAGGAACTATCTTGAAGCTGCCACCAGCTGAGGTTGTTAATATTGAGGACGAAATCAGATATAACCGTGACAGGGCGAGGAGAGTGATGAAAAGATGGCTACAAATGAAGGGAAGAGAAGCAACTATGGGAATTCTCGCAGATGCTCTTGAGCAGATTAAGATGAGAAATGCCGTCGAAAAGCTGATTGGTATGTGATTTCTTATTTGAAGAGAGTACACTCAGTGCCGAGTCTATTTATTTCCTTAAAAAAATACCTTAAACCCATGTGGGAAAAGATTTTCAAATGACCAACTTCTCAGTCATACCAGGGGGATTACATTTTCTAACGCAGTTCGCGACGAAAGCAAGTTTTGTTACATTTACAGTAGTTACACCAGGGAAGGAGAACCTAATTATACTCAAGCTCTACTTTATATAACAAAGATATCAACAACTGGACCATTAGCCGATGTAAAGCAATAGTTTAGCCAGTCAGCGTTTCACTGCACAGTTTTTGCGAAGTTGAAGTACTACAGCGGGCCGGGCATTGAGGCCTGAATATAAAGAAAACACTAGGACAAATTGAACTACTTTTATCAATAAAATGCAATTGCATACACGTAGAAGAAACTCGTCCAGAAATCTTATCTTAGCCCTGTGTTAAGTTACGATTGTGAAAACCTTTTACTTTATCATTTAGGAAAGAGCCTATTGCGACCTCTCTACCTTTGGTTAACTTCTGCAAATTCTTTTTACTGCCTAACTAGAAAAAGTAAAAGTGGAGGCTGGATTGAACTCCGTTCGAGCTGCAAGCGGGAAGTTACGAAAGGACGTTGAACTTTTGAGGGTAGAAATACAGAACGGGCAACGGATGCATGACGAAACACGGAAAGAATACGAAGAATTAAATTGCGAAATGCAAACAGCAACTGGAGAGGAAGGCCGAAAAAACATGGAAACTAGGATGCAACGCCTCGAGACAACAATTGAATGGCTGGAAAGGCAAGATCCACTACAAAAATTGACTCGATTGCTAGAAATTTGCGGCAGGATTGACGAGGGTCTACGTGATGTACAGGAGAGCGTCAGAAAAGTCTCTGAAAACCAAAACGCGGCGGTTGGAAGGTCATTCGAAGCCGATAGGAATACATCAGATGAACCTATTGAGAGGCAACAAGAGGAAACTACATCGGAAGATCCCATTCAGAGAGACACAATACGGAGGGATTCGCAGAACCAAAGAGAAAGTGAACCCATTATAAAACCTTTGCTTGATCATGACGGTAAGCTTATATTGCACAATTCATTGTCAGCCAAATTTGTAATGTTCTGTCCGAGAGACGTCGATGGAGTCAGATAAACTAAAACAAATTAATTTAAAATAAAAAAAATTCGTTTTAATTTCAAAATATATCTCTCAAAATTCCCATGCACATGTTCAGAGTGCACGAAATACCGAAATACAACATTTTCTGAACACCCTTCCCAAGAGTTCAACTGAAATTGGACGATAAATGAATCACTTGGAGATACTGTGATTCGATAATCCTTTTTTTAGTTCATTTAAAATTTTAGCTCGACGTTCAATGGAATATATGCCAAGTATTTATGCAATCATTGATTGGGTTTAAAAACGTCGTCTTCATCTTTGGGTATCAAGTTATCCTTCTTTATTTTTTTTTTCCAGACTGTTCAACAAGTATACTTGTGAACGTTATTTTCTTACAGATATTGATCGAATACCGGCAAAATTTCTCTTGTTTCGACCACGCAACTAAATTTATTCACCGCGCTATTAACATGTCTTCTACATCACATACATTACAAGTGAGGATTTCTGTGTCATCATGGTAAATGGGCCTACTGGCGTCGTGGTTTTACTTTCCACGAAAGTTTAATCTCTTAATTCTGAAATCAATACCGATGTCGAACTCAACTTTTTCAGGAGAATTTTTTATGTTCAGCAATCCCTGCAATAGGTTTTCTAGACGATTTTCTTTGATTCAAATTTGTAGGATATGAAATGGAACTCAATGATGTGGAAAAAGAAAGAGATTCACTGAAAACCAAATCTGGTAAATCAGGCCAAACGAACAAAAAACAACTGGAGGAGAAAAGAAAGTTAAAAACAAATAATAAACAAGTTAAAGTGGAGAAAAACGAAGCCATCCAACCAAATAAAGTAATGGTGGAACAGATTCAAAAGCTTGAAGCGGAGAAAAAGGAGCTCGAAATGACGTTAAATGGTCAAACCGATCTTATGGCTGAAAATGAAAAGCTGTCGACTCAAATAGAAAGGCTGACAAAAAAAGCAAACAACTCTGAGTTTGAGTGCAAGCGGCTACAAGAGGAGCTCAAGACGTACATAAATTACCAAAGTCGTAAGTACACGATAGAACTTTTTAAAGATAATATTGACTTTCTGTCTTTGGCTAATCCGTTTCAGTCTAAAGTGGTACAGCCTTGCGCTATCTCTATCTACGTATCTGTCATATTAGCTTAGTTTTTCTTTAACCCCTTCTTTTACGTTAAGCACATTCTTCGCTGATGTTGAATTATATACATATGTGAAGGGAAGACAAGGTATTTTTTTCTTTTAACGTTATCTATCTTACTTTCGTTTCCACTTAGACGTTTTCTTACCAGCTGGAAAGGAATTTGCCGGCATATGCACTGGTGTCATCTGCTTCCTAAAACAAAGATTAAAAGATGCACCTTGCGCTGAATTGATTGCTTCCAGATCTTCCGATGGCCCTGGAGATGGGGCTGACGTATTAAACCATAAGACAGGCACCGTCAGTGGGACAGAAGAAAAGAAAAATTCGTGGTGGTCTATTGATCTGGGCTCAAGCCATCGGCTTGTGATCACACACTACGCTTTGAGGCACGGCAAAAGAGAAAAAGAGTCACTGCTAACCCAATGGCAGCTGAAGGGATCCAATGATGGGAAGCAATGGGAAAACATTGAAACTATTCGCGACAAGAAGGATCCACAGTTCAAAGATCCTCCCCTATTTTGTACAGGCAAATGGTCTGTCAAAGGGGAAATAGGGCCTTTTCGTTATTTTCGAATTTTCCAGACAGGTGTTAATTCCTCTGGCAAATATGGAATATACCTATCTGGAATTGAGCTGTATGGAGTACTTCTAAACATGTGTGAACTAACAGAAACAGAGGCTTTATCATATAAAGTTTTCATCAAGCAGCCGAATGAAAAGTGAACTCTCAACCCCCCATTAAAAGTGTCTTTGAGGGGCCACATAACTTTTTCTTTGTAATCTCTTATATTTTCATTTAGAGTGTGATGTTTCCTTAGTTTTGCAACGTTTAGAATATTGAAGTTCGCTGTTGGTTTTAGATGAAATGCAAGTTAAAAAAAAATTAAAATGCCATCTTCTTTGATGATTTTTTCAAGAGTATGGAAAATAAATATTTTATGAAATTGTAGACATTGAAAAGTAAGAGAGTGGAAGAATCTGTTACTTGTCTATATGCTGCAAGAGTATCTTTGTAAATGATCATCTAACACAACCTAAGCGATACAGTGTTGATCTTAGTTTGCCGAGTTTGTAACGAATAATTCTTCGTTTATATATATTATATACACTGAATTCTTCAAAACTGGGTAGTAAGAGAGAATTATCAGCGTTTTCAAAGAAGTGATAAGAACTATAGCTTTTAGAGTGCTTTTTAGATTGCCAGCTTTTTTTATTATTATCCATCAAATGTTTTTTCTCGTAGGTGACTGGTTTAAACACGTCGCGTGATTGTTACACCAGGGTTATAACTGGGGAATATCCACTGATATTCCCTAAGAAATATTCCCTAATAAAAACCTTACGTTAAAAGTCGATAATTTCAATTCAAGATGAGAGAGCATTTTGCTGTCGTTCTAGAAGAAAAAACCTAGTTGTTTGTTCGTAAATTAGAACAAGAGAACACCGAAGGGTGAACAGTGTACGCAGTAAATGCTTAGCTGTTCGTAAACATTGTAGTGTCATGTGACACTAGCGTCACATTGTGTCATGCATGTGATTTAAGCAAGGGAATTCCGGGATTAAAGAGAGAGTAAACCATTTGCTCGTAATGGCCGTTTACTATTAATTTCTTTCGTGTTCGCTCTCCACATTACAAACATTTTGTGCCATGGGTGGCACCATTCGCCCCCACAATCTAATTTTCAGATATATGTAGATAGTGAATTAAGTGGGTTGCACGTGGCGTGACCAATTTATATTATTATAGAACAAAAACATGTTCCAACTAGCAATTAATTTTTTTAACTACTACTGATTTGATAAAACGTTATTTATGCGCCTGTCCTCCAAAATCCCAATTATGAACCAATCAAACTGCCCTAATTGAGCCTCGTTTTCCGGATTCGCAGGGAAAGTATTCCGTTACTTGCACTCAAATTCACTCAAACTGAAACTAAGTCCACTAAACTGATAAAAAGATGATGGAAAGCGTAAACAGTCCAGGTAAGTTTCGAGAAGCTGAATCAATTTCTGGAGACAACTTTAATTTCTACACGTACAAGTTATCTCAAGCTGTTAGTGGGATCGCATTGGTGTCAATTATCTAACATGAAATATCTTCAAAACATCTGAATAAGTTTAAAAGAATCTTGTTCCCCTCAAAATATCATCATTACATTCCTAACTATCGTTATTGCTGGCTGAGTAGGAGATAAGAAACATTAAAGTAAGAGTCTATTTTATTAAATGTAAGTTGAAAAGACAGGAAATAGACGCGACACGCACTCTTTTCCTCGTTTTACGCTTGTGTTTACACGAACTCTTTTCGTCTCGCGCTCGTTTTCATATTATCATCAACCAGCTGTTTGGAAAACGAAATAAGGCGTCTCTCACCTTGTGTTTATTGCTTTTGCGATCATTTAAAACCCCAAAAATTGTGAGAAATGCTGTTTTTTCAAGATCAGAAGGTTGCGATCCTTCTTAATTTAGATTGATATGAGAAACAATGGCCTATAATTTACTCTCCATGGAAAACTGGACGGCTGCGAGCTCAAGCCCTGTCTAAAAGGCATGTTTCACGCCATTAAAATAATCCTTAGCGTTGTGGGCTTCTTTGCCCGTGTACATCGTCAAAGCCTTATCTTATATAAGTCTCCTTAAATTATATTTACTTTTAACCGCACACGATCCTTTAAATTATGTGATAAGACGTTTGCTCTACAAGCATGGATCTTAATATATTTAAAAACCTGAAGAGGCGCTTTCCGCTCAGCTAATATTCAAATCCGATTGAAATGCATATATTATGTATGGTTTTCTCACACTTTTTTCTGCAATTAACTAATCGTCTTTGGTATCCCACATATGTCTATCGCTTGGATTAAATATTATCATAAAATTAAAATTTTAAAATTAAAATTAGGAATTTCTACCCGATAAGTTGACATTTTGGCTTGAGATTGGGACTGTTAAGATTTGTTTGTACTGTAAAGGCAGATCCAGGACAACATCGGAAACACAGGAAATTTTGGCGCTCAACATGATGGTGCTGAGGGTCAATAGTGGTATTGTATTATTGTAAAAACAAAATCAATTTGAACAGAAATTACAAACCAAGAATTTTTGGCCGAGTGAAATGCGCCTCACCCTTAGCTTTTCCTTTAATCCCCTGACATTAAACCGAAAGTGAGTATGACATCCATGACATCCATACGTAGGAGCCCATCACTATTAAGTAACGGGATCCTGCCATATCGGCGTTATCCAGCAAACAGGTAATGAGAATATTTAAACTTATCTGGCAGAAGATGTTATCTTGATATAACACCAAATTAAAAAGAAATGTGTATCAGTTAGAGGGGAGAAGAATTACCAATCAGATCTTGGGAGTTAAAGGGCTAATTTTAAGCTGATTATTGCACGAAGAAAACAAAAACTGTTGTCTCATAGATATAAAAGGAAGTAAGGATAAAATTACTTTGAGACCTTTATACAATGTTTTTACATGGAAGGGATTTGTGACCCTCTAAATCCGATCTTACTGCTTTTAAAATTTTTGGGAGGTAGTCCAATATGTTGCTATTTGAGAGTTGAGCGAGAGTCTCTAAGGCTTCTTCTGCAAGCTTCTAGATGTTTAGAAGTACCCCGAACAGTTCAATTCCGGACAAGTAGATTCCATATTTGTGAGAGGAATTTCTGCCTGTTTGGAAAATTCGAAAAAATCGGAAAGCTCCCATTTTGCCTTCAACTGACCAGGTGCCTGTATAATATGGATGAGGATCTCTGAAGCGTGGAGGATCTGCTCTTTTATAATTAGTTTCAAGTTTTTTCCAATTCATTCCGTCATTGGATCCCTCCAGTTGCCAATGGGTAAGAACTGACTCTCCATCTCTTTTTCCGTGTCTTAAAGAGTAATGTGTGATTACAAGCCGATGGCTTGAGCCTAGATCAATGGACCACCATGAATCTTTCCTCTCCTCTGTTCCACTGGTAGTTCCTTTCTGATGGTCAAATATGTCACTTGCTTTACCTGGCCCATCGGAAGATCTAGAAGCATGCAGTTTTGATGTAACATCTCTCTTCAAATTGCAAATAACACCAGGGCAGTTTGTGGCAAATTCCTTTCCAGTTGGTAAGAAAACACCTAAAAGGAAGAAGAAAAGACAGCTAAATTACCGTCAAACTAACAAAAACCATCCAACTAATGCAGTCACCAATATTAAACAGTCGCTTAACCAGTATAAATGATAATCGAAAGCAATGTAACCAAAACTTTGTATCCATTCCTCCATCCATCCATCCGTCCCTCCACCCCTTCCTTTCTTCATTCCTCCTTCCTCAATTCTTACATTCCTTCATTCCTTCATTCCTACATTCCTTCATTCCTTCATTCCTTCATTCCTACATCCCTTCATTCCTTCATTCCATTATTCCTTCATTCCTTCATTCCATTATTCCTTCATTCCTTCATTCCATTATTCCTACATTCCTTCATTCCTTCATTCCATTATTCCTTCATTCCTTCACTCCTACATTCCTTCATTCTACATCCCTTCAGTCCTACATTCCTTCATTCTACATCCCTTCATTCCTTCATTCCTTCATTCTACATCCCTTCATTCCTTCATTCTACATCCCTTCACTCCTACATTCCTTCATTCCTTCATTCCTTTATTCCTTCACTCCTACATTCCTTCATTCCTTCATTCCTTTATTCCTTCACTCCTACATTCCTTCATTCTACATCCCTTCATCCCTTCATCCCTTCATTCCTTCATTCTACATCCCTTCACTCCTACATTCCTTCATTCCTTCATTCCTTTATTCCTTCACTCCTACATTCCTTCATCCCTTCACTCCTACATTCCTTCATTCCATTATCCCTTCATCCCTTCATTCCCTCATTCCATTATTCCTTCATTCCATTATTCCTTCATTCCTTCTTTCCATTATTCCTTCATTCCTTCACTCCTGCATTCCTACATCCCTTCATTCCATTATTCCTTCATTCCATTATTCCTTCACTCCTTCATTCCATTATTCCTTCATTCCATTATTCCTTCATTCCTTCATTCCATTATTCCTTCATTCCTTCATTCCATTATTCCTTCATTCCTTCACTCCTGCATTCCTACATCCCTTCATTCCATTATTCCTTCATTCCATTATTCCTTCACTCCTACATTCCTTCAATCCTTCATTCCTTCATTCCCTCATTCCTTCATTCCTTCATTCCATTATTCCATCATTCTATTATTTCTTCATTCTTTCACTCCTACATTTCTTTATTCCTTCATTCCTTCATTCCTACATCCCTTCATTCCATTATTCCTTCATTCCTTCATTCCTTCACCATACATTCCTTCATTCCTTCATTGCCACATCCCTTCATTCCTTCATTCCATTATTCCTGCATTCCTTCATTCCTTCATTCCTCCACTCTTACATTCCTTCATTTTTACATTCCTTCATTCTTTCATTCCTACATCTCTGCATTCCTTCATTCCTTTATTCTTACATTCCTTGATTCTTATATCCTTTTATTCCTTCATTCCTTCATTTCTACATCTCTACATCCCTTCATTCCTCCGTTCCTTTATCATCCTGATGACGACTTCCGCTCAGGTTGTTGAAACGTTAGTCACCACTACCGACAACTTTCCTTCTCAAGAATCGACTTACCCGGACGATCAATCTACATTATTACATATTTTATGCCGTGGCATAAGTGATCACATAGGACTCAACCTCCTTAACATGAAACAGACGAACAATCGAGGCGAAGGTATAGTTATCATATTGAATATTTCTTCCTATATCACAACTAACTCTCACATATGTACTTACGACTTTCGAAGTTGATGTACTTTTTAAGCTCCTCGTGAAGCCTCTTGCACTCTAGCTCGTTGTTGTTCACTCTTTTGGAAAGCTGTTCAATTCTAGTCAACAGCATACCATTTTCAGCCTTGAGCCGTTCCTGTTCTTTTGCACCGGTTTGAACAAGTAACGCCTTTTCCAGCTCCTCCTTCTCGGCCAATAACTTTTCAATCCGAGCCATGATTTTCTTGTTTTCTTCCATGACTTCAGTTTTCTTTTTCTCCATTTCAGCTTTCTTTTTGGAGAGTCTTTCTTTCTGTCTCTGCTGTTTTTCGTTGGTTTTCTTTAAGTTGCCAATTTCAAGCTCGTTTTCTTTTATTTTCTTATCTTTTTCTTTTTTATCCTCGTCCCACTTCTTCTTATCTTCTTTGTGCTTGAGCTCGAGTTGGCTGATTTTGTTTTTAATTGTTTCTCTTTTTGTCTTAATGTCGTTAAGCTCTTTTTCCAAATCAGGACACCGCAAGCATGCTTGGCTTCCTATAAAAACACCAACACCCAGTGAAGATCAACGAGATATTAATGAGTCCTCGATTACATAAGTCTTGTTTACAGTAACGTGTGATCTGACCAGCTTCATCCAGATCGCTGGATAGTTGTATCTCCCCCTGTTTTCATTTATAACCAGCTTGTGGGTTATGACCTATTTCAGCATCCATTTTAGCCAATCAAATTCTCTAACTCGACTATTTTCCAGACCTTTTGTGACACTGCCATTCGATAGAAAAGTACATTTACCGAAGACATGTATTAACATGTATTAACGCGGGGTCAAACATTGAACAGTCTGGTCAAAGAAGCCACTGAAGTTAAAGTATATGCAATTTTATCTCTTGCAGACTATGATAAAAGTCACAAAACTAATGAAGACGAACCGTTTCTGATCCATTATCCTATAATGAAAACTAAAACAAAAATATCAAGCTTGTAGTGAAGGAAGCTGCGCAGTTCAAACTTACCTTCATACAAAAGTTGTATGGTCGCTCCTTCGTTCTTCTGCCTTTCCCCATATCTTTGTCCGGCGTCTTTCTGGCTTCGGTCAGCCATTCCACCCTTCTGTCTTGCACTTGAACGCCTCTCACTTGTTTCCTCCCATGCACTATTTTCGGGCTGTAATGATTTACCCGTGATTTCCTTCTGGTTTTCAGAGATCATTTTGATGTTTTCTTGCACAACCCGTAGACCCTCTTCCATCTGGTCGCAGATTTTTCCCAAGCGGGTCGTTTCTTGCATCAGAACCTCCTTATCGGCGGTTTTTTCAGTCGAAAGGTATGTTTCCAGCCTTTTAATTGTGGTTTCTAAGCCCTGGACCCTTGTTTCTATATGTTGTCGCTCATCCTCACCCTTTTCTGTTAGCATTTCTTGTAGGCTTTTGGTAAATTCTCTGAGTTCTTTAACTGTTGTGTCGTGTTTCTGTTTCTCGTTCTGTAGGCCCGTCCTCAAAAGGTCAACTTCCCTTCGCAATTTCGAACTTTGTACTCGCGCACAGTGTAACCCAGCCTCCACTTTCTCTGTCTCTATAAATATCAAGGTAAAAAGGTTGCATTTGATTAAACCCCCATAATAAATGTATGGGCACCTTCTCAAAAAATTTATTGCTAGTATTAAAATGTTAAAGGTTTTTTGGGAAATAATTTTTTGTGAGCGCTCTCGACTAGAGAGGCTCTAATCGTAAACACGAACTGCAATGCTTTCGCCCCCCAAAAATTTTACATTGGCAAGCAGATGGACTGTAGAAGCGTTTGCTTTCAGTCAAAGCCTACCTTTATTGTATTCTTTTTAACCTTAAGTTTCTTGTATACTCAGATTATCCTCTCTTAACGAAACAAAATATGTTCAAAACTGCCTGAAATGCAAGCTGCAGTAGGCTATGAAACCTCATGGTATCGCTAAGAGGCTATCTGTTAGACTCTCCCTTCCAACTCAAGTTTTCATGAAGAACATGAATAGACATGTCAATAAATGAGTTCCCATAAAAAAAGGAAATTACATACCAACGAGCCTTTGAGCGGCATTTCTCTTCCCTATTTTCTCCAGAGCATCTGTAAGATTTCCCAAAGTTGCTCCAGTCCCGTTTCTTTGTTTCCATCTGTCTAGCACTTGCCACGCCCTTTCTCGACATAAGGTGTAATCATTTTCAACATTACGAACCACAGCTGATGGGAGCCTCAACTGAGTACCCAGATCTCTCCAAGAAGCGCCCACGTCATCACATATTAACATCATGTGGTTTGAAGTGACAGTTGCATGTCCATACTGTATACCACTAGAAGTGTCTGTGAAAATAAGTATCCAATTGAAATAAAAAAATTATATGTATGCTACCAGAAAAGGATAAAATGGATGAAACTATGGAACCAAAGAAAGGTGCAGGTTTGGAGAAAACTGCCTAACGGACCAGTTATTAGTTATCGCTCTGGGTGGAGGGGGGGGTGGGGTGGGGTGGGGTAAGGAGGGGGTTTTAAGGGAGGGATTGTATATATATTCTTATTGTCATAAGAATATTGCGGAGCCTTATGGGGGATCAGGTAAATTTTATCGCAACACGAGCAAAATCCTCCAAACCCTCCTCCCCCCAGAGCATAAATAATGACCAGTCCCTTAATTGTCATAACTGCGTCAACAATTTTCGACGTAGAGGGAACAGGTGCTGCATTTTTAGAATTACATGAAATAAAAGGTTAGAGAACCTTCACTACTTGTAACTGATGTCTCCATCTCCCCAACAAGATCAACTTTGAATTTAGCAAAGCTGCGATAATGTCCAAGCCTCTAACTTGCTTATAATTACCTAAAGGAAGCGAAAAACACAAGGTAAACAACACATCCGACTTTACAGCTTACAGGGCATTAACAAAAAGTGTATGTAATTACCACGGCGTGAACTCTGAGGTTGTTCAAAATAAATTGTCAGCAGGATCATTTTGAGTGATCGTGGAGAAACTTTAAAACTTCATGTTAATGAAACATAACAACGAAAATATAAGATATATGCTAAAAAAAAACCCCTTAAAAACAATGGGGAAGTAGGAGGGATAATGGCGTAAGTCGGCTGAGGACATAAGGTTGTTACCGTCATGCCAACGAGGTCAGTTCCAAGGAAGCACGTGGTTTTAGTGGATATCTCCATAAGAATATTAACGATGGTCAGTAAAAGAAAGGATGCGGATGAAGACCTATATATGTGTATACTGGCTGTTACTAATTTTATGAATTTTGATTACAACTGAGAAATGGATAACCAGCGGAGTAGTTTAGCACGTCGGTAATGAAATGCGCTTAGCTTTAATGAAATTATAACGAACGAAAAGCACACTTCATCAGCACACAGACAAGAAAAAAATTCGATTAGAATTTTATCACAGTATGACTTCTCATAGACGATTCAGTGTGCATCTTGCCTCGTTACGTTTATAGTAAAGTAGGTGGTCGATTTACATGCCAAGAATAAGAGATAAAAGAGAATAGGAGATAAAAAGCACTGGCTAATGGAAACTTTGTATTTCAAATGCAGTTTCTGTGGTTTCCGAATTCCGTATGTAATTGGTCACTTGAAAATTAAATTCCTTCGCATAGGCTAGGCGATCATGCTCATGAAATTGCTTTAGAGGCAATATTTGCTTTGTCAAAAATCTAGCTTGTTCCAATCAATAAAGGACCTTTGGGTGCAACTGACAGCACTACTTGGATTAGGTCTTTCTTATAGCCACATATTTCGTCAAAGGTTACTATACAGTTGCTATGTTTTAGCGTCTGTTTGTTAGTTTTTATTTTAATCGGGTTAACGACGCACGTCAGAGAGAAATGGCAATAAAACAAACATTCACTTCATTCATTCTATATTTTAAAGCGTTGGCCGGCGTCAATTCGTAGAACTGGATAGCCGAGAAACAAAATAGATGAAAATCGTGAATAATATTTCCCCAGGCCTCAAAAACTCATTTGATAGGAGTTTGGTGTTATTGTTTTATCTCAAGCGCCTATACGTTCCTGTCTTATAACTCAAATGTTCTCAAGAGATAGCTATCAGCTTCTAAAATAAAATGGGAGATGTTGCGTAAACCTTCGTAGCTGAAGCTTTTACCAGCACTGACCGTCGACCAATTATCTTTGTAGCTTTGAAGAGCAGAGGTATTCGTTTTTATTCCCCATTATTTTGCTTTGATCGATTCAGGACACTACATCGACTGTCTCCGCACCATAACAACCGGTGGTCTATAAAAAACGCAACGAATCTAAGCTTTTCTATCAGTAGAGTTTCCTTTTAAAAAACTTGTTCTCTTATAGAGTTTGTCTCTCACCTCATATGGTACACTTCGAGCCCGTTATTCCATCTTAAAGTTGCGCTTTTTACCGCTGCCATTGGGAGTGCTGAAAAAACTTACTTTTACGATAACAAGGAAAATATTCGCTCTCTTAGCCATCTGATCTGCCTCATGCCCTCAGGTCACTACTCCGATCACTTTACACCTTTATCCGGCGACTAAATGGATGAGTGAGCCCTAAAATTCCTAACCTTTTAAAGAGCCTCATGCATTTCTTTATTCTTTTTAAAGAGTCACGAATGACAGTCGACAGAATAGGTAAAGCTAATCATCGATAGAAAATCATTGTCGTGTATCAATGAGAATCATATGTTGCCTTTCTAACTCCTTCTTGAAGGACAAATCAGGATAAATTCCTTCCTTTGGCAACAAATGTTCTTTGTCAAGGAGACAGTTCACAAGACCGCTGAAGTAACTGAGTAATCCCCTCGGGATATAACCTGATGTAGTACGAATTTCTCCCAGTAACTCACAAAAGAGTGTACGGAGTCCGGTGAGAAGAATATAGACATGAAAGGATTAAAGAAATTGAGTGGCATTTTGAAGAGTCAAAAATACTTGAGGGAAGACAGTCAGTTAATCTTTTTACGCGTACGCTCAATGTACTGCTTGATCAAAGTTCAAAATTCCACGGCAAGTTGGGGGCAACTTTTGGCAGTGTGGTAAGTCCCAAATCAGCACTTCAATAAAGTTAATATATGTGCAACCAAAACAACAGGTCAAAGGGGTATTCTAGTATTTAATTGGCTGGGAAAATGGCTGATAAGGACGCTGTAATTACACACCTGAGAGTTAACGTTAGATAATGAGGTGACCGTCTTATATGAAGATTTATGGCTTATTTTCGGCTTTTTTCCAACAAACATAGTGCTATTGTTCCACTGATGAACGGAAGGTCTTATCAGTGATAAGAAGTTTCATTCAAAGCTAGGTTGTTGTGAACAAATTATTCCAGATTGGAACATTGAAGTTAAGCCGATTGCGCATTTCAGGAAGAATATTGACACGCGTCGGGTCTGATGCGAAGACGAAACTCCCTACACTTCATGCTGAAAGAACAAGTGCAAGGTAGGTTGTAAACTCGTCCATCTTAAGCGTGAATGACACTTTCAGTTTGTTAGGCCTTTGATACAAGGTCTGACGTTGTACATCGTAAAATCTTGTGCAATAATACCGTTGACCTTTCAAAGGTGCCGCGAAATTCTTTTTGTATGAGACACGTCTCTTGTCATATGACTGAAAATGCTGTTTCATCCAGCTAATTCACGTTACCCAAACATTTAATCTCATTAAGGCAAGTTTCAACAACTTTCTTTAAACTTAATTTAGGTGAACGATATGCAATTACTCTTCTCAGAGACAATTATTCGAACGATATTCTGAACTCTTCCTCGTTAGCAGTGAATGACAATGAATGACAATTGTTGGGGCAGAAATTCAGATGGGGGGAGGGGTGAGGGGGACTGCTTTGCACGTTTCACGGGTTTAAAAAAAAATGATCATGAGGGAATCACGGCAATTAACATTAAATTTCTACGGTTCGTATAAAATGACATGATTTTAAGGACGTCAAATGTTCCGTATTATAGGTTAGTAGGCCTTTGGCTCCCTATCGACGGTTATTTCCAATCCTTTAATTTGGAAGTTATTTAGCTGAAAAAAAAAATGAATATTAAAACACTCATTTGGTTTCTTTCATTGGCTTCACTTGTGGTTTCAATTTGTTCAATTGAAAGTTGTCTTGCGTTACCTGTTACTTCCTACTCCTTTGATGAAATTAGGAGATCCTCGCAGCTAAGAACACTACTGAAACGAGTAATTGTAAATAGGACCTGAAAAAAATTTCAGGCCCGTACAGCTCCCAGTTGGCTTGTTAGCTCAATTGGTAGAGTGCTACACCGGTAAAGCAGAGGTCATGGGTTCAAATCCCGTACGGGCCTGAAATTTTTTTCAGGTCCTATTTACAATTACTCGTTTCAGTAGTGTTCTTAGCTGCGAGGATCTCCTAATTTCACCTTTCCACCGCAGTGCAAATATGTGAATTTTCATATATCTAAAATCTTCATTCCTACTCCTTTCTTCGTCAATTCTTTCATCAAAAATATTTTTCATCGAGCTTTTCTTCCATTACATTGGATAATCTATTATGTTGGGACCTCAAGAACACGAGAGATACTGAAGTTCAGCCAATTTGAGGTTGCTAGACACGAGATTTACGAATCGATCTCTTTTGCTGTAAGAATTCAAAATTGTGATAACGAGACAGTAACTTAAGTTGAGGATCTCTACAGAAAATTATTGTTCGTTGACAAGGCTGCCTTAACAAAACCCCTTTTTAAAGCTCATATACAAACTCTGCAAACTCAACCTCAAAATGGACCAGCTTTAGTTAGCTAGCGACAAATGCCTGCTTCCCCTAATTAAATACCGTGACTGAGAGGAATGACGTCGAGACATTATGGATAACTTTTTATGACGTTAAGACGGGATGGACCATTTGCCATGATGCACAAATCATTGCGTAACTCCTTTAAAAGCGTGCGTTAGAAAATCCATCTAAATTTCTTGAAAAACTTAATCGTAAGAGTAAAAAAAGAAGAAACATTTACCGAAGTATGTAACATATTATTTTCAGAGAGAATCTGAAAGAAGATGAATGACAGGCATCGGGAAATTTTGCACCGCTGTTGGTCGGAGTTCAGAAAAGACCTGGAACCAAGGAACCTATTACCTAAATTAACTTCTGTAGTTAACGTCACAGACGCACGAGAGGTGCTTGAAAAGGGAACAAGAACTGAGAGAGTAGACAAGCTGGTAATGGAAATACTTCCAAGTAAAGGAAATAATGCTTTTAATGTTTTTGTGGAAGGACTGAAGAAGACACAGCCACACCTGGCTGTTACTTTGAAAAATGAAGGTAAATATGTTATGGCAGTTCTTGATTCAACAACTTTTTTTCGATTTTCTTTGCGATTGTAAATAGCAGTCTAATTCATTTTTTCTAATATTAATCAACATCAGGCAACATGGAGGCCAAAGGAGTACAACGCAGCAACACATTAAATCTGTTAGGTTGCGCCTTAAAAGTCCTTTTTAACTATTTTCTTTAATATCGTAAAATAGGTTTTGATTGGTCATAGTCTGTGATAAATAACTCTTTCAAAAATGAAAAGTAATCATTTTTCTCATGATGTGGTCACTTCGGATGTGGATCGCCACGTTGCGACTGATACTGTTAGTCATCTTTAGGCGAAGTACAGTACAGTACATCAACTTATGAAAAGACCGAAGGCGCAGCTAATGAGAGTCCGGTTTCCGCTGTTATTGTTAACCTCTACATGAAGAGTTTTATAGAACAAGCAGTAACTTAATCAGTCACTTCATCAGTCACTTAGTCCGTGAGAGCGTAGAATGCTTCCTACAGCATTTAAACCACCAACAGCCTTTCATTCGCTTCATAATGGAGACGGAGAGCGGTCGTTTCATGCCCAATTCACTTGATTCGTACCCAGTTGATTTGGTTCGTACCCAAACCGCTGATCGATTCTTTCCCATCCTAACATACATTTATATAAAGTATATCACGCGCAAGCGCGGGAACAGACGTCAAGTGTTGCGTACGACAAGTAAGTAGAGTCAAGCGAATAAGATACAAGAAAATTTTGTTTTGTATACTTGTGACTTCATAACAGACACAATTAAGTTATTGTCTAGGGAAAGACAGGAGTGAAAATTTTTAGTACAATGGCCTGGTTGTTAATTTCTTGACAATAACATCTAGTGCAAGTGTGTTTTTTTTCCGTCCCTTTGCTATCAAGGGTACTAACTTCGGAATTCTCATAGAAAACCAGGGGGAGAGCTGACTGTTGCAGGGCCAGAAAAAGCCGTTCGACTGTAGTGCACTTGTACGGTTTTGTTGCAAAAAGAAAAAAACATTGTTCGCTTTTGTTGTAAAAATGAGTGACAGCAGTAAACACAAATGAGAAAACATGCGACATTTTTCGATGAATTCTGAGTTTCGTCCTAGTGTATATTTATTGAAGAATCAATTTTCGGTTTTCCCGCGCTTGCCAGTCTGTGGCATTAATTAAAACAAGCTGCGCTTTGTCCGAACATCATCAAATATTTTCACATCCGGCCCTCCCACTCAGTCACTAAGTACCTAAATATGCATCTGGTGGAAATATTGCTTACGTCTGTCCAAAGACTTTCCGTTCCAGGCTCGGCGGTCGCGCTTCAGAAATGGACGTTACGTTAGCATAAGTTAATTAGTGCAGGTAATATTGCTATTCACAAGAGGAAACCGACCTTACTTTTATCATACTTAACATGGAAAACATACTTTATTAGTTTGGGTACGAAGCGGCTCAACTGACTGGGTACGAAACGACTCAGCTGTATACAAAAAGACTGGGTACCAGACGACCGGTAATCGTCACCTTTGCCGATTACCAGAAAAAAGTTGCTATGATTCTGTTGATAAGTAGGTAAAGCCTCCAAATGCGAAGTCGGAAGGTCTAGGGAATAGATATATTTCTTAGTCTCCTTTAAATGGTTCCATCTTCCCTTATAAGACATGTAATTATGAGCATGAGTTGACTGCAGTAATTATTAACCTGTGTTACTTATCTCATTTCCAGAAATAAAAATGATGGAGGAAGAGCTTAAGAATGAAAGAGCAAGTAGTGCGATGAGAAGTAACCAAGTTGATGAAGCAACAGAAGCTTTGGAAAAAGAGAAAAAAGAGCATGAGGAAACACAAAGGAGACTCGAAGAAATAACTCGTAAAAACGAAGCTCTGATCGAGAATTACAGAAAAGGTGTGGCGTTTAAGACTGAAATTGAAAGTTGAAAGAAGAGCTATCATATCAACACCTGTTAACGGAAAACACTTTTGGTAGTTCAAAGGAAACAATGTTTTTCTTAGTCCACGCTCGTAAGAAAGATAATATCTTTCCTTAGAAAAACCATATTGTCAGGAATGGGTAATTTGATTCATGTCTAAGAGGTGTACAGTTTGTTTCTCTTGCAGAAGGAGAAGTTATAGAGAAAGAGCTGATCAACGAAAAAGAAGGATGCGTGAAGTTAAAGAAACAAGTTCTTGAAATGAAAGAAGCTTTTGAGAAAAAGCAGCAAGAGAATAAAGAAAAGCAGAAAATAATCGAAGAACTTGGGAGACAACAAGAGAAACTAGATGCTGAAAGCAAAGCAGAAATTAAGAAGCTGTCAGGTAAAGAAAGAGACACTTTTTCTAATACTGGATGTGTACCCTGAATAGAAGTTTTAGTTTATCGAATCGAAAAGGGATTGCAATTGCTGCATTTTATTTCAAATTGTCAACGAAACTTGTGATATAGAGAAGCTAAATATTACAGAAAATTGGGCATAACATTTGACTCGGTCTCACAAAGCCTGAAAGAGGCTCTCATCACCCCCGAGCACAGGCAGGTAACTATACGAACAGTCAGGGAAGGAATGATTCTCGTAAGTTATTTGCTGCAATCCGATTGCAGAAAAGACTGAAGTTATTTCTTAAATTTCAGCTTGCCTGTGAGGATCATTTTAACCGCAACTTAGGTCACTGTATGATTTAATTCATTAAAATTGTGATGAGATTCCTCTGCGGGAACGCGGAATTCACTGAAAGATGTCTGGCTTCCAACATGTGGCTTCGTTGCTCGGTTGGTAGTTGCGCCCAACCAGAATCCGGGAGGGTTCGAATCCTGTTAAGGCTTGAATTTGTCAGGCCTCTAGTATGTAATTACTTAAATTGCAGTTAGCCTGCGACAATCGTTCAGATTTACTTCGAGAGATCTCGTTTTTCCTCCGTTTCGTCCACCAATTATGAATTTGCTTGTTTTTAAAGAGAAGAATAACTCGTATCAGGAAAAAATTAAAGGCCTGAACTCTGAGCTCAAAAATCTTAAAAAGGAATCAGATAAGAAGGAGAAAGAGAAAAAGGAACAGAAGTCAAAGCTTAATGCGAAAGAGCAAGAATTAGCCAAGCTGAAAGACCAGTTAAAGAAAGAAGAATCGGAAAATAAAAAAGTTTCTGAAGAAGTTGAAAAACTTAAAGAAGATAATGACCAGTTGAGGAAAGATTTGGATGCCGAAAAGAAGAAGCTGGAAGAAACAGAGGAGGAGTTGCGGGCAGAGACTAAAGCTAAGGGAGATGCCTTGAATGAACTGGAGAAATTGAGAGAAGGGTGCGGACGTAAGTAACCTGTTTTTAGTAAGCGCACGTTCATTGAAGGGCTACGGATCTTCACGAACACTGTGTCTAATTTTAATCTATTTTTTTTAGGGACCTCTTCACTAGCATTTTAAATCCAAGAATTAATAAATATCTAACTTTTCCTTATAATATCAATGGATTATCCCGCAAATATTGATGGTCGAAATTTTTGGAGTTAGGCTATTCTAAAGAGTTTCAAGTTGCCTAAGACCGCGAAATCGGAAGGTGTGAGGTTCAAATTCCAGTCCAGAGTGGGACTAAGATTTGTTTCTTTGTTCCAAGCTCGTGAAAAATGTAAAAGATTATTCTTCAGGTTCTTCATCATTTAACTTTCATCTTTTCTACAATGTTATTACTTCCATCACTGGGTGACTAACCTACTTCTTTGACCATAGGAGCAGCTGAAAAATAACTGGATTTCTTGCTCCGCGTATCTGAAGTATTTGAAGAATAATCTATCGGTTGATTGATTGATCTGTCAATGCTCTCAGCTTGAGAAGTCACGGCAAGCGTAGAGTGCTTTTACCTCAGAACAACCTGACAACAAAGGAGTTTATCTTACTTTCTGGTGTCCACTCGGGAAACATTTATTCGCCTAAGTTTGTTTTTATTTATGCAGGTGTTTTTAACTATAAAAGAGATTTTGACCGATGTGGAGTTATCTATGCGATGGGAATGAATTTCGGAGCTAATCGGCGTTGGGTAAATCCCAGCAAGAGTGGTCTATCCACAAGAGTAAGTGCCTCAAGATCATCTGACGAAGTAGGCTCGGCAACTGATCTGCTTGAACGTTGTCATAAACAGGGGAAGATAAGCGGTACCAAAAACGTGAAGGAATCATGGTGGTGTGTTGCCTTGAGCGAGAAATACTCATTGTATCTCACACATTATACTCTAAGACACGGTCTGGACAACGGTGGCTCATTCCTCCGTAATTGGCAGCTCGAAGGGTCGTTTGACGGGTCTACCTGGGAAGTGTTAAAGAAACACCATAATGATAGCAAGCTATGTGAACCCTCTTCGTATACCGCTACCTGGCCGATTGAAGGAGAAGTTGGAGCTTATCGGTTTTTTCGAGTTGTTCAGAAAGGAAAGAATTCCTCGAACGAATATGGTATTTACCTATCTGGGATTGAACTGTACGGTGTACTTATGAAAGGTTACAATAGTTAACAAGTATGCCAGTAATTCAAGAAGGTTGAAGAACCTAAGGATTCGGAAAGCTTTGGGCATTTTCAATTTTTTGATATTACTTTTTTCATTGGAAAGTCACCTCTATTCAAGGAACATCTTAGTCTCATTTCAAAAAGTTTAGACGTTGTTTAACAAAACCATGTCCTAAAAAATCCTCGATTTAACGGAACCTTTTATCCGTACATTTATTTTTGTGAACAGCGTCAAGAGGGCCGAAAAAGGGCATTTAATCAGTTAATTAACACTCCTCTAGAGAGAGCCTGAGGCCCACTGATTGCGTAAAAGTGTGACTTAGGTTAGACCTCGGTCCCCTTAAAAACGAACTTAAACTTGGAATAAGTAATTTGCAAACTTACGCGGCAAGAGACTACGTTCTACATGATGAAGGTGTTGGGGGAGGGGAGTGGGAGGGGGGTATAATCTTCCAACCATCGATCATTGAAAAGAAACTCATATTTAACACTGTTTCTACCCGAGGAGGTCTTCTGTGCAGTATTAAGGCGAGGAATAAAACGATAATCTTATGGTTATTTTCTTACTACGAATTTGGTGTCTTCTTATCTGACGGCTTTAGTCTGATTTCAAGGGCCTAATTCCCTGTCTTTCAAGTAGAACATTCCCAAGGGATAGCAGTATTCCTTTTATACCTCATCTAAATTACGAGGATGCTATCAAACCTTCGTAACTCAGTGAAGCTTTTACTTTTACAGTCGCAAAGAAAAAGAAAAAAAAATATCAGTACTAATGGGAATCTGTGTCTATAAATAACAAACGATTTCATTATAACGCACCCTCCGATCAGTTGAAATGGCAGTACAGAGGCACCTCACCCAAATTGAACTCGAAGATTCTCTATAGCCCAAACAAGAGCGCAAATGACGAACTATCTTTAGGCGATAACGTGGACTTCTGCAGCTGCTGCTCCTACTGCTACTGCTACTACTGCTACTACTGCTGCTACTACTACCGCTACTACTGCTGTTGCTGCTGCTGCTTCTGCTGCTGCTGTTGCTGCTGCTGTTGCTGTTGCTGCTGCTGCTGCTGCTACTGCTGCTGCTACTGCTACTGCTACTTCTACTACTAATAACAAAAGTATTAGTAATACTACTGCTTCTAATGATAATACTAATAACAATTATTATTATAATGATGATATTTAAAAAATAATAATAATAATAATAATAATAATAATAATAATAATAATAATAATAACAGTAACAGGATTTAGCAGTGGACATTCCACGAGGTGGCTCTTCTTGTCCATTGTTTCCAGGTCGAACTGCAATTTAGAATGTTGGTTTTGTAGAGGTAGGAAAACCGGGAGATCAGGGGAAAACCGTCGGAGCAAGGACGAGAACCAACAACAAACTCAACCCACATGCAACACCATGCAGGCACGGAAATTGAACACAGGCCACTTGAGTGGGAGGTGGGCGCTCTCACCACTGCGTCATCCCCGTGGATTGATATTTCGTATTTCAAACAGAATACCATAGCAAACTAGTCAAAGGGATTCTGTCACAAAAGCTGATTCCTGTCAGTTTATACAAGAATCTATATTTTCTCCCCTCTAAACCCTAAGCAGGTGCCTACCTGCCTATGTGCTCGCTGTGCTCTTGCCCATTCTACGCGACATAAAAAATCGAAGCAAATTGCAGCATAATAGTCTACCAAGATTAGAAATTTTAGGGTTCACTCAACTATTTAGTTATCAGATAAAGGTGGAAAGTGATAGGGGCATGAGGATGATCATGTGGATAAGAAAGGGAATATTTTCTCTATTAATGTAAAAGTAAGTTACGTTTTCATAATTCCTTATGGTAAGGGAAAAGGTGGGTCTCTAAGGTAAAATAACTAATTCAAGGCGACTTAATGGACGAGCGGGCCCTAAATTTCTTAACCTTTGAAGAATATGATGTATTTTTGTATAATAGTTGAAGGGTCACAGATGTCAGTCAAAAGAGTACTAAGAACTGTCATCTAGAGAAAATCATGGTCGTCTTGAGAATCAGAAGTTGTCTTCTTCGTTCGTTCTTGAAGGACTGATGGAGACTTCTTGTCTCTTTTACAAAAAATTCTCCTTGTCCAAGAGACATTTCACGAGACTGGCAAAGTAACCGAACAATCCACTCAGGATATAGCCTGTTATAACATGAAATTCCATAACATGAAAATGTAAGCAATTTGGTAAGAGATTAGTGGCATTAAGAAGAAAGAATAATTTTTAACGCTTCAGCACAATTCGTCGCCTAATTCCGAGGCAAGTTGCGGGAAACTTTTTATCTTGTGACAACATCTTAATCAGTATGCCAATAAGAAAATTGCAGCCATAGCAACAGGTTGCTAAGGCAATCAAGTGTTTGATTGGTCGGTAAAATCGGCAGATTACGTCACTGCAATCAAACACACTTGAAGGTAACGCTGAATAAAAACTATTTCTGAATATCTCTGATGGAGAATTGTGGCGAGTCATTTGCCATGTTCTGATGAAATTGAGTATTACTATTTCACTGATTGACAGAAGGTCCTCAACTTAACTTAAAGTTATGTTGCTTTAAAAATATTACGGAAACGTGAAAAAAGTGTCACAGATTCCAGCACTGATAATACAGCTGACTGCGCATCTGAGGTAGAAAAGTTTGCACTCGTCTGACTTGCTTTTGTGGTGGAATATTCTTCGACTTTTGGCTAAAGGCATCAGTACGAGGTAGGTTTTCAACCGATCCATCTTGAGCTCGTGTGCTTTTTTCACTTTGTTGAACCTCTGATAATAAATCCAACGTAAACGTTATGCTCAACTGCTACGAGAAGAACATATTTCTCTAAGCCTTGTGTTATAGTATCATTCAGTTTGACCTCTTGCACAGCTACAAGATGCGTTTTGTACAGAGTCCATCTCCTAACATTCGATCAAAAGTGCCATTTCATCCCGCTAATTCACGCCAGTTAAATATTTAATCACTTCATGGCGAGTTTTAACAACCTTGTTTACACTTATCAAAGATATACAATATACAATAACTCTTGTCAGTGGGACTATTTGGACGATATTCGCTAATATAAACACTGCATATTTAGTAAATGGTTCACTTAGCATCGCACTAACACACAACACGTGCAAAGTACTTTAGGTTGTACTTAGTGAAGAGCTTGAAGTAAAATTAACAACGCCGTAGTAAAATAGGATCTAAATTTGCACCATAACAACGTTCTTCTGAGCGCAACTAACAATTTGAGAGTGTTCAGAAAGATTAGCGGATATCACTGTTGCGTAGAATAACACTCTTTTTCTCACAAAACCGAGAGGCTTGTTATTTTTTATGGCCTGAAGACTGTCTCAGAAGAAAGGTGACATTTTATTTACCAAAACTTGCCGACTTCTAAAATCGAGAGTATAAGTATTAATTAATGAGCTGAATAATCTTTTCTTTACACTAAGGTGTACTGGAGTTAACAATACCTCTTTGAATGTGACCACCTGAACAGAACATCTATTGTTAAGATATTCAATTGAGAGGCAAGAAAAGTTATTCATTTGCAAATTTTAGTCATCTTTATGCAGAGTCCCTTCCGGCCATAGAAACTTGCAGAATAGTTGAAAATACCTTTTTTCAATGAAAACTCAAAGCTTCTTTGAAGTGATAATCGAGTAAAAACTGCTTGATCGCCATATATTTCTACTAGTTTTTGCGAATCCATGTCAAAAAAATTTGATACGAAGATCCTATGTTTTAATGACATGGCTTATGTTATCTACAGTGGCATGTCATAGCACATGAAAGCAGAAGAAATTCGTGTGAGAGAAGGACAACGAAAACCAAACCTAATGGGTCTATTATCAATTGTTGAAAGTTAAAATGCAGTTAAACCCGCAGGTTTCTCTTGGCAAGGCTAGTGTTGTTGGCAAGTTGCACTTTGCAGAAAAATTTAACGACGCTTCTGAGAGACTGGTGTTGAACCCAAGACAACATGAATGAAAGGCATCGAGACATCTTGCGTCGCCACTGGTCGGCGCTCAGGAGAGACTTGGAACCAGTTAAGCTTCTACCTTATCTGGTAAACGTATTGGACGTCACAGACGAACAGGAAGTGAAGGTGAAGGCCACACGAGAGGACAGAACAGACAAACTGTTAGAGATCCTACCCAGGAGAGGACCAGCTGCTTTTGATGAGTTTGTGACAGCATTACAAGAAATCCAGCCATTTTTAGCTACTCCTTTGGTCAAAGAAGCTGGTAAGTCACCCAGTAATGGAAGTAATGACATTGTAGAAGAAATACTTGGGGAGGAGAGGGGCGGGGGGTGATGTAGACGGGTGAAGGAGTGGTGGGTGAGCCTCGAAAGGTCATGATGAGTTTACGTCAAAAAAAAAAAAAATTTAAATCTATATCGACAATAGGCATGCGTATTTTATTTTTGGAACCGGAATTTCCAACTGACTTTTTTCTCAATCGATCCTCATACTTATTCCTTATAAACAGGAATGGGAAATGAATCGAAAAATAAAGACATAAATATGTAAAGTTTTCCCGGTTGGAAACACGCAGTGATTTTAAGGCATTACTTGTGTGGAATCGTTCTTATCTATAATCGCTTATCTCTTTAATCATTAATAGCAAGGCCCAGCAAAGTCTTACAGGATTAATTAACAAACAAGCAAAATACATAACAAATTCTATTTATAAGATGAGGCTATTTTAGCGCGGCTGAAGTGATGTATCATCCGATACCTGAGGTTAATTGCCGACATGATACTCCCCACTGATTACCAAAATAGAGCATGACAGTTGAATAGAGCTGGGCAACAAATGCTTGAACAATTTGGGCCCATCGTCCGAATATAAAAATATTCAGTGGAACTCAGACCCAGACCACTCCAAATTTTTTTGCACCAATGAATGTTAAGAAATGGAGGAGAACCGTTAAAATTGAACAAAAAAAATAGAATGATTACAAAATAAAAACACCGAAGGGTACCAAAAATGTTACTAAATGGCTTTCTCTTTTCTAGAAATGGAGGAAATAAAGACAGAGCTTAACCGCGCAAGAACGCACAGTGCAAGGTTACGTGAAGAAGTTCGTCTGATAAGGACAGGTTTAGAAAACGAGCAACAAAATCATAGGAAAACGCAGAAAGAACTCAAGGAGCTAAAGAGCATACACGAAACGCTTATGGTGAGAAGTAACGACGACCAGAGGATTTTGCAAGCACAAGTTAAAGAATTAGAGAATAAAATCAAAACCACGGAGGAAGAATTGTCCGCTAAAGAAGTTTTCGTTGAGGAAACAGATCGTTTAAGAAAAATGTGTGATAAGCTGGACGATGATTTGAGAAACCTTAGGGAAAACTTTGAAAAGACATCCGAGGAAAATAAAGAACTTGCGAAAAAACTGTCAGGCTACCAAAACAATACTTTAAATCAAAGCAACTCACCTGATATGACCAGTCTGATGTCCATGCAAGTGGGGCTTAAAATCTACAACGGGCACGAGCCAAACTTTCATCTTATTGGAAATGCAGACGAGGAGATGAAGCTCGCATTTCGCAAAAACAGCGCCATCTCAATAGAACTGCTAGATGAGGCAAGGAAAGACTTGGCTAATGTAACAAAAGAACGCGAAGATTTGAAACAAAAATATGAAGAGCTTGAGAGACAACTCGAGGACACCCTCGAAAGTTTGGAAAGGAAAAGAAGTGCCAGTTTTCACGACCGAGCGACGTCTCCCAGAGAAATGAAGCAGGATGACTCTGAAGGTAAGTTAGTAAAGTATATCTGTCATTGCGGATTATATTTTATTTTAATAATTGTGAACAAACGCAGCAGGTTTTTAACGCCAGCTTTTTTTTTTTTTTAACCTTTTTGAGTCTTTCGAGTCGTCGTAATCACCATATTCAGTCTTTTGCGCTTCGTGCTCGTTACGAATCGCTCGTAGCTCGTGCTCGTCACGGGTCGCTCGTTGTTCTTCCTCGTCACGGGTCGCTTGTCATTCGTGCTCGTCACAGGTCGCTCGTCGTTCGTGCTCGTCACGAGTCGCTCGTAGTTCGTGCTCGTCTTTTAGGGTTTACGAAACCGCTTGAGGGGAGGAAAGGGGAACATGAATTTACTGGTATTTAATTCACAATAAGTTTTAAACAGAACTTGCGTCTTTGGGTGTTTCCCTAACTACAAAGGTTTATATCCACTCGTTTTGCACAAGTGCTTATAATCTACTTCTTTCCGAATGGCTTTGGAGGAGGTCTATGCATCATCACCACTAACGAGACGGTCTGGCATAAGTATCATAACTGTGTAGATTGGATCGGAATATACAAAGTCCAGTCAAGCAGGGTAGAGACCATCAATTATTCTTTTTGGTTTGCTCATTTATTTTTACTTGTTTTCTTTTTTGCGTAGAGGATAATCAATGTTCGCGTTGTGATGCGTTAGAAGAAGAATGTACCTTATTACGAACTGAGAGAGACTTCATCAAAGGAAAGAAAGTTAAGTTTGAAGAAGAAATTAAGACATTAAACAAAGATATTGAAGATCTTCGCTCTGAGCACATAAAGGAGAAAAAGACTCTACAAAGGGAAATACAAGTTATGAGAGAAGAACATGAAAACTTGACGAGGGACTTTGAGAAAGAGTTACAAAAGATGTTGTGTGAAGTGAACGAACAACAAATTGCTGAGATGAAAATGTTGCAAGGGAAAAATGAAGAACTAACTGAGCTTTTGAAAAAACAAAAATCAGAGGTTCAAAAGATCTCCACCCAACTGAAAAAAGAAAAATCAAATTTTGATAAAATCGAAGATGAGTTTGTCAAGGTGAAGAAAAACTTAGCTCGCGAGAAAAAGAAGCTTAAAGAGGCCAAGGAAGGCATGGCGGCAGAGGCTAAAGGAAAGACAGATGCCCTGAGAGAACTGGCGAAATTGAAGGTTGAACTTGGTGAGAAAGAAAAACAAAAGGAAGAAGACTTTGCGCGACTTCGTAAGGACTTCTTGGATCGTTGTCATTGTGAAGCGTTGAGGGAAGAAATCGCAAGACTAAGGAGCATGCCAGGACGTAAGTATGGTAACTGCATTTTATTAGTGTGCACTGTGATTGGTCTAGAAACTCACGCCAGCCCATCGACCGATCAAATTAAACAAAATCCAATCGCAGCTTGGTCACTCGCGTTTTTCCGCGCTTAAAGCCCTTGGAAGAGCCCTTAGACATGGAGTCATCTATGCATTAGGAACAAATTTTGGTACCTCATCATGGGTGAATCCTAGTAGCTCAAACGCTTTTCCGACGAGAATAATCGCCACACGATCTTCTGACGAACAAGGCTCGGCAAGTGATCTACTAGATATTCGGAGAGGCGGATCATTAAGCGGCACCAAAGACGAGGAAAAATCGTGGTGGTGTGTTGACTTGGGCGAGAAATATGCTCTTTATCTCACACATTACACTCTCAGACATGGGCGGGACAACGGTATGTCAATCATTCGTAATTGGCGGCTTGAAGGATCGTTGGACGGACGTACTTGGAAACTGTTAAAGAAACACGAGAATGATCGCGGGCTTAAGGAGCCTTACCCATATTACACCGCAACCTGGTGTGTCGATGGGGAGTTCGGAGCTTTTCGGTATTTCAGGATTTTTCAGACGAGCAAGAACTCTTCAGGGAGACATAGCATTTATTTATCTGGTATTGAGCTGTATGGAGTCCTTATTGAACGACTCGACAGTTAATGAATTTATAAATAGAACGAAAAAATCGATAAATTAACTAAGGGCACTAAAGGATTTTTCAATTTCCTTTCGCTTCTTAGTGTATTTCATGTAGAGTCACACATAGAAAAGTCATTAAACAAAATCACCTTGAACGCAAGTTGTGGACTTTTGGTTTCCCCTTGCAAGCAAAGGCTAATCTAAAATGCTAAAAAATTGGTCAAGCCTTAAGGCACAACGTTTTACCATTTGAGAATTATTCGATGGGGCCTGGGAAATCAAGGCCCGTCGGGATCTTTCGAAGTAAAGTATTCCAGTCAAACCTCATTCAAGCACATAATTCAGACCAATTCTAACCGCTTATCAACTTGTCATTGTTTTTGGAGAATGAAAGCGTGTAACATTGACCTCGTGACGCGAAAGTTAGCGAGTTCAAGATTCTGAGGAGAAAAGAAAGGGCATTACCCTTTCTTGAATTTGCATTTCTGCACGGAAAAAATTACTCACATCACCAACTGCTCGTATGACACTTTATTTGTTGTTAAAACATTCTAACGTCATCTTTGATCTGCGACGGAACAGACCCGCGGGACAATTGAAATTAATTGTTTGTTCTCCCTTATTTTTTCAAAGTTTGACCGCAAGTGACTACGTGTCTCCATAAATTGTAACTGTTTAAAACAGTTTTTGTCATAAATTTGCACACTGGACTTTTTCTGTGGCATGAGTTCCGTCACAAAATGGTGGCGAACCTGTCTGCTTGCATCCGCACAGGAAGATCTCAGAGCTGGTTACTTCTGCCACAAACCGGACTGGCTTGATTTGGGTCACTTTATGCCTTCCATCACAGAATGGCTGCAAGGAATACGAGAACTTGAAAAAAAGCTTTCTTTTTTTTTTTCATTTTTTTTTTTTTTAATAAATGGCCAAGCAGATCTTCAACCGGCTCTGAAGTCCTCTCCTCCCTGCATCTTTCACTACCATTTGGTGATAAATGTACATTGGTGACTCATTTTAACCATTTTAACTTTTCCTTTGGACGAAAGCTTTCCAAAATCTTTTAATAATTTTTATAAGATCTTTTGCAACAATTATTTAGTCTTGTCTTGCAATAGCACCTCCTCCAAAAATTGCTTCATCCATCTGTTCGAACTGCTCTGTTACAAAAAAGGTGTGAAAGGCTTCCCACCCTCAAACAATAACTTAGAGTATTTCTTTGGGTTTCCCTTCATAATGCACCCTTTAAAGTCACAAGCAAAAGTGAGATACCTCTTTGAGAATACCCCAAATTCAATATGTAGGGTTATTACAATACATCCCAGAAGACAACATAGGTGTTACTTTTGGTAATTCTACACAGAAATTCTTTGATCATGTAGTGCCATTGTCCAGTCATGACTCACAATCTTATTTTGATGAAACCTTCCCCTGAGGCTGTCAAATTGTCAGCCACAGTAAGTAACTCTTTTCATGTCAATCCTTAGTTAGAAAATCACATCCCAGTATCAACAAAACAGTGTTTCTTTCAGGTTATAATAATCTACTGTGAGCTCAAATGAATAAAGGGGGTAAGTTTCCAATGACACTGTGGTGCTGTGTCAGTAGGAGGGTAAAAAAGGGTTGTTAAGTATTATCAACTGATATCATAAATCGGCCACCATAAATAGTTTTAAAGGTGCAGTTTCGAGCGTCAGCTTTAAAATTCTTTACACTGGCCAATTTACTGTGAGCTCATCCTTATAAGCATATGAAGTTACCTGTTTTTTACTTAGTCCACACTTGCACCAAGAATACTTCTTCCCTTCAACAAGTTCCACTTGGAATGGCTCCTTAGCAGCTATCACTGTCGCATCACAGTAGTGAAAAACCTTCATTGGAAAATAAAGGATTAACTTTTTTTAAAATCACATTTTCAGTAATTTTTGTGATTAAATTTTATTTTTCTGAAATCATTTAGAGTGGAGGAGTAGTATTGGCAGGACAACTTTATCTAATGGATTCATATAAATTTATGCAATCACATCATGCCTGGTCAAATCCAACCTGTAACAATGGTTGGAAAGTGAAGCCACTGTCAGTGATGCGCCTGTTATAACTGCATGCGCTTAAATGATTCCATCATAAAATGTTAACAGACCAGTGATGCAGTTGCATGTATTTACAATGAATCAGTAAGATCAAGTTGTACACCAGCCATGTTGCTAATTCAAGAGAAAGAAAGTCACATGATTAACTCCTCTTCTGGCTGTATCCTTTTGACATTGGGAAGGACACTGAGCCATTCACAATCACAGCCATTCTTAGATTTCATTTCTTCCCTTTAAAAAAGTTATTTTAAAAGGGCAGGTAGGGGTAGGGGTAGGGAGATTGTGCGACAAACTTCAGGACATGATGAATTACTGTGACAACATGCATCTGATACATGGGGATGTAATTGTACACTTGAAAAAGAAAAGCCACCTGGCTCACAGTGAGCTAGAATTAGCCCATTTTTTAAATAGTCAAAGGTGATATCAATGCCTGTGGCCTGCTAATGAAAAAAGTAAAGTTGTGTTTGAATTAACACTTGATCTGATCATAAAGCAAGATCATGCAGTAATTATCTGGTATTTCAAAAACTATCGAGATTACTTCTAATAAAACCTAAATTTGACAGATTTGCTCAAAATCCTGAGAATCCGATAGGGTAAATCTCCCACCCATGTCCAAAAAAATCTGAAAGGTAAATAAGGTCACCTAAGGGGAGGAGGGTATAGGAGCTAAATTGTAAGATTTAATAAGTTTCGAACAACTCATATCACTTTCGAGAACCTTTTTACTGACAGGTCTTGGGAGCTAAAATCAAAGAGACCGATGGAACGGCTGCATTTTCAGTGCAGTTGTCATTTCCGCTGGCCTAACTGTGTATTACGTAAGAAAAGCACACCTGTACAGTACAACTTACAATCATGGCTGCTTCAATTCAGTGTCTCACCTGCTGCAACTGTAGACAGAAACGCTGGTTCGTAAGGAGTCTGGGGTTCCGCAAGAACAAGGCCATAATTAAGACAAAATAATCCAAACTGGCTGCCAGCTGAGACGATTTGTAAGCATGGTCCGGTACTTCAAATAAGCCCATCCATGCCCATTCATTCAACATGGTCAGCGGAATAAACCAATTGTTACTAGAGTGCTGAAGGTCTCTGCAAGGAAATAAAAACACTGCGTTTTCTGCGGAGAAAAAATATATATGTAGCTGGTATTCTGAAGAGTTGGAGAGGGAACATAATTATGGAGTTGAGCAGCGTAGCAATCGAAGGGCTCAATCTTTGTGGAGATTCGTCTCGTGTGGGCGATCGGAGTTTTCGAAATCTGGTTCAAATTACCTTGGATATTTTAGTAACGAAAAAGAACGAAGATGCCCTCAAAAGTAAGTTTAACGATCAGTTTAAGTAAGTTTTACAAAGTCAGTCACTACCTTGTTTTATTTTCCTAATCGTAAAGTTCAGCCCAGAGATGGTCTTGTGATCGTGACCGCAAGGCAGGTGATAGATTGCCAGCAAGGGGTGGGTTGGGGATTATGAAGTTCGGTGTATTTTAAAGATATTATTCACAGCTGTTGATATACCTCGTTTTGAATTAATGACTTGTTGAAAATGGCGTAAAATCTTCAGATTTACCAACAAAGTCAATTTTTCTGTTGGGTTTTTTTTCCTAACTCTGAGAAGCACTCTGTAAGAAATGATGTTGAAATCTCAAATTCTGATGAGGGTGGGGAAATGTTGGTCAGTGCCCCACCTACCCCATACTGATTTGCGTTTTGGAAAGAGAAATCAAATGCAAATCCTAATTTCAATAATTACCCTGAAAAGACTGGAACAGTTTGGCATATCACATTGCTCTAACAGAGGGCTAACACTCGAAATGTCAACTTTGAAACTCTTTATGGTGGCCAATTTATGTTATCAACTCAATTGATAATACTAAATTACCCTGTTGTACTCTCCCACCAACACAGCACCACAGTTTCTTTAGAAACTTACCCCCTTTATTCATATCACAAGGTTGTATTGGTATCGGTGACTGTTGTAATGAGGCTTATCTACCTGTGTGTATTATCAACAAGGGATCTTGTTTTCTTTCTGCAGGTGATGAAGACATTTCCACTGTTGATTCAGCAACTCTTAAGCAAGCATATGCTGGCCTAGTGACAATGATATTGGAGGCTATCAAGATGGATTGTGATTCATCCTCTATAAGGTTAACATGAACTTTTTCAAACATAATTACCCATCATGTAGTTAGATGAAAGGCTATGCATAGAGAGAAGAGAGTGTTAGCCCTTCATTATTGGCTTCGACAAAGTGATAATGCTCAAAATATCAGCTTCAGAAACTTTTAACAGAGGCCAATTCTCAATATCAACTCAGTTAATAAAACCAAATTATACCCTACTAAGCAAGCACTACAGTTTCCTTTGAAACATACCCCCTTTAATGGAGAAGAGGGGTGGATGGTTAACAATTTTCAAATTTTTCTCTCACAAAAATAAATGTTATAAGTAAATGAGGGATAATCTGGCCCGATTAGGTAGTACTCTGAAGAATTTTTAATCTTCGTACTATGATTATCAATTATTGTATTTATGATGGGTGAATGCATGACTGAAATTGGATGAGGAGATTTAAAAACTCAATTAAAAGAGTTCTTTTATTTCTGACATCAATATTTTGTTTAAAAGGTCAAAATGATATTACTTAAAAAGTCACTTGTTTGTGTTGCAGCTCTGCATTGGAGGACTGCAAATGGGGCACTGAAAGAATAGAGTATTTTACAAAAAACTTTCTGGTATGTAACAAAATAGAAACAATAGAACCATGATTCACTTTAACAATAATTTATTAGTGAAGATTAGAAATAAATGATTTGTACAAGTCTTAAATCTTTTGGTTAACTGCCTTGTTCCTTGCTGTAGATAAAAAAAAAATGCTGAAAATGAGAAATTTTGGGCAAGGATGATGGGTTTTTTTAGTCTTGGCTTATTCCTTTTGGACCTTTTAGTGTTTGTTGTTTGTGAGGTTTTTGTTTCTTGCAGCCTTTTCAAATAGTCCAGTTAGTTGGATAGTTTGATGAAAAGTTAAAATAAATATTTAAAATAAGACTAAAAAACCTGTGAAATTGGTAGAAATTATTCAGGACTCTTTTTCTTACCTGTAATCTTTCTCTCAATTTTTAAGGCCCAGCTTTACTTACAAAGGCATATCATTCTTGACTGAAATTGTATTTTTTAACAAAAATCATTTGTGGTTAAACTCATCGAAGGTCACTCACAACTTATAGGTTTACTTATGTGTGATCCTGGATTTTGCCCCTGTTTAAGTTTGTTCAACTATTAACCTCTAAACTCCCAGAAGTGATCAACATGAAACTTCTCCCTATAACATCCTTACATTATCCAGCAAACAGGGAATGAGAATACTAAAACTTATGAAGTAGAAGTTGTTAACTTGATCTACCACCAAATTCTCGTAACTAATTTACAAGTAAATGCGTAGCAGATAGAGGGGAGAATTAAGGATCAGATTTTGGGAGTTTAAGGGTTAATTTTATGCACCAACTCAAATTGCTAAGAATCTACATGCAGGCTACTGTTCAATTTAAGAAGAAACAATATAGAAAACCACTTCTTAGATGCATAACTGCAGTAGTTGTTCTCTGAAAAAATTAAAGAACCATACTAAAAATTTTTTCATCAACTGGGAAAAACAGTGAATGTGAAAAAACAGTGAATTTTAGGCTCAGTGGTCAAAAACTTTAAATACATGTAGCCCTTTACGCCTTATTAAAAACTGATATGCATATTCTCCTTACTATTCTGTAAATATTTTTTATGATGCTGACAAGGAGAAATTATTGAACAATCAAGAGCTTCTTTAGTTGATGATTATTTCCTCTATTCTCATGACATTTACATTTGATTCAGAGGTGATATTGTAAGGAGAAACTAGATGCTAGTCACTCTTGGGTGTTGAAGCATTTAAACCCTTTAATCCCCAAAAATGATCAACATCTAACTTCTCCTGTAATATCTATACACTATTCAACAAACAGGTAATGAGAATACTCAAACCTATCAGATAGAATTTGTTACCTTGATGTAATATCAAATTCTCATTACATACAGGGAAATGTGTAGCAGCTAGAGGGGAGAATTAACAATTAGATCTTGGGAGATAAAGGGTTAATATATATGGGTATAGGTTACCTTACAAAGTACAATACAGCTTCATAGCAGTTGAATCATATCAAGTGTACACACATCTGTTGATCATGTTGAGGAGAAAATTTTCATCCTGTAACTTACTGTTACTTTTTCTCTTGTCTTTATTTGAACTTTGTAGGATTATAAACCTAATTTGGAAGCACTGCTTGCCAGGTAATTAATTTCCTTTATTCACTCATAATATCTTGTTTGTAATTCTCATTAGTGTCTGCTATACAGTTCTTATGATGTTAGTTTGGAGAATTTTGTATTGGATCAACTAATAGTCCCCTCATGGTTATTTTTTCTTTATTCTCATTCCTTGTCTGCTCGATATTGTAAGGAGAAATTCTGTCTTGGTCCCTCATTGGAATTAATGGGTTAAATAAATTTCATGCTACCAATTAACAAGTGATCTAAGCCTGGAGCATAATTAAGAATTTGTTCATGCTTAATGTGTGAATATCGGGTTATGGATGCATGCAGGAAGTTTGGAGAGCATGAAAAATGCATAAGAGTAGCTTGATGTGCAGCCAAGAGTAACTCTAGCTTTTTGAGTGCTCTCCAAACTTCCCAAGTGCATCCATGACTCGATATATGCACAGCTAAAAGAATGAGCAAATTCTTTCATAACAGAGTGACAAAAAGGATCTGCACAAATAAGCCTTTTATTGTGATAGTGTGTGAAATTCTCACTGCACAAAAAAAAAAGTAAAGAAATGTCCCTATTGGCTGGTCAAAAATAGGCCGCATTTTATACTTTGGTTTGAGTGAGAACATTTGATCCAGTTAACTGATAACTGTGTATGAAAAGCTTTTGTTCATAGTGGCTCATTATAGGACTTATATAGGGCAAGAATGCGTGCTATGTTATAAAAAAAAGAATTTTCAATGGATTGTAGACTTTCAAGTTACTAGATTCTTGATGATTGATTGTTGGTTGATTGAGAGGATTTTCTGCTGTGCTTCTAATTTTAGAACAGGAGGTTCATTTCCTCATGTTGTGGATGTTGATTGGAGACTAGATTATTACATTAAGGTAAACTGGTTTGGTTTTATCACCCACTGAATAGAATTTCTAAAGCTGTAGTTCTAAGCATTAGCCCTTCTTCATTCCATCTTTTGAAGGGCTATTGCTTGAAATGTCAGCCTTGAAACTTGCTGCAGTGACCACTTTGCAGTCATTATCAATTCAGTTGATGAAACCAAATAATTTCTGTAATATCCCCCACTTATGTAGCACAACAGTTTCTTTAGGAACTTTCCCACTTTGATTAAAAAGAACTCAGCTCCTCTGGTACAAAAAGTTGAATAAATGCAAAGAAGTTCACAAAAAGTTTCATAGTACAATTTGGATGCCCTGTGCTGTGTCACTACGTGGACAACAAACATCTAATTTTCCTTGAAATTATTTCTTTACTTGTATTTCTGTCTTTTATCAGAATAATCAGATGGAGAAAGTAAACAAACCCACATATCTCATCACACTTAAAACTGAGGTACAGTACAAGTACAGTTTGTTGAATTTCTTCATTTCAATTCTAGTTTCTATGTTCAGTCACTTAAACTTCTACAATCCCTGGTAGTCATTATTTGGTTTCTTTATGTACCGGTATGTCAGATTCTTGCTTTAATTACCCGCTATGATGTCTAATTCTTGAGATTTACTGTGAAACTCAGATAACTCTGAACAAGCTTGTTTGATTCTTCCAGGTCAGTTGTTTTCTGACCAATCTCAATAAACTTTAGAATATATGGACTGACCTCCAAAACAGCTAGTCATTTGCTCAAGAATGAAATATCATTTTCATATCAAAGGCTTCACTCTTACATAAAGAAGTGACTTTCGGGCCACATTGAAAAATGGCAGAGTGTTATGTAAGGTTAAAGGTAAAGTCTGTGATCAAGCCCAGTGCCCACTCAGCTGGAGTGTACCATGGTTTCTTTAGCATGAAGTGACTAGAAGTATCACCACTTCCCCCTTTTGGATGGGATACCTCCCAGCATTTCATCAAGCTTCTCAGACAATTTGCCAGTACCCATTTATACTATTGGGTCAAGGAGAGAGGGGTTGTGAAGGAAAGTGATTTGCCCAAGAACACAACACAATGACCTGGCCAGGTCTAGAACCCAGACCCCTCAACCCAGAGTCCAGTGCGCTAACCATTACGTGACCGTGTCTCCCTGGGTTTTACCCCAAATTTATTTTGCTATTGACACATCATTGTCATAATGGTGTCCTCTTAAATTATTATTTTATCTCGCAATCATTCCTTGAAATTCCCTTATATCATAATGAGAAGTTAGCTCATCTCTTTCTCGTTGCAGGAAGCTGGGAAGACCAAGGGAGAAGATGTACAATTTTCGTGCACAATGGAGCAATTACAGGTTGACGAATGTTTAGTTATTTAAAGTTTTATAAGCAAACCTTGAATCCGATCACTGTAGAATGTGTGTAGATGCATAGAAATCTCTTCTTCAAATCATTTGGTTTTATTAACTGAGTTGCTAATGTACAGAGTTTTTAAAGCAAACGTTTGGAGCGTTAACCTTGTATTATTCGCTCTGACGAATGGCTAACACTCGAAACCTCTGCTTCAGAAACTCTTTACGGTGGCCAATTTACACTATCAACTCAGTTTATAAAACCAAATTGTATTATGATACCCCCCGCCGATGCAACACCACAGTTTATTTAAAAATATACCCCTTTTCGTCTTTAGATACCCTTGTATGTGATTATGACTTTTAAATTTTATTTTTGTCCTGGTAGGATCTGGTTGGAAAATTGAAAGATGCTTGTAAAAGTGTAGAGAAGGCTGCTAATAACTGATGTTCAGTCCTAAGCCCTGTGGAGACATAGTAAACAAAGACATTATTTTTATGATTATATTAGATGTATCTACGTCAATTGCGTATTTGTTAAGGAAAGTTTACACGTCTAGCGCAGCTTTTTTAAGGAGTGCTACTGAAGATATTTCGCTACACGTTTTTGCCACAGTTACTGATGAAAAAGATGATGTTTCGAATACATAGACCCTAATTTTTTGCCGGGTCGTTTTTTTTACCGCTGAACCTAATAGAGAACATTTCTTTTTTGTAGTTTTCGTCAGAGAAAAATAAAATTAAGGTGAACAGACAGTTGTGTCCTTCAATCTTAATAGACCATGTTTGCGTCTTTGGTTTGATCGTCTAAGAGGTAGTGTCAAGATAAATCATTTTGCGTTAATCGGCGAAAGAATGGTAGAAACAAACTCTATGTAACACCATTTTTGTCGACTGTAAATGTGTAATCAAAGCACAGTCAAACATCGATTATCCAGACCTCGATTATCCGGATTTTCGATTGTCAGGACTTGCTTTTCTGGTCCAGTAATGAAAATCCCGCTGAAACTAAATTTTAATCTGCTTTCTAAAGCTGTAGAATGTTTTAGGAAATGTTTAACTTACATGGAAGTCAAATTTTATAAGTCTGAGGTTTTGGAACAAGTTACTCATTTTCGACTAGTGATTTAATTCTGGTTCTGCACGACCTTACATGGGTTGAAGCTGCTAGATGGTAAATGGTTCGACTGTTTCGGTCACATGCAGTATGTCCTTCGAGCATTCATAAACACAACGGCCAATCCGAAGGAAGACGTCAGTGTTTTTCTTTCCCTAAATGTGTATTGTTAACTGGTTTAATAAGCGGCTCTGGAACGGATATGCCATTACCGACTTGTCACGAGAACCATTTTCACCAGTGGCCAGCTTCAGTTATTCAGACACTTAATTCGCGTCAAGAATGGGTCCACTTAAATACCTCTTACTATACGAGCTCGAGGTCCATGCGATAAGTTACGGGCCGAATTTCTTTTTCGCTCGGATTTAATGGTTACCGTAATGATTAGATTTACCGCCTTCGTTAGAATAAACGTCCCCTCTTTGGTAAACGCCCCCCTCGAATTTATTTTTGTTAATAAGCGCCTCGATTCTAATGAGTGCCCATATTGAGTAAGTACTCTCACACCACATTCCAATAAGCGCCCTTGTTCTGTTCCGGTGATAACACTGTTAGAGTACATCTACACTGCCATCAACCTTGGTTCATCTGCCTTTAATTGCACACTCAAAGTCCCATTGAGAAGGGGGTCCTTCGTTCCAGCCTCTCAACTATTATGTCCACATGAATGCGCAGTTCCTTCAATAGATGATCTCGTATTCAAATTTTGCGACGAGTGCTTGGCTAGGTGTTCTAGCCAGGAAGGATCCAGGGATAACAAGTCGGTTTTCCAGTCTTCCCGATCTACAATCAAAGCTTTGTTTCGCAAATTCTGCTGTTTCACATAAAAGAAAAAAGCGCTCTGTTTCGAATAAACGCCCTTCCCTGGGGTGCCGAAAGTAACCAAGTGCCACGGGCTTATTTACCGTTATTAGTAAAAGAAATTACCTGTAAAAATTTTTCCGCTGACAACAATGGAAAGATATCAAACGATGACCGTAAATTGGTCAACGTTTTAACCGTTAGGCGATAAAGTCATCACTCCATTGAGACCCATTGAGGGAACTGGCCCTAGTGAGGAGTCACGTGGTTTAAGTAATTTGCATAATAGACAACGTGAACCCACTCTTTTGACGGAATATGCGAGTCGCAGTACCACCAAAATTATGAGGTAATTCGCCATTTTAATCCTCTCATTTAAACTCGATTTGTTCTCGTTCGTTAGGTAATGCATCTATGTTGCCACAGTCGGCAAATTTTGCAAAATTTTCAGAGAATTTGTTTTGTTATCGCTTCGGCTAAGATATCTTTAGAATGAATACTAAGTATTGAAGGTTAAGTTTGTCACAAAACGTGACTAGTTACGCATATCTTGTGTTAAATAATGACGAATTTGTGATAAATTTACATAGCGCGCTTGACACATATTTATTTACCTTCTTTTGGTCTTTTCGATTCAATTAGGCTTTTCTGAATTCCCACTTCAGCTAGCCGATTCACCTGGTGATTGTGATAAACAACCACCAGTTTAATAGCAGAGAATCTGAACTCCTTCAGGAACGTGAAATATGAAATACAAACTTCTATTCCGCGATCATTTGCTTCTGAGAACGTTTCTTTAGAATTTACCTCCTCAAATAGATTGTACATACTCCGTTTTGTGTGGAGACAATTTGGTTCACTCACTTATTAAATCGTTGTAAAAGTAATGTCGAGATCTTCGAAGAAAGGCTTTCCTCGTGGTAATCAGTAGAATTCAATGACTCACCCCTGCTTATTTTGAGCTTTGATTTACCATAATACAGATTTCCAATACAGCTGTCGAGAACATATAAGCAATCGCCACATAATAATGCGAAATTCTTAGCTTATCTTAGAACTTCGCTCATATTTTTACGTGGCTAAAAAGTTTTCGTCGATTCGTAAATGACAGCGCAATTGCTGAAACCGAGCTTCATTTGCAATAAATCGCAAGAGCAGTTTTTTTCATGCGCGAATCCAGGCAATCTGTATGTAAGCGTATGGGCTTTCCTCAAACTGATGGGTAAGATGGCGATTTTGACGGACTACACATACTGAGCATTAATTTCTTAGCAGTAAATACTTTAAAAGTTACGGCAATATCGGTATGGTTCAGCATTTATCTAAAAACCGAGTGATTCATTAACTTTGCATTGCTGGCTGAATTGCTAGTCAAAATCGAATTAAGATAGATTTAGTCTACACTCGATGAGGCTGCAGTTAACCCTCGGATTTAACAGGTGCACGCGATTACCTTTTCTTTAAAGAAAATAGACCGGTTTCTAGTCAAGGTAAGAGTACGTATTATTAAGCTGGTCTGAAGCTAAATTTGTTGCAATGTCATATGATTTTCTGACTCTGAAATTTATTTTTCTCTCAGGAAAGATCTTTATCCTTAAGCTTTAGGAAAGTAATATTCAACGTTGTCCAAGGTATACTTGAGTCTTCGCCAAATGATACGTCTGTCATATCATTGCTGCCTTTTGGAATATTCAGTGTTCTCAATGACATAAATGCTTGTGCCTTTTCTATGCATCGTAAACCTCTAACTGATCGAATTCCAGGTCCTCACAGTAAAAAGTACGGTTCAAGCGTGAAGAGTGCGGACCATACATCCGTCGAGCGGAAAATACGATATTCCACAGTACGGACTGTAAAGTAAAATATTCATCGCAACTCTGGGTTCAAACAGAGGGGGAAGATTTCCATTCAAACAAACTTTGAATTTAAGGGACTGCACAGTGAAACACGCGCCGCTAAATTGATCAATCCTAGCGCTTATACTAACTGAGAGGTGTACTAAAAACGTGAGAAGACCAGAAAATTATGCTAAGGAATGAACTGAACATGTAACAAGGATTAAAAAAAGGGTCGCCAAAAACTGAGAAAAAATGTCTTCATTCGCAATGAGCGTACATAATCGATTTGCCGCAGAATTAGATTTTTGAGGTAGTCTCGTAACACATTGCATCCTTTTTAAGAGAAATGTATTTCGTTGGGCTGAAGAACAGCGAAAAACTTGTCGGGTCTTTCAACAAAGAGGCAGGTGTTTTTTTCTCTTTCACAGTATTCCAAAAACGATCCATGAAGTACATCAGGCAACAAATGGTTAAAATAAGAACAGTTACAACTTCACCTTCAAAGTGAAATCCTTAAGCCATGATGCAACTGTACTTCTCCATGAACTCTTTGACACCTGAGAGTGACTAACATCTAATTTCTCCGTAGAATATCACCCATGAATCACACTTTAAGGTTACGAGAATAAAGGAAATGATTACCATCTGAAGAAGCTCTTGATTGTGAAACAAATTCTCCTAGTTATCACCTAAGGAAATGTATAAAGAATATGTATGTTGATATTAGGGGGGCGAGGGGTTGATAAAAAGTGTTCCAACGATATGTGAGGAATTGTATTATGTGAAGGCTGAGAAAACGGTTCCCATAACGTAATATTTCGCAATTGATGAAATTATCCTTGGCCGAAAATGATAAAATTAACAGCTACAATGTTAACGTTGAAATCAAATCAGTGAGCGATCCTCAAGCTCAACCTCATTTCCTTACTAATGGCAAGTGGTTGAAGAATACGTCAAGAATTATATTACGTGTAAGTTAAAAGTTACAAATGTTTTTGAGGCGCGGACGGAAGCCAGAAGTTAAAACTTATCATTCCTGATGCTCACTGTACGTTTGTAGTCTGCACAATTTGGTTTTAAGTATTAAAATGACGACTGTACAGTCGATCCATTGACGTCAAAGCGCACGAGAATTGGCTTTATTCTTCTTCCGGTTGCTGTTCGCGTTTCCAGAACGTCACTGCCCTAGTTCTCTAGTTACAGTAAAAAAAACAACCTTTAGCTATTTTCTCATTTTTGCGTCAACGTTCTCCTGAAACTTTCAAGTTTGAAGATCGACGTTCATAACCTGATCTTCTGAAGGAACCGCGACTCAAAATCACCTTGAAATAGGTGACGAAATCACAAATATTGGCAGCCAGTTCAAACTCATCACGGTTTACTCGAAGCCGTTGGCAACGGAAGAAGAAATCAGAAATAACGCATACGGGACACAGTTGTGCGATCGTTGAATTATCATTTTGATAGGTTGCTCGTATAGCGTGATTTTAGTTGTGTCCTCTGACAATTTTGAATTCATTTCTGTTTTCAGTTTTCATCATCCTTTGTCATACCGGAGAGAGTAGGAGAGGAAGTCTTTCGCTTTTTTGCTGAACACGCACGACAGCAGACCGGAAGTCTTAAGTTTTCTCGCTAGACACACGACAGTGGCGCTCAGAGATCACGTATCGTCGCTGCCATCGTTATCGCCAACATGTCTTTGCTTAAGATGCCGCTTGGAGAACTAAATCCTCACTTGATGTGTGTATTGTGTTCTGGGTACCTTGTAGACGCAACAACGATTATCGAGTGCCTGCATTCTTGTAAGTTCACACTGTTTACAAACTGATTTATTTTAATCGTCGATTCTTGAATGTCTTTGATAGCCAATAAAAATTAGCTGTGCAAGCATCTGGTTGAGGTTTGTAAGTAAAGGGGCGCTTGTTGCAATTGTTCAACTCCTATAGCTGAATTTTGAATATTACGTTTAATTATTTATGTACTCTCTCGTGAGATCTAGCCGTCTAAAATATACGTTCATTTCTTTCTAAAATTTCTCAATAAGTTTAAAGTAATGCAATCCATACAGACGTTCCATAAGTCCATAATATATTGTGTTTACTTTGTGAGTTTCACGGTTAGAGCTGACAAAGTATTAATTTTTGTACCTTTTTTTTTCTGTAGTTTGTCGTAGCTGTATCGTTAAATATCTCCAGACATCGTATCACTGTCCTGTCTGTGATGTTGAGGTCCACAAAACCAAACCACTGCTTCATATAAGGTGAGTAACTGTAGAAGACGCTTTGTTTGAATTTTTCCCAAACTACCCTAGGACTGTCCAAGCAGATAAATATATAAGAACTTAACGACGGAAGTCCTCGCTTCGGTCGTACGTAGACTTTCACCTTTGCGGTCCGTTTTTTCATTCCTGTTTAATTGCAGCATAAACAATCTATCATCCGAAAAATAAAAATTATGAATTGTGTGGTTAATTTTCAGCAATGCGATAAAACACGTTGAATAAAGGGTTGTGATCAAAAAGGACTGCAATAAATTTATCTTATCAGACGTTTTGGTGTGTAGCATCGCTGAGTAATTTTTAGGAGTTGTGTAGTATTTTGACAAGCCCTTAGGGCGAGTCAAACTACAAACAACGAGTAAAAATACTCAGCGATACCACAAAGCAAAACCTCTTATAAGTTAGTTATTTATTATACATCTGCTTTTTTTTTCTTCTAAGTCTTTCTGCTCATTTCTCCAAATAACCGTACATTATTATCCAACTGCACAAAGTAGAGTACAAATAACGCGCGAATGGAATACAAATATCCTGCGATACTGTACGGTTATTTGAACAGTTGGTTATTTCGTACTGTAAAAAAACCTGTTTACCATTCGGCTGCACGCGCTACGCCTCTCTATCCGCTTTTCTTTTCCCGCCTTATGAGAAATGAACATAGAGACTTCGCAGAAAAAAAGCAGTTGAATAACAAATAACTTATTAGACGTTTTGGTGTGCAGTATCGCTGAGTATTTTTATGAGTTGTGCCCTATTTTTTACTCGCCCTGCAGACTCGTCAACATACGGTACAACTCGTAAAAAGTACTTAGCGACACTACACACCAAAACGTCTAATAAGATATATTTCAAAGCGGTGAAACTCAGCAATCGTTGTTCAAATTCAGAATAACTATGCCTCAGCAAATCCTGGATTTTTCTCACCCTGATCCGTAGTAGTAGTAGTTCAGCTGTAAAACTCTTGACAACACAAATTTTGCTCGAAATAGTGGGGTGTACAAAATATCGAGGGTTGGGCTTTCAAACGATATATTTAGTGTACGCGAAAAATAGAAGCTCGAGATGTAATTGAAGATAGAGGGTATTACAGTGTTTTAATCCCTCTTTCTCTGTCTTCTATGCCATGGAAGACCCGACCGACCGCTTCAGGAAATTGTGAACAAGCTTGTTCCAGGATTAGTATATGGTAAGAAGGATTATTATATAAATTATTATCCAACTTCACAAAGTAGGGTACAGATAACGCGCGAATAGAATACAAATATCCTGCGATATTGTACGGTTATTTGGACAGTTGGTTATTGTGTAATGTAAAAAAGGCTGTTTAACCAGTCGGCTGCGCGTGCTACGCTTATCTATCCACTTTGCTTTTCCCGCCTTATGAGAAATGAACAGAAAGACTCAGCTGAAAAAAAAAGCAGTTATATAATAAATAACTTATCAGACGAGTTGTACCGTATTTTGACAGCCCGTACGTAGGGGGAGTCAAAATACAAACCACGTGTAAAAATATTCAGCAATACCACAAACCAAAACGTCTAGTAAGATATATATATTGTAATGGCAGTAAAGTCTCATGGACGGCGACAGGCCTTCTCCATCGATCAGGGAGAGAGGAATCTGAGCACAAGTCTTTGCATAGCGGTTTAATCGAGAAATATTTGTTGAGCGCTTTATGATTGAGTGGCGTAAAAACAAACTGAGGTAAACACAGCAGCCAGCCAGAACTAGAGAAAATATCAAAGATAATCAAACCGTTTGAAGTGCTAGAAAAATCTAGTGCTCAAGTTACAATTGGTTTTAGTTTTGATTCTGATTGGTTAAAAAAGTGGTGCGAGTTTCCTGGACCAATCATTGGTTTTACTTCCTTTCGCTATGTGATTGGTCCAGAAACTCGCACCATGATTCTCTCAACCAATCAGCTGCAAATCTAGAAACAATCGAAACTTGGTCGCTTCCGTTTTCCCACGCTTCTCTTTATTTCGCAAGGAAATCAAATCTTGTTCTTGGTCAGCACTCTCGGGAAAATTTGGAACAAATCAGCACATCTACATACCACATACCTGCGAGCTTAAGCAATCTGTCTAACCTTAGAGAGGTATTTCCTTAATCAAAAGTAACGAGACAGTAAAAAAGTTAGTAAGAGAAATCTTACTGTTTTTTATCTCATTTTGTCATATTACAGACGAATTCAGTCGCCGTACAAAATTCGAAGACAAAATAGAAGAGGAAAATTCTACAAACGAAGGTAAGAAGACCACACAGTTAAATGCATGGAGAAATTTGTTGAAATTCGTTTAACATTAATCTTATGTTAGATACATTTAATTTTTGCAAACGGTTCATTGCTAGGGCAAGTTAATCCGCCCGGATTGCTAATACCGTGCTTTGAAAAACTCGGCCCTGGAGCTGACTCCTCCAGAGTCCACACACCTTAACTGTTGAGGCAACATTGTTTTTAAATGTAAATCTAAGAATAATCTCTTGATATCTTTATTGTAAGAGTATTTAAATTGTCAATATCTTGATCTTGAATGTAATAAGCACAACATCGCCAGAAGAATTAAATCATCAAGGGCAGTTGAAACAAGATACTTAGAATTTTTACGAGCTGAGCATCGATACTCTCCTTATTCTCTAAGTATATGCTTAGAACCTTCTTATTTCTTATGTTTTCATAAACTTTTATTTTCAATCAATACAATCTTGACAGGTGAAACTGGGGTAGCGACAACTGATTGTGAAACGAAATCAAAGAACAACGCAGAGGTGAAGATGGAAGATCCTATGTTTATCACTTTGGAATATTACAGGTCAGTTTATATCATGTTCTTGTGTCTATATTTAAACAACATCCTCTATTTAGTGCGAAAATATATACGGATATCTGTTCGCGGATTTATCTGTTCCAAGATGCGAACAGTTTTCCGAGAGCGAAGCTCGAGGAAAACTGTGAACTTTGAGGAACAGAAAAGAGGCTATTGTGTTTATTGTCTTTCTAAAATTTTGAAACGCGCGTGAAAAATATTGACTAACAGCTTAAAGTATGAAGCATGGGCTGTTTTCTTTTGAGTGTTCTATGCTACGACTTAATGAACAAAAAAAGATTTCTCTTCTGTGGCAACCACAAAACTCTCTCTCGTTTTGAATTAAATTTGAAACGAAGACTTATCGTAGTGGACGTTAAGTTTAAAATGTTTGGGAGTATCGCTTGGGTGATATTCTAGGATATCGCCCACTTTCAGCATGGGGATATTTGGTCACGTGCTGTGTTTAGACCATCACGTGCGAGCAAAAATGTTTGATGGATCATAGTTCTGTTACGGCTGTCTAAAAACGTTGGTGAAAGTGATAAAGAGCCCAGGAAAATAATGAGGCTAACAGCAACAAAGAGTCACCTGATTAAGCTAGTTTACTCCCTCGGAGAAGGGGCGATCAAAATTTGCTACCGTAAACTTCAAGTAGTACTGCGGTTTTCATTTCCAACTTTTGGTAAAATAAAAGAAAGAAAAAGAAGAAAAAATAAAGATATGATGGGAGATAAAAAAAAAAACAACGCTATCTCTGATTATGAGAGTGTAAATTCAAGCTACAAATTCAAGAGTGTGCTATTGATTATAACTTACTTTCATCATTTCCTCTTTTTGTTATTCAACAGGCGTCAAAAAATCTGGAATGAACGCCAGGTTTGTTTTTACTTTCTCACGTACCATTCTTTGACTATCAGTTTGATCGCAATTGGGGACACAGCGCTTCATTGCACAGCGCCTTTACAGCTCACGCCCTTTAGAGCGCACGCAAACATGAACTCTTTCGTTGCATACGAAATACCGCAAGATTTGCGATGATGTATGTGGAATTCTAGGAAGCTACCTTACGACATTTCAGGAAAATTAACAAAGGGGTGCGAACAAAGCGAAACAGCGCGGGCGGCGGCCTTGAAGTCCTAAGCTGACATTTCTTGGGACAAAGAGAATTTCAGTTTAAATGTAATACGTAACTCCAGAAAAGAATCGTTTGCCTGAGTATAAAGGCAATAGAACAGAAGAACGAGGATGATATAGTATGGTGATCTTTAAAAAGAATTAAAATTTACGACCTTGAAACTTTTACTTACATTTGTGGGCATAGACATTCATTGATGCAGCTCCTTCAAAACTAATTGACTGACTGAAAAACGAGAGACAATGTTTGACCGTATTTATTCAAGTTATGTTCAAAACAACGATTGTCTTCTAATTGTTATCATCAAACGGCAAAGTACGTTTTTGTATGATGTCTTTCTTTTTCCTCCTCAGATCTTTCCGACTCGTTATCTCAGATGTCCGTCTGCAGTGACTGTCAACGTATTGAAAAAATTCCTTGCAATGAAGTTTGCCATCCCTAACACACATCAGGTTAATAAGTAAATTAGTGAATAAGTAGAAACAGATGAAAAGATAGATGAAGTAAGGGGTAAGATAGTATAGAAACTTTGGTGCTGCGTCAGTTGGGGGGGGGGGTGGTATTACGTGTAATTTGGTTTTATCAACTGAGTTTATAATGTAAATTGGCGCTCGAAACGTCAGCTTTGAAACTCTTTAAGGTGGCCAACTTACATTATCAACTCAGTTGATAAAACCAAATTGTATTTAAAGACGGATTGACTGATTGATTGTCTAACGGACTGATTGACTCTTCGACTGATTGGCCCATCTATGGATCGATTCATTTTGCCAATTTTTTTCAGGCTGAACTTGTTCGTTCAGACGAGCTTCTTGACGACTCATTGACGATGAAGGAAGTTTCGCAAATATATGGACTCTACTCGAAAGTAAGAAGACTCAGCTAGTTCATCATGATTTACAGCTACACTCATTTTAGCGTATTCAGCACCTCATACCACACAAAATTTCAGCATTCTTCTATATGACCGAAGAATGGCCAAAAATTTACAGCTAAGTGCGGTTCCATATAGGTATAGCGCTATTTGTGGACGATCTTTGATTTGTAGACTGTTAGACACATAAATACTGTTGTTTAATTTATCTTATGCCATAGACTCGAATTTTTTTAGCCAATTTTGATTTCCATGTTCTTTTGTTTCAATATAAAAACCTTGAACATGTAGCATAAAGCAAAACTTAAAACTCACTGAACCAATAGATCAACATCGCATATCAAAATACGTCTGAAAATGTATTTAATATCGCTATCTTTGCGGTTAATGCTAACCAACCATATTTTATCGCTAAAAACAAAAAACAGCAGGATGGTATTATACAATCAACATCTTTGTTCCTTGTTTGAAAATTGCGAATGAATTCTTAACCTCGGCTGTTCGTGAATGGCACAATATCTTAAATTTTTCAGTTTCTTTTGTTCCCTCGTTTTTCTCACTGATGGCTAAATCTAAATATTACTGTGTTGCAGTCTTTCCTAGATCTCCAGTACTCTTTCTTAGACGTTTGTAAGGAGGATACCGAAACAAAGGTGAAAGAACCGCCAAGGAAAAAACTTAGAACATGCAACGAAGATGGAGATGAAACAAAAGCAAGCGAACATTTTGTTGGGGCACAAACCAAACAGTTGATTATGGATGAAAAGGGAAAGGATTCCCAACAGCCTTTTACAAGGCTTGAAAAGGATAGTCCCGTACAACATTCTCCGGAGGGTGTCATTTTACCAACATTTCCTGAGACTCCTCCAAGTTTTGAAGTTGATCCCGAGGAAGAAGAAACGCCCGTACCAGTTTAGAACTTGCGAACTCAGTTGCCCGTTGTTTGCCTGTGTACGCTCATGTGAACGCATTGAGACCGTGAAATAATTTTTCGTTCGACGATCGAAATCATTCCCCCTACAGTCTCTCAAGAAAGCTAAGTTCAAAGGGAGTCAAATCTGTGTGGGGTCTCCAAATCGGCTGGGTAAAAATATTGTGTTTCCAATAACAGAGGTTTCCAAAGGAATCTCTAAGTTTGGTTGAAAGGTATCCTTGAAAAGAACAGAGAACTGATCTCTCTCCTGTTTTACGCAACAATTGATACGCTGCTTTTAGTGTTAAAAGACAAGTAGGTGAAAAAGAGTTTTCTTGAACGTTTCGAGCGTTAGCCCTTCGCCAGAGCGAATAACGAAGGCGTAACGCTCGAAACGTCAGGCCAATTTTCGTTAACAACTCAGTTGATGAACCAAGTTCTCCTGTTAGTACCTTTCTTTATCGTGATTATCCAAGCTTCTGGAATGTTACAACCACAACCACAACCACAACCACAATAGGATCCCTGTTTATATTTTAGCACACAAAAGAAATGTGATTTATGAAAGCTGACCGCTAGACCACCAGAGCCTCAGCCAAGAGATGTAGTCTGTCTTCAGGCGTGCACCATTTTTTTCTTTGTAAGAGCCTTTTTTTACATGAACATTCAGGCTGAGATTAGCCAAAATTTCAAGAACACACTAAGAACATTACTAGGCTGAGAGTCAATTTTTATTTCGCTCTTTCTTTTGGTTGAAAAGTATAAATTAAATTAAAAGAAATGTAAACAAAACAAGACAAGTAACTCAAATACATAAGGACATCTTTTAACATTGATGTATTGAAATACGGCTATACCATACAACTTTAAGAATATATTAAGAACATCTTCAGGCTCAAATTGTAAAAAAATAAAGGATCTTCAGCGCCAGTCCCCATGTTAGACGTTAAATAGATTGTGTTACAAGAAGGCTGGTGAACTTCCTTGGGAAGAAAAGAAAGAAATAAGAAAACCTATAAGAGTGAAAAACTAACTGACTAAGTTATTTTATTTGAATAATGAAAAAGGCTCCAATGTTTTGTAATGGTTACCACATGTGGATCAATATCAGTATCTGGGCAACTGCCCACCTACCCCTCCCCTAACCCAACATTAACCTTAACTTGTTGTCAATTGACTGTTTTTGAGTTAGGGGATGGGTAGGTGGGAAGTTGCTCAAATACTGATATTGATCCCCACATGTAATCACAACCGGCTCTGCTTTAACTCTTTGACTTCTTAAGAGTGGCTAACATCTAAATCTCCCTACAATATCACCCTTGAAACACACATTAAGAATAAAGAGATTAAAGAAAATGATCAGAATATCCTGATTTTTAAACACCCTAGGAAATTAAGAAAGATGTTTTTTCGTCTTGTCACGAGCGTGGGACAAAGAAAAATTCTGAGTCCCCATGAGGAATCGAACCTTAGACCTTCGGATTTGCGCTTCGATGCTCTACCACTGAGCCACAAAGACTCTTCGGTGAGCGGGGTCTATTACGACAGGACGAAAAAACATCTTTCTTAATTTTTCACCGAGCTTAAAACTTACCATCTCTACTTTTCTGTCAAAAACCCTAGGAAATGTTTAGAGATTAGTATGGAGAATGTGCACACTGATGTTAGGATGTACAGGGTTGTTGAGTGGAAAAACTCTTTTCACTAAAAATGATGTTTAAGGTTTGTTCCTGCTTTAAACTAAGTCTTCGTTAATCTTGTCGAACCTGTATTTAACCACCTCAACCACGCGTCTCATGTATTACGTAAAGTTGTTAAAGCGTAAGCTTGCAAAAAAAAAAAAACGAAATTCGGAAGTCCTGGTAACTTTGCCGAAATAATATCTAAAAAACTTAAATATAAGAAAGAGAATTGCAGGTCAAAGATAAAAGCCATCCCTTCTCAATTCGCTTCCTAAATATTTTCATTGTTTGACAAGCGCTGCTTTTAGAAATATGCGATACACGATTGCCTTGTAATAAACTTTACAAATACTCTCGAAATGTTATTTACTTTCGGATACTATTATCAAACCATTTTACATTTGGCTCTCAGCCGGGCTTCCTAAAGAGAAATTTACATTGGCGTGGTGGCTTTAACGGCTAACGATTAAAATTTTGGTCATTTTACAGCTTAACATATAGTTTCTATCTGTTGCAGTTTTTTTTTTCATGGTTAACATCTTCCACGACTAACGGTTAAAACATGTCAATTTTTACGCCTATCGGCTACTTTTTTTTGCCTTTTAAGGCTAACAGTCAACCTTATTGAGACCCAGTTCAAGATATAGTATAGACAGCAAGGGAACCCGCCAAAGTCATAAAAAGAGACCCACGCAGAATTTGTAGAAGAATCAGTTGCATGAACGTAGTTGGAAATTTTTGCCCGAATCGTTCTGCTGTCATGTCAACAGTCTGCGGGAGTGAGTGGTTACACAGCATTGACTGTGTAACCACTCACTCCAACAGACTTTATACTTTAAAATATGTCTTAGGAACGTAAAATGAACATTTTTGACAAAGTTTTGCAAAGGTGGAGCTGACTTCCTGAAGTTTTCTGACGTTGGAGAATAACATTGGCATGCGTCTGTTTTGTTTTTCCTTCGTCTTTGCGAACAAAAGGTTTATTCATATCTCTTAATTCAATAAATAATAAATAAATAGAACGACTTTTAGTGACACAAAACACTGAAATGTAATTAAGAAAAGTTCTTACTAAATCGACCAAAGAAACTTCCTAATTATGGATAAAAGTTCCAACTAATGTTTGAAACTAAAATAACTAACAGTCAATGGTCGGTTTAAAGGAAAAATAGATCTGCATGAAGCTTGGTTTTCGTAGGGGACGGAGCCGGAGTCGTAAAAGCACTTCCGACCTGATGAAAATCGAAAATCAGAGTCGTAAGCTGAGCCATAAGCCCGATGGTGTCAGAAGAAACAGAACGGTTTTACTTTCTTCCAATTTCGCTAATGAATCCAACGCTTTTGATCCAGTGAAAACTAGATTGTCGGAGTCCCAAGCAGAAGCGGAAGAACCAACCAATCCCAGTACCAGTTCTCAAGCCCTATGAGTACAGCCTGATACCAAACAAGGAATTACGACGCCGACAATCCAGCTTGCTTTCACTGGATCGTAGACCTGACAAAGTTGTAAGCGACATCGATATCTTTCTTCCGATTCAGTTGGTTTCATTTTCATCAGATCATACTGTTCTGTGCTTCTGATTACGGCTCCGACTTCGACTCCGCCGTAAGCTAAAACCATCCTTAGGAAAAACCCCAAAATTTGATTAAATATCCGTTCAGGCATGGTAACTTTCCGACCGAGAAAGATTATTCATGTATTAATTGCTCCTCGTGAACATGCGCTTGACAGCTAAGCGAAAACCTTTGTATCTAATAGAATATATGAGTGGGTTACATGCACTGTTTGCAAAGCCAACAAACATCGTTGTTAGATCTGCAGTTGGTCCCCCTGTGGTCTTGCCATGAGCAGTCTGCACAATAAGTAATAAACAAAATGGCGACCAACACGCCATGTAAGTTCCAATGACAATAAGGACTGTTAAAGCTCCTTTTCTAGCTGAAGTAACGTTCGCTCTCGTTTCCAAGCCATTAATTGATCGAACATTTTTTACTTCTGCAGAAATTCTTTTGGACTGATTTGAAACTATTTTGAATATCTTGAGGTAAACACAACACATGATTAAAACCGCTGCCCCATACGTACAGCAAACCACTGAGGCAGTGAAAAAAACAGCTCCTTTTCCACGCAGCCATTCCGTCTCGATGCATTTCCCGATGTAAGGAATAAAGCACTCGTAGGTAACCACGCCGAACAAAGGCGGCAATGCCCATAATGTCGAATATATCCATAACAATAAACAAGCACCGCGAGCTTTGTTCTTAGTCACCACTGATGAATAAACGAGGGGACGAGAAATCGCGACGTAACGGTCAACAGAAAGCAGCGCTAGATGCATTATAGATGAAATACAGAACGAGAAGTTTCCAAAAGCGTTTAGTTTTCCCAACACTCGTCCATAGCGCCACTTCCCCGCCACAACACTGTCTATCGCGCCTGGCATGACAAGTAGGCCCACAAAAAGATCGGCAACCGCAAGCGATACGATAGCGTGTTTGTTTGCTGGCATAGCCTTTAGGACAATCATCCTAACCAGTGCAACGATGACAAAAGCGTTTCCAACAATCGTGGCCAGGTTGATTGCAATCATGATAATGGTAGTTAAAATAACAGCACTTGACGGCCAAGTTGAAGTCACTAGGGAGAAATTATCGCCGGTGGCCAGCCCGGTACAGCAAAAGTTTGTGAAATTTCCTGACATTTCGAACGTATCTCAGACACTAACTCCTCAAATGGTCAGAGAATAATCCAGTTTCGGGCGCTTGGCATTTCAGCAATTGATTAATCCTGAAGCACTGAAGAAAAAGGCACAGCTGTATCTGAACACTCCCGATTAGTTGTCACGTTTCCGACTTTGTTCCTTAAAAGAGGTGTTTCGTTATGCAAGAGTATTTATATTTGCTCTTTGATTGGCTGATTTAAGTCTATTCATCCTTTCAAAGTCGTTCTTTTTTAACTCTCCACAGTTCTATTTTTCTCCTTTCTTTTCTCCGTGTAAAGTATGGAAGGCAGAACCGCCCTGAGCAACTCCTAACCTGTGCAATGCCTCTGGATAGGAGCACAGCTCTCAGACTTGCCTTGGAAGTTCAGTCAACGACCGCACTCCAAGAATTCTTGCTTCATTCCGAGAATAGGAACTGAACCATGAAGCGTAAATTAAGTGCTTATTGAGCAAAAACGTAGGCGAAAGCAACACGTACGCTAATGAAGCATTGTATAGTTTATTTATAGACTGAATTGGAGGAACACGTTTTAAGTTCCACCAAACATCTTTAGGAAGAGTGACGTCGACAAGGTTATTTCTATTTTGATACTGACACATATGTTAAAACAATTTATTTGCCGTAAAGTTTCGAAAAGGGGCAGATTTAACCGCCAAAAACTACATACAGTTACTCAAACAGTTATTCAGTAGAAAAGGGACTGATTTGAACAAGAGCTACGAGAAGAAGTAAAGAGATTGTCAGTTTTTTTTAGTCAAGAATTAGAATAACACTTACCTCTATATTTCAAAACTAGTTACCTACTTGAAGTCACTCTAGACCTTCGCGGGTTGGTGCCTTCACGGAAAGGCCTGCGCGCGCACTTTCTTTGAATAAACTAGTATAAACTATAACTCTTTGAAAGTCGATGAAATCATAGGCTATTTTTATTTTCCTTTTCTAAGACAAAGAAAGCATCCGAGTTCAACCATGATTAAGTTCCCGAAGTGCAGTAAAAATCAAAGATAAAAAACCAACCCACTTTCAATAGATGTTCTTTCAACTTTACTCACAACCTTTTCCTTGTTTTCGCACGTATTGTTATGGAGCTTTTTTTAAGCTCTTCCACTCGTTGAAAGCCGTTAATCACCGGAAATTGTCATCTTTAAGACGCCGAGTGCCGCCGTTGACTTTTTTTAATCGTTTGTTGGATCACAAAAATCTTTAAGGTTTCTCGCTCACGCTCCGCTCGTTGGGGTATATCTCACTGATGGTGGGAGAAAGTATTCAGTGGTAAAACCACTTTGGGCCAGTTTGATGAAAACATATTTCAGCCAACTCAGGGTCAGAGTAAGTTCTCAAACCAGTTTTACAGCTAAGCAGACAGTTTTTAGTCTTTCTTACAATTCATTACATCCAGTTTTGCCTTACTCTAAGATAGTATACCGCAAACTGTTACAGTCAAACCTCGATTATCTGGACCTCGATTATCCAGACTCACCTCTCTAGTCCTATTTTTAATAAATACCAGGTTACTTTTGGCAAATGTCAACAATGATGTACAATGATCGATATGATACGTATTCATTTTTAGTTTTGGCTCATTGATATTCATATTTTTGATCATCCGGACTATTCAGCACAGTTCCCACGAGTCCAGAAAATCGAAGTTCGATTGTAATACAATAAACGCTGCTCAGGGAGCCGGCTCCTGACGCTTTTATGACAAAAAAAGCGAATACTAGTATAATTTTAAACCCTGGATTGGCGCTAACTGCCTTCGAGTAACATGACCCTCCGAAACATTTTTACTCGGCTCCCTCTAGATGTCTTTCTGGTGCGGTTAGCTGTTGAGATTCTCTTAACTTAAATTATCCGACAAAGACTTGCCAACTCAAACCCAAACCCTGCCGTCTACTAAATGAAAGGAAGCTCAGGATATTTTTCTTCCACGAGGAAGCCACCAAAGAAAAATCAAACCCTTGTAACTAGTCATGATGACAAGTTCTCTTGGACAGTTCATACGAAGGAACAAGAAAATCTTAAATATTATGTTCTACGCGGTTTGTAAGCAGGGCAATCAAGACGATGGCATTTATTTGCCACACGAGTATTTGACTTAAGCGCTAAAGGATAAGACTTGACTGGTAGAAATTGTTCAAATTTTCATTTCTCCATATACTATGTGCTTTTAGAAAATTTTTCTTTATCACTATCCCCTGGTAAAGGCTAGACTTCTTAGCCGAAACGATGGGATTTTTTCAGAACTCTTTACCAGTATCACGATTTTATTTAGTTAGGACACAATAATTACGGCAGAAAATAGAGAGCGATAATAAAGAAATACAAGAGGGGAATATAAGAAGACGCTTGTGATCCTGTTTTTTTTTAAAAAAAAGCCTTTCTGGTGTTCCTTCCTCGTCGCCTTTATTTTCATCTCACTGAGCTGACGCACCCCGTGTACAAACTAAACGCTTGGAACACTCCTTGAACTCCTTGAATTAACGGGGAAGTTGTCGGAAACTAGTTGCAGGGACGTGTACCCTCGTGCGTACCGATCTGTCGATTCATGACACGCAGTGATCACGTGCTCCTCGTGTGACGTCATACGGGCGCATTTATCTGTTTCAAGGCTGGCATGTCATCAACATTCGGGGGTGCATAGGGAAAGGTTGGTATTTTTCCATTTTGCAAAAAGAGTCCATCGACACTATTTTGTAAACTTGGTACTTTGCTTTTCGATTCAGTAACAGTTTCGTTTCTTGGTAAGAGTTCTCTTTCCGTCATTTCTTTCAGTTTCTTATTTCCCTTTTTCGTCTTCTTAATCTTGATCTTTTTCCATGGAGAGATGTCTAATTTTACTCTGTTTGGTATAGAGGGTTCTCCTGTTGTCGAGTGTTCCAGGATAGCATACTCTAGATCAAGAAAGGACTGAGGAAAAGTATAACAAAAATTTCTTAGCCCTCTGATTACTGAGAGTAAGCTCTGACGAGGGGCTAACGCTCGAAACGTCAGCTTTTTTACCCTTTACGGTGGCCAATTTACGTTTTCAACTCTACCCTAAATTACCTAATTAGAAAGTAATTAGCATCTAATTTCTCCTTACAAAATGACCCCTCAGTTACTCACGAGAATAAAAAAAATGATCACCAACTAAAGAGGCTCTTGATTGTTAAACGAATTCTCCTCGTCAGCACCTTAGGAAATGTATAGAGATCAGTATGGAGAATGTGCAGACTCGTGGTAGGGTGTAAAGTGATAGTCAGTCAGTCAGTCAGTCTTGTATAAAAATTGAAAAATCTACAACTGTCTTTGCTAAAAATTTTGACAAGCAACGAAGTTTCGATGCCAGCCTTAAGAACAATTTCATCAGGTTAAAGTGGATAACATTTATTTTCCGTTGTTTTCGTAAGTCTTATAAATTAATTTTCTATCTATTTCCATTACAAATCTTTGCCCAACAACAAAGTTAAAAACTGGCAAACCTACCTTAGCGTATAGCCCGTACATCCGGGAAACTTCTCTCATGGTCAGATGATCGTCTAATATTTCATCACTACGGATCATTTCAACCTTGGATGCAAAATGAGAACAAAAACAACAAAAATTCAGATAAGTAATAAGTATTTCTGGACTACAATTTTATGGGAATGATTTAAACGCACACTGTAAAAATATCAGCTCTTCTCCCATGATGTCAAAGTGATCGAAATTTATTTTCCTGTTTTCTTTTTTCAATCTTCGATCAAGCCGTTTACTGTTGTTCAATCTTGACGTCATACGAGCTCGTTCTTTTTAATGATATAAATCATTCATTTGAACTGCGCTTTCGGAAATACCGACCCACAAATTGACTCAACTCAAACGGACTCAACTCCTAAGAGCGTAATGGCTCATTACAGTTGACAATCATCCCTATTTTCTCAGCATGATGCAACAAGGACCATCGCCATAGTAAAATAACCCTATACTAGATTTTCGCGTACCGCAAGTTACCGGGGGCTTCAATAAAAGGTGGTTATCGGCGGTCTATCTCCGCCTAAAAGACCTCTTGGACCGTCTTTTTAGCTCGTAAGCACTTTTTTTTCATGCCCAGAATGCTGGAAATTACATTTTCGAACTTCTGGATTTCAAATATTTCCCGGGGAACATGCCTCCACACCTAACCCCCTCGGAAGGGGCTTTATAACCCCACTTCCGCCAATTACACCATCGACAGCCGTTTAAGAAAAAAGCTTATGAAACCCCTGAAATGCCTTCGCCTTCTTTCCCCCCTCCATCAGCAATTCGTAAATTTTCTTGGATGGTTTCTGGTATCCATGGACACCGCTGCCGGCCTTTTGTGGAAAGAGGCGTCTTAAGAGTTAAACGTATATGGTGTCTTATCCAAGATCACAATGCAGTGATCTAGGACACGATTCACAGAACCTGTCGATCTCGATTGCTGGACCCCTTGTCTCTGACTTAAGAAAGCAATGAATCAACAGCAAAATAACTATTAACCTGATGCGTGTTAGGTATGGCGAACTTGGCTACAAAGAATTTTTTCAGCACATCAACAGTCACCGCAGAAGGGCATCGTAGATAACGAGGAGGAAAAATCTAGAAAAAAAAGTCACATGACAGTTGTGTGGTTTTAATTAGGAACAACAATCTGTCCTCTTTTGATGTGAGATAAAACAGCGGTCAGTCTTCGCGCATATGTGAACTAAGTTGCGAGCTGTAATCTTTTTTTGCGAGACAGCGGTTGTTTCTAATGCTTTCCTTCGAAATTGGCTGACCAGGTTGATCTCTTCGCGCATGCCCGACGTTCGACCGTTGTGTTCACACAAGCGTACACAGAGGCATAAAGTGTGCGGTGATTTACTAGATGCCGTAAAACTTGCGACAGAAGACGTTATAGCAGTAAAGCAGCAGCATATCAGAAGAAAGGCTTTCGAAATTCAACACTACTAGTGCCACGAGTTCAGCAAGGAATGTCCAAATATCCTTCCCTACCACATTTCGTCCCAACGAGATGATGAAAAGATGAAAATAAGCTCCGTTTCGAATTTCCCACTGTCCACCATACCTGATTTTCCGACCAGTTTCTCTTGCTCCTGTACAGAGAGAAAGAGGATCCAAAATGAAAATTGTTTAACGTGTATTGTTTGACTTACAGCAATCCAACACGAGCCACCGTGAAACAAAGCAGCTTTTGTCTGTAAGCCTTACCTGTAGTATTCCAGAGTGATGAAAACTGGATCATCCATTTCAATCTCTTTTTTCTCCGTGACTTCATTCACGGCCTCGTTTTCCTCTAAACAAGGGAAGAAAAGCGTGCACGCCGTCTAACCGTTTACTCACTTCCACGCTAAAGCTGAATTCGCTAATAAATATGGGTAAAAACGTAATTTCGAGTGCAATTTGGCGTTAAAATTTTTCAAAGACAACAAAATTGCATGAGCCCATTGTGCAAGTGCATCTTTTTTGTTTTATATTATCTCACTGTTTCAGTATATAATAAAACAACTTTTCACATCAGCATCGGCGGCTAGAGGTGGGTATCTACCCGACCGCTTCATAACGCGGCTTAGTAAATCGGGAGCTTAAGAAAACCATGATGGCAACGGCAACGTGAACGTCAATAAAAAAAAAAAGCGTTTAGAAGCAGAACAATGGCTGCGCGCGTGCATTATAAATCTTTGTAAATTTCTATGCGTCCTCTGCAAAACAACAACGTGAAATGACCAAACTTTGCGTTGTGTGGAAAACGTGAAGGACGACGGATAATTTTTTTAAAATTTCTATTGCTAATTTAACGCCGTGTTCCATATTCAGTTTCGAGATAGTTTTGACGGCGAGAAACAAACTAAATAACTTTAGAGTATCGCGAGATTCTTAGGTAAAATATAAGTTCATTTTTGTCCTCAGCGTCGTCACGTTGAGAACAAAGTTTCGAGATAGTTTTGACAGTGAGAAACAAACTAAATGACTTTAGAGCATCACGAGATTCGTAGGTAAAATATAAGTTCATTTTTTGTCCTCAACGTCGCCGTCGTCGTTTCTTAAACTCCCAGATATCCACCACTAGCCACCGTGGCTTCGATTCGGTGATTAGCTGTTAATTAACTGTCACATCGAGATAAATGTTTCCTCAGCCTGAAGCACTCTCTCGGTTTAATTTTGAGCGAAGACGACTAGGTGTAAAGGTATTTAAATCATTTATATCAGTAAATATTACCTGGCGGCTTGTTCTCTTCTCGTTGCTTTTCTTCGAATTCATTTCTAAGCTTGAGCTCAGCTAGAAAAATTCAGAGCAGAATTTAAACAAAGCAACAAGAATTTTTCTAATGATGAGAAGGTCTTCGCTACTTGACAGAAAGCTTAACACTTCTCGGGCGTTGCGATGGCCGGCTGAACTGACCGGCCAGGGATTTGTCTTTGCCAGACGTGATAAAGTCAATAATACATATATGAAGTACTACTGACTACTTTTCAAAGATAATTCATGTGAGACGTTAACTGCTGTCGACATACTTTGCAAGCATGTCGTAGAAAAAGCTGCCGAGTCCCAATCCTGAATCTGTAACATACGATGGGGAAAATAAACGAAAACCGTCATATATGTCCAATTCAAACCAAGAGATTCCGATGGAAAACTTTTTTTTTTCAATTGAATAGGCAAAATTCTATTCCTGACACCTTCCGACGGAAGTGAGATAACCGGAAGTCATGACGCGAAAGAGTATCGGAAGTCAGATGAACATCAGAGAAGGCAGAAATATTGTTCGATGGATTCCGACGGAATTCATTTGTCGGATAGAATCCGACTGAGTCAATCGAAATCCACTGGAGTCCATCCGTGTCTATCAGAATCACCGGAACCGTCTCATTGAAAAACTTTTGCCCTACGTAAAAATCATCAAATGTATAATCATAGCGCAAAAGGATTGGATCTCATGAACTTTGCCCTGAAATTTCCTTGTTATTTGACATAGTGCATGAATTCCTTTCCAACTGTAGTTCCTTTGTCACTTGTTGCTTCTACAACCTTTGCTGTATAGTTCAAAATAATTTTGTTGGTTGTGAATAATAGAAAAGTCACGACAATGTTACATTACCTTGATACAGCCCAGGAACGAGTTTAAAGACAATTTCTTGGAGAGTTCGGTCTGGCCTGAAAAAAAAAAAAAATCACTGAATGATTTTTGGTCCAAACGGAGAAGATTTGTTATTTAACAGGTTTTAACCCTTCTAGACTAAAATTACTTATAATTCAACTCAGCCAAGTTTGACGTCTCAGCTATTGTCATCTTTTTTTTTTTTTTAACGAGCTTCATGTTATCTTTTCAAATACAATTAAGCTAAGCTTTTATTGTCTTATGGCTTAATTAGTCTTGTTCTATTCCCGATCTCTCAGATCATTATCTTAATGAATAAAGGGGTAAGTTTTTCAAATTGTCGTGCTGCGTCGGTGAGGAGCAATAAACCACAATTTGTATCGGTTTGCCGGCGTATATGAACCACGCGAGATGTTGGGAACACGAGAAAAGCTTATAAGCCACGAGGTGCAGCCAAACATGTCAACTTTTCCTTCTCGGCGCGCAGTTTAGGGAATTCTAGACGAGAATATCTGAAGTTCTTTCATTTTAACCGCGCAACGAAACTGAAATAGAGGCTTAAAACAGCAACCAGTGAGTTAAGCTACATTTTAAATAGAAAATTTGATAAAGAGTTTCTGAAGCTGAAGTTTCGAACGTTCGTCTGTCGATCTACATCGATGAAGAACTAAACGCATCTTATAACTGCTTTTTTATTTGACCAGCAAAACGATTCTTGTTTGTTCCTTTCGCAACTTGCAGGTTTTCCGGAAATAATGGTATTCATCATCACTCTTAACCCTAGGATTTCCCTACTTTTAGATAGATTTTCGGTACAATCTAAACTCACTAGGAATGAACAGCGCTTTATGAAGTTTACAATACCTTGATGCTAACCTGATATTTAGTAGTGGTTTAGTCTTGTGGACTTCAACATCACAAACAGGACAGTGATAAGATGCTTGGAGATATTTTACAATGCAGCTGCGACAAACTGAAAAAAAAAAAAATAAATAAACAGATAAACAAATATAACTGAAACAACCAGACTTAGTTCGGCTGCGAACCGTTTCAGCCAAATAACTTAGTTTGGCTCGATTGTTTTTATCAATTTGGGCTACCAAATGTTCCTTTAAACACATAACGCAAATTTAAACGAGTATTTATGGTGAAGTGTTAGTGTTTTTGTAGAAGATTACCATCCCGCAATCCGATTAGGCTATCATACTAAGCCGGAATAAAACCGAAGCCAAATGTGGTTTTAGACCTGTAAAACTTTTCCCTTCGAGTTCAGTACCGTCCAATGCTAGCTTTCGGCAGCACCACGAGAAGATGAAAAAAAAAAAAAAAACTCTCTGATGAAGCAATTCTGACAGATATTCGCTAATCAAAAAATTCCGATGATTATCATCTGCCAACGTAGAGTCAATTTATTCAATGGAGCTTCAAGTTCCGTGTTCCTGTAAGACTTCCTTGTAGCAGGAATTTTTATCATATTTTGCAAACAAACTGCTATCGATAGGCACAGGTCTTCGAATACCTGAAAATCTAAGGTAACCTCATACTGGCGAAGTGAATTAGGGAAAGGATGAGAGAAACTTTTAAAATTGGCTTAAATTGTTGCGAAGATTAGAGGAAGGGTTTCAAACAGCCCTAAGTCTAGAATCGGAGTAAAATTATCCATTTTAGGTTCTTAGCGAGAATTTGCCATTTTAAAATTTGCTACTATACTTTTTACCATGTACTACCGTTTTACTTACAAGAATGCAGGCACTCAACAATAGTTGTAGCATCCACTAAATATCCACCACATAACACGCATACAATGTGAGAGTTTAGATCTTGGATCTTCACGGACCGTAACATCTTCCGTCGAAATTATGTCTTCCACTTCCTTCATAAGACAAGAAAAAATTCTTCAACATAGGAAGCGACACCATCAGTCTCTTTAACACGACCTAGCCATACTTCTAAGGTATGACGGTTAACAGCGATTTAAATTTCTATAAGAGAGCTACACGAACCGTAGCGGCCACGAAGCCATGATTCAACCGCCACAAGCTAATAAATTCACTTCATTGACAACACAGTGACAGCGGAAGAGTTAATTCAACTGAGGCAAGGCATTTTTGAATTTTTTCCTTCAAAGATCCGGATACGCTTCTCTATCGCTGATAAACTTTACCAACAACAAGACCGTCAGAAAAAGCCGGCATCATCGGTTAAAGTGCGAGTATAAATATCATACCTGCCAGCAGAATTAGCTGAACATATATTTCCATACACGCAGAAATGTCGACAAGAAATATAATTTATGAACATCGATAGACAAACTTTGAATCCAAATCGTAGAAAAACTAGGGCTAAAATCTCTGCAATGGAACTTAAATCATAAGCCTCGCCAGGCACTGAATAATTTCGCCAAAGCGAGAGATGCAATACGATTGTGAAACAGAATTATTCTCGTCGAAACAGAACTGAAAATCATTTTTTTTAATAAAACAGGCCTTGGCTTGTATTTAATTCTATTCACAAGATTTTTTCTCTCTAGAGCGATGATAAATAGCACGGAAGTTTCGACCACTAATCTTTTGTAAAGCCTAGTTGCTTTATGTTTTTTCTCATTTTCTTGAAGTCTGCTTACCTTTGAACTGAGGACCAAACGGTTCAGACATTCTAAATATAACAATGTTATTTTCATTTAATTTTACAGCTCCTAAGTGCCATGATTTTCCACGAGCTTTATTAAAACGGGCTGCATAGCTGACAGAATTCGTGAGAATTTTCCGCAGCGAGATCCATGAGTGTTTGCTAGCGGCTCTACTAAGGATCCGTCGCCTTCATTTTATCGAATATCAGAAAAAACAAACGGCAGAAATCACACCTACAAAAAAGCCAGCTATGCAGGCTACTGACAAATTTAGAATATGATCCCAAAGTATAGGGTTCAAGTACACGTGTCTACAAGCTTTCTCTTGCACCCGATCTCTTTTATATCAGTTGACGAGCCTGTAGAGTGGATCTCGACCAACGAAGTGATTTCACGTACTGTAAAGAGCCTAAGCTTAATTTTGGCGTAGTTTTTTAGTGTAGATTAATTACCCTAAGTCTTTTATTAGGTATGTGCAATTTAAGTGCAATGGTAGCATTTGGTTTAGTTGTACTTGTGAAGATGGTTTGGAACTGATATAGAACACAGTTCCGCGGTTCAGTAATATTTTCTAGATTTTATCATGACAGGTAAGCATTGGGTTCGACATTTGGCCAACATTTCTGGCCTGAAAAGTGTTTAGTTCTTAGACTGTTTTCTAGCTATTTGAAAGCCGAAGGTTAAAAACATAGAAAATTTTTAATCGTTTTGTATTAACCACTATCAACATTAAGTATAAATGTTTATCGATTGCGTTTGGAAGTCTGACCGTAATTAGCGGAGGGGCCGTAAAGGACCTCAGGTGACAGCAGACGAAAGCATGGGAAACAAACTAAGACACGAAATCCAAACGAAACCTCGATATATCTACAAAGGGCAGCAATTAAAGGACAAGCGAGCTTGAAATTCCTTGTATTGTTGTGCGACTTGAATTCTTTACAAACGAAGCGCATAATTTTCAAGCCCGAAATTTATTCCAGTAACGGAAAGTTGGAACATGCATTCTGGTCTCTCTCTTTCGGTTTCAAAAGAATTTACGGCAGAGCCCAGAATTGTTTCCAAGCTCGGAGCCCATTAAGATGACAAATTAAACATCATTATCGAAAATAGGAATATTACTTGCGACTCACAGAAAATCTACTGTCTAAAAAATTTGCCACATCGCCAATATTCTCAATCGGGAATCAGTAGCTCTGCCAATCGGCGAAAATAAGGTTGTAATTTTGTTCGTATCCGAGCAGAGCATTTACGATTTCCAATCTTCTAAATTGTCTCTATTTGTGAGATAACTTTTCTAAGTGATGATAGAATTGTATTCGATGAAATGTCCATTTCGCCGAAAGAGTGCGTTAGATGTATTTGGTCTGACGCATCTTGGTCACGAAATGATCTGCATTGCGGTCCGATAACTGAAAATAACGCAACATTTAAAAGAACAAATATACGACCAAAATCGCTTCAATCTGCAAAAAAATACTTTGCATCAAAAGTTAAATAATTTATCTAACGTCTCTGTGAAAATTAGGCTAAGATTCTCGATATAACTTAAGAAATTACCGTGTTTTTCTTGACAATTTCTTGATGGCTTCGAGTTGATTTCAAATAGACACACGTTGCTGTTGATACGCTTAATCACGTGACAGTCGCACCAGTCTCCCCTGAGGTGCATAAAGCGTAAACATCGATCGGTTAGATGCAAAACAACTTTCAAAAATTAATGTTGTTTTTTAGGTTTTAGTGGCAGTTGAGAAATCAACTAAAGTTAAAGGTCAGTATTCTCCATAGAGAGATTTTCTCAAATATTGCGAAAACGAAATATTTTGAATCTGAGACGAGAAATATTTATGGATGACTTGCATGTTCACGATAAGCCCAGCCGTGTAAAACTAAATAACTAGGAAGAACCGAAATTGAAACTCGTCCTTCTTAGAATTTAAATATGGTTACTGATTATTTCTACCATTTCAAGTTTCTTGGAACAAAGTTGGCGAAATTTTAGGTAAGGCTTAAGAGAACGACGGCACATGTTCACCCCGCCGAAAACCACTATGGCCATCACTGTGGACGAGTTTGAAAATAAAATATATGATTAAGAAAAGGATAAAGGTCTGCATTAGGGAAAATATATAAAAACATATAGGGGAAATGAAAATTGTCTTGGAAAATGCCGGCCGACATATGTCGTGTCTCGTAGTCAAGCTACGGTCTTGAGTTGCCGCATAACCACCGTGACCTTTTAAGTTACATAATTAATTATAGCCACCTCGGTAGTATTATTGATGAACATATCATATTTTCCGTAGAGAGATAATCTTTCTATATCGCTTTCTCAGTTGTTTTTTTCTTTACCTGCATGCCCTAAATGCTTAGCTTTGTGTCGATTTTTTAGATTATGTAAACCTCTTTCACTTTAATCCGGCACAAACTAGTCAACGTTTTTATTCGATTTACTGTGTTTATTTTTTTTCAGCCTTTTTCCTCAATATCTATCAAGCCTTGAAGATATCAATTGGTGCAAAAAGTACAGCTTTCTCACAAAATGACGAGGTGATAAAATTCAGTGGACATTTGTTCGATATCAACTGATTAAGTGTTGTTGGACCTCAAGTACTTTTGTGTTAAATTATTTCTTCTGTCTAACTTTGATCAATGATATCCAAATCTTTTATTTTTTATATGTATTTTTTTAGCGTTTCGACGTTAGCCCCTTGTACAGAGCACTCTGACGAAGGGCTAACGCTCGAAAAGTCAGCTTTCTAAACTACCTACGGTGGCTAATTTTCTTAATCAACTCAAATTATTTCAATCTTACCGCCGCCAATACGGCATCACAGATTCTTAAGAAACTTACCCCCGCTATAATATTCAGTCAAGGCCTGGATATTGTATTTATTCCAAATCTAAATTAAACTATGCCCCGAGGCGCAAGAATTTGCATCGTTCTTTACTTATCTCGAATTAAACTACTGAAAATGACCATTAATAGATCCATGATGATATTTTGGCTTGTTTTCTTGAGTTTCACTGCTCTTCGAGTGATATCCTCCCTTCTCAAAAAAACTTGTCTTCCATAGGTGAGTTCTTACCGAGGCGGCCAAATAAGTGACGAAGCAAGGAAGCAAAGAAGTAGGGATGTAACGAAGAGGGGAGGGGGTGCCGAAGAGGAGGAGAAAGGGAGGGAGGGGTGGAGAAGAGAGCAAGAAAGCAGGCGAAAAAGCCGCGAGAAGGAAATGAGGAGATGAAGAAAGTGAGAAATGTGGTTGAGAATTGCACTTGTAGAGACAACAAAGAACGCGAGAAATATTAGCTATCATCAGTTATTGTTCAGCGCGCAAGAAACAATTTTTAATGTTTTTTTCTCTATATTCTTGTTCAAACCTTTAACGATGACAATAGATATGTTTTCGGAAGAGGGGCCTGAAGCAAAGATAGAGACTCCCATAGAGGTTCATGGAGGAGAAGCTCAAACATCTTCAAAAAAATCTCGCCGTAACTACTCCAACGTAGAAAGAGCTTTTGTTCGTTTGAATTGGATGGCGCCATTCGATGATAAGTGCTAAAAAATTATTGTAAGTGTTCCGAACACTTTTCCAAATTTTTCTTTCAGGTTCAAACCATGGAAACTTACCATTTTGACGGAAAACCCGGTTAACAAAGCAATTTGTAATCGCATTATCAATCGATCACGCGTTGTTCACGTAACTTTATGCAAAAGAATCGATATGTTGCGAACACGGCACGTGATCAAGATTCATTGGGGGTGTATCGGGAAATGTTGGCAAAATGTCATTTTTGATCAAAGGTTCGTCGTTGACTGTTTCCGGTAAACTTGGAAGTTCAGTTTTTGATTCTGTAACAGTATCATTTCTTGCTAATAGTTCTGCTGTTATCATTTCTTTCAATTTCTTATTTCTTCTCTTTTTCTTTTTAATCTTGATCTTTTTCCATCGAGTAATATCGAGTTCTTCTCTTGGTGGTTTGGTTGGTTCCTCCTTGGCTCCAACTTCCAAGATGGCGTATTCAAGATCCAGAAAGGACTGTGGGAATATAATTGAAATGTCAAACACTACTTGGAAGAAGCCACTAAAGAAAAATAAGTACATCTCGGTAAGACATTCTATATACTGAAGTCAGTCTGACAGTGGTCAACCGATTTACAGTATTATTCATTATGCCACTTTTTAGTACAAAGTGTTTTAAAAGAGTGTTTGTAAGTTGATGTTTTTTAAAAATCATCTAATGCATTTCTGCATTTTGCATGTATGCATATAATACAACTTTATCTTTTTCTTATTGTATATTATAATTGAGTTTCTAAATGACGCGCATTCTTATCGGCTGAAACGGCGTACTTGCCAGAATACAGATGGTCGATGTAGTGGAGTCACGCATCACAATTTTTACAATGGCTGACCAATTCCCTGAGTTCTCTCACGTTTTTTTCTTTTGTTTACTCAGATATCTCGTACAACCAGGAAAACGACTTTCAAAAGTTGAAAGGAAAGCCTCTACTTCTTCTCGTGTTTGCTCCACTCTCCTTTCGTTCTCCAGTCGCTTTACAACAGAGCAGAGCACCTTGAAAGTTCCTTCATTTGTTAATACCTTAGCGTATAGCCCGTATATCCGGGACACTTCTCTCATTGTCAGCTGACCGTCTAAGATTTCATCACTGCGGATAATTTCAACCTTGAAAGAAATATTACCCAACAGAAATTTAAAGATACTTTCCATTTTTTCATTCGGAAAAATATTCCATACAAAGGATTAAAAGCAAAATTAAGGAGGTCAAAAAAAGTACCTGATGTGTGTTTGGAATGGCAAACTTTGTTATTAGAAATTTTCTTAATACATCGACGGTTACCGCAGAAGGACATCGGAGATAACGAGTAGGAAAAATCTGGACGAAGAAGGTACAAAAAAAAAAACCATCTTAGAATCAAAACGATAAAGATGAAATGTTTTGCTTTATTAAAATCACTAACAAGTTTCTTCCCATACCTGATTTTCTAACCAGTTTCTTTTTCGCCTTTAAGGAAAATGAAAGAAAGTAAGAGAAAAGAAAGAAGGTCCTCAGCAGATCGGAAAAGGAGAACTCATTGCAATCATGGATTGTTGTTTTTCATCGGTTCAATTGTTACCTGTAGTATTCCAGCGTTATACACACCGGATCCTCCATCTCAACTTCCTTTTTATCCTTGATATCACCCGGAACTACGTTTTCGTCTGAAAAAAGGAAAATTGGCTCAAAGGATAAGGAGAAGTAGGACAAGAAATGCTTCGTCTTCACACCTCATTTTCGAGAGACAAATATTACAATTTAACTTTACCCTTACACCCTAACCAAGAAGTCCTTTTACTGAAAGACGCGGACTAAGAATGTTTTGCCAAACAAACAAACAAACACGTAAATAAGCAAACAAATAAGCGTGAGAGCAGACAAACAAGCAAAAACGCAAAAAAGCAACGAGCAAAAAAGGAAACAAGCAAATAAGAAACCAAGAAACTAAGCAAAGAAGCAAACAAGTAAACACAAACAAACACACACCAACAAACAAGCTCAAAGTCATTTAGTATTATCAACTGTGTTGATGACGTGAATTAGCCACTGCTAAGAGTTTCAAAGCTCTGAAACTCTTAGCAGTGGCTAATTCGCGTCATCAACTCAGTTGATAATACCAAATTACCTTGTTATTACTCTCCCACTGACGCAGCACCACAGTTATTTTCGAAACTTACCCCCTTCAATCAAACAGTCAAAGTTAAACGAGCAAACAAACGCCCTCATGAACAGATGACGACACTATGTTGAAAGGGGCTAGCTTCTTAAAAACCCTTCAAGGAAACAGTTTCATTACAGTTCCAATCGAGACTCGATGAATTACCTGAAGTTTTTTCTTCTTCTCTTTCTTCTCTTTGATTGTCTTCGAAGTCATGTCGAAGCTTCAGTTCAGCTAAACAAATTCGGGATTGAATTTATTTTAGATATACAGTATTGGATACTTAAAGAGCCGATTTATAAGTTTGAAGATTTTTGTTTCAAAATTCTTAACTTCGAGAAGTTTGGAGGTATGACTAAGAGGCAAGGTTAAGAGAAACGTCTTGCTATTGGTATCGAGGAAAGTTGGTGCAGCCGGCGCGCAGTTCTTTTTGGAGGGCACAAAAGTCTCAACCCGTCAGCTATTCAGGTTTTATTTATTTTCTTGTTCTCTGATCTGCCAGAACTCATAAAATGGAAGCTTAGGAGTTTCTACGTCAGTTTCGCAAAATGTGCTTGTCGCGCTTGCGTGCCATGATGCTTGAAGGTACCAGCACCATGCATGGCTTAGTAATTGACGCAATTTTTCCCGCGCAATCGCTCATGTCGATGTTCGTGGCATCAATTCTCCCCTATCAAACTTCAATACTCGTGGGTGTCGAATGTAATCCGTGATCGCTTTGGTTTTGGAACAGTACGTTTTTGTTACCAGAGTTTTGATGATAACAAAGAATTACCATACTACATGCCATACCTTGATAGAGACCAGGAACGAGTTTGAAGACGATATCTTGGAGGGTTCGGTCAGGCCTGAAATAAATTAGATATTTATGGACATTCTCATAGTTTTTTTCTTTAGGCCAGAATGGCTTAATAAAATAGAAACTAAAATAATCCTTTTAAAGAGTTTTCCCGATTTTTTTCTCAAAACTTCATTAAAAGTGTGGCAGTTTTCAACTCAGTTCTTAATAACGCTCGTATAGTGAGAGTCCTAAGCTGAGTATTGCCCCTCATCATTTATTTACTCCTCAGCTTCGCTAGGTTGTTTCTTTAATGACCTTGTTAATTACGTTTCCCTGTTTTCAAGTATCGCATGATAAAATTTCAGTTTGGTCGTAAGTCTATTTATTGTAAGTGAGCGATGCAAATACAGAAAAGGCGGTTTAATTTGCTTAAAAATGTTTATATCTCACCTTATGTGGAGCAGTGGTTTAGTCTTGTGGACTTCAACATCACAAACAGGACAGTGATACGATGCTTGGAGGTACTTCACGATACAGCTGCGACAAACTAGGAACAACGAACACATTATATATTAAAAAAGTTGAAAATCAAACATTTCTCACAAGCGTGGGACTTGAAAAAATCCGAGTCCCAAAGAGGTCTCGAACCTTAGATCTTCTAATTCAGCCATGGAATTCCTCACTAACTGAGAAACAGTCCAACAACAAGGCCATAGGCTCAGTTCAAAGATATACTACTTCTCCAAACAGACTGCAGAGACTTATTTATGGTAAAAAAATTTTTTTTTCACCACTGAGCTCAGTTTGGTGAGTTCTAGACAATGATTATACCATTGAAAATAAAAATAGTTTATTTGTTATACAAATCAGTTTGCATGAGTAACGAAAGCCTTGGCAACGTCAGTCGTATCTTTAACTTACACGAATGCAGACATTCGACAATTGTTGTAGCATCCACTAAGTATCCACCACACAGCACACACATGATGTGAGGGTTTAAGTCTTGTATTTTCATAGACCGTAACATCTTCCGTTTCAGACGTATTCCAGGTCCTTAGTAAGACAAGAAAACATTCGTGATCATCAGTAGAAAGCAACTCTATAAAGTCGTATGTATCTCTAATTTGCGTTTATTTTCAGCAAGGAGAAGCATTGGCGACTTTCAAAGTGTCATGTCTGGGAAGGAAACAATACGGACGACTGCAAATAAGTATTGACTACCATTGCTTTGAGGTGGGCAAGCTAAATTTGGCTTTACCCATTTGATAACATAACTTGGCTGCCGTAAAGAGTTTTAAAATGACTGTGAATATATAAAAATCATATCCGTGAACTGCGATTTTTAAGAGACGAATATGAACGCAATCATCGCAGAAATGAACACCACTTAAGCATAGTGAAAATAAAGCCTGAAAAAAAATCAGGCCTGTATTACTACTTAAGTAATGTTCATTAATGGAAGATCGCTTTCATATTCAGAGTTTCTAAAGCTGCGTTAGATTTTCGTCAGGGCGAATATCATTATTTAACTCGAGTAGATCTGAGTTATCTACTACATTTCCAGCTTAATCATAACAATCCCAATTTCCTCGATTGCGTGATTGGTTTAAAAAGCTTTTATTTTCCACTAATTCACTTTGCCAAGTTGTTATCGGACAGTTTGTTATCGGACAGTTCAATAAGCCATCACATTCAAAGTTGTAGTATAAATCAACCAATCACAACCTGGGTTGTGAAACAGTGTACAGTGTACATTAAACGATTACATTAAACAGTGTACATTAAACGATTTACGCCTCCTTGTCAGCCTTTCGATGCATATTTTCCGTTTCTTTCAAGACTTGGGTATTCTTCTTTTCTTGGAAATTGTACGATGAATTTTTATGATTAATTGATAATAAGACTTCGTGTCGTCCAATGCGATCTGTAGTCATACTCGTGATAAAAAAATCGGACGACTGCGCATGGTTATTACTCGTATGATTACACGGACCGAATTGGAGTCTACTCAGTCCTATAACCATTACTAATTTTTCTCTCTCTCAAAGTACCCGTTTCTTTCCCGTCTTGCAGGCGATACTACCGAAAGAAAAGACATCGAGGCTCATCGGCTACATGCAATTTGATTTATAAAGCCACCGTATGCAGACTACCTCGGAAAATATGTACCACGTCGGTGCCTATACATCTTCATTAACGTATGAACCACTCTCAACCGGTAGAATTTCGCTCAAAAACTAGAAAGACACGGATCCTCACAAACTTATTTTTTGTCACTACCAATCTGTCAGATTCTGTGAAGGAACTTGAGGCTGTGTTTCATGGCGAGTTTTAGCGAATTTCATGTGTCTGCAAATCATGTGTTCATCAAAACGCTACATAATACGAATGAACAGGGTCGGTTTGTTCAAAACACGATCAAGCTGACTCACGGTTAGTGCGGTTTCCATGCTACGTAAAAAAAAAATAATTTTTTTCAGGTCCTATTTTCAACTACTAGTTCAGTAGTGCTCTTAGCTGCGAGGATCTATTTTATTTCGTTTCTTCATATATGAATTGTATTAACAGAATTACATCGCGAAGAAAAAACCATATATCTAAAATCATCAGCTATGCAAACAGATTTGCAGTTCGTATTTTGTTCCATTTCACGCATCTGAAACTACGACATATCCCTTTAAAATTATGGTCAAAGTACACCTTTTAAACGAGAGATATCAAACTGAATCAAGTTTAACATCTTCAACCTTGGCTAAACGGCCTTCATTTGAACAACAGGGCTCCTTCTTGAATCAAATTAATTCAACTACCCAGCTGACAGTAACAACAAATGCAACCGTTCGGCTGCGAAGCTGGGTAGTTGTGATTTGCCACCGCTTTCCCGGCTTTAAACTCGATCGGCAGAAAGAGAAATTATGACATCTGGAAAGAGGCAAAGGCCAATATTTGTATACGAATCAAGTCATAGAGAAATTTTGGACCAAGATAAAGAAAAAAAAAGGACTGCTTAACTTTCGCTGCCTGCCCTCATGCAGCCGTTTCAGCAAATACACGAAATATTTGGATTTGTTATGAATAGAGGATGTTTTCGTTTTTTAAGTTTTTTTCTAGCTGAAGGATCTATATGAGGACAAAAAGAAGCATCAACGAAATGAGGGGTAAACGGCCGTTTAAGTTTTCTGCCAAAGTGCAGCTCTTAGTATTTCTAAGATTTTCGAAAGTGATGTATATGCCGGAATTTCGGTAAATATTTAGAAGATGTGCAATTGACCCAAAACGACTTTTCGGACCGGAAAAATGATGGGAATCGTATCTGTCTGTTGTTTATAATCTATGGAAACTACAACCACGGATTTTATTTCAATTCCTCATAGATTTTTCCTAAACTGAGGATTCTGCCGAAATTACGGACATGCTGATTATAGTCCCACAAGGAACTGTTGTGCTCGTAGGCCATGTAAGCAGCTGATTGATTACTTAACAGAAGTTCATCAGCGTAGAAAAAACCACCGTTGCAAATTTTGAACAGATGACTTTTCGAACCGTTTTTCTTGCTACTGAGCCTTCTGCTCTGAGGTAAGGCTAACGCTTTGACCGTCAGCTTTTCGCCTATTGCTGTGGCGGTTTATCTATACTTCTACCAACTTGTGCCTTGTATTCATCTGCGTGATTTTAGTGAATATGTTTATCTTAGTTCTTTTAAGAACGATGATAAGCATTCTCGTGTAATTCAATGGCTCTTTTAACTGGATTGAGTGATGAATCAGTACGCTTTTAGCCCAAATAAAAATAAAATTCAGTGTTCGCGAGTCCTTTGAAGACAAAGTGCCTTAGTCAATCTTTTACGCCGGAATGTGGAAAATTATATCTATTGCATTCGCAGCTAATTGAAAAGATCTTGAAAAACTCAGGAAATGACTTAAAAAACCATCTTTCAAACCATGATTTTTCATACCCTTTCGTTAGTGAAATGCCACACACTCTTTCGCTTGATCAAGCTTCTGACACAGAAGGAAGTGTTTCGGCCGATGAGACCGAAACACGCAGCTTTAGTTGTACTCCGAGGAAGCTTTGAATGTAGATCGATAATTCTCTCATTCAGAAATAAATACATGCAATTGGAGGAATAACTTTATTACCGTGAAGTCAGTTTTATATATAGAATTTGTACGGCATGTTTAGTCACGACCTGAAAAGCTTGTTTCGCCAAGCTTAGATTTACTGATTCGGGCCGTCATCGGCTATGCGGCCTGAAAATTGACCGAAGATTTTTCATTTCAGTCAGTTGAGGAATCAATTTTTAAGCGGTTAGCAAGCCGAGGGATTGACAGAATTACATCGCGAAGAAAAAACCAGCTCTATTACCCGTAACCAATATCAGAAGTAAATTAAAATGTTGGCCGATTCGGCTACATGATGGAAGAACTCGAAGTTACTGGAGAACACTGATTTATCGTTGACTTGCGATGTACGAAGGTATGAACGAAAACTAAAAATTAAAGAGATCCAAACAAAACATGAAAAACCAATTCAGAATTGTCCATTCAAATATGATCGAACTCTCAATTCCTTGTATTGTTGTGCGACGTAGAATTCTTTACAATCGAAGCGCATAATTCGGGCTTGAAATTTATTCCGGTGCGACGAATGGTGTATTCATACAACCCGATCCAATGTATTCTCTTTCGGTTTCACAGGCACTTTGAAATAAAAAATCGCTCGGCTATGTTTAAGACAAGAACATTTTCAATGTTGTGGTAAAATAATTATCGAGGATGATGTTTGAAAGCCAGCAAAGATGCATAAGAAATCTACCTTTTGTCTGACAGAAAAATTCTCTAACTTGAAATTACCCCGACACCGTTGATACTGAAGAGCTTTCCTCAAACAATGTTCATATTCTGTTTGAGGCCGAGCTCAGTATTCACAAATTGAAATTTCCGAAATGTTCACATTTTTGTCAGATAAGTTGTCTGAGCTATAAGAAGAAAATATGCGTTCAAATGTTTCATTCCGTCGGAAAAGTATGTGATGTATTTGGTCTGTTGCTTCTCTGTCACGAAATGATTTACATCACGGTCCGATAACTGAAAATAACGCACATTTTGATTAACAAATTTACGACCAAAATAGCCTCAAATCTGCAAATAAATACTGCATACAAAAAGTTAAATAATTTTCCTAACGTTTTAGAGAATTTCAGGCTAAAGTTTTCAATATAAGGTGAGAGATTACCGTGCTTTTCTCGACGATTACTTGCTGGCTTCGAGTTGATTTCAAGTTAGCACACGTTGCTGTTGATACGCGTAATCACGTGACCGATCGCACCAGTCTCCCCTGAGGCGCATTTAGTGTAAACATCTGTTTTGATGCAAAACAACTAGTAGATGTTTACTCGCTGTTTTTCCGTATTATTCTTTTTCACAAAATAAAAGTAATGAGGCCAAAGCTAGCGTTAGAGATATCTTCAGAAGATGGGCTCTGGAAGGGAAGTTTTTCTGCCGGCAAATGGGATTATTAAATTACGATTGTAAACTTTCGGAAAAGGTTTAATTCAAGCATCATTCAAGTTTTGCGTTCACTCTAATTGCAAATGTTCCAATCTTCATAACGAGTAACATGCAGCATTTTTTTCACTATTTCCTTTACGAAGTATTAGCAATCTTTTCATTATGAGATAAAGCGGCGAAAATATTTAGTTTACTATAATATTTTAACTGCCCTTAAAATGTTTATATTCGCCGGTTGATAACACATCCTTCTGCAACAGAGGTGAAATAAAAATGTCGCCAGTTTTTAAGATATCTCAAAATCGGCATAGCTGCTTCGAACGTAGAACATGACTATTGGCGTCTTTAAACCTTGATTTTCCAGTGACAACCGAAGAGTTTCTGTAAGCATTTCTGCAGGAATAGAAATATGGGTAGTCAGTTTACCTGAAAAGCCTACTTCGAAGAATTTTTAGTGGTCAAAATTCGAGCCTTTTGAGTGAATGAAATAAATTTCCTATAAAGCAAGTTTCATGTT